CATCACGAGCAGCAGTCTGGGCTTTCTTCGCTGCAATTTGAGCAGCTGTGTGGTGAGGTTCGCGCTGTTCAATATCTACGTCGCGGGCGCCGCCTTGGCTTTCTTTGCTGCGATTTGAGCGGCAGTATGGTGCGGTTCTCGGTCCTCGAGGTCGCGCTCCTCCACATCAGCGATATCACGGGTTCCTGCCTTGGCTTTCTTTGCCGCGATTTGAGCAGCCGTGTGATGTCTCGTCTCGAGCACTTCGATGTCCCTGGCGCCAGCCTTGGCCTTCTTCGCGGCTATCTGAGCAGCAGTGTGGTGTCTACTCTCTAGAGAAACAGCAGCTCGCACCCACGCAGCAGGTCCTCCCTAAAATTGGGTTAGTTAAAGCTATCAAGATCTTTGGTTCCTTCAACATACAACGAACTTCCTGGTCAAATCGAAAGATTCGGTTGGTTCAGCATAAGCTGAAAGTGGTGCTGAGACCAGCAGTCCAAGTGCAAGCACTGCGGAAACGGAGAAGGTATGCATATTGCAATATTAAGGTAAGATAACTGGCCAGCAGTAAGAATAAACGAAGGAATTCTAAAAATAGTACGGAAACAAAAATAGCGAGAGACAGTAATGTGTGGGGATGAGTTAAAAAGAATGGACTGGTGGGAGAAGTAACCTTATATATCATCCGATATCTCTGCTCGCACTGCCTTTCGAAACGGCCCTAGCAGCTGTCAAAGGAAAGCTTGAATCTAAACAGCCGCCAATAACGAGCCGCACAAAACCAAGTTCAAACGGGTCCATGCCAATTTGATTTCGGCTCTTGGTAGTCCCGTTGACAGCGCTGTCGATCTTGGTCACTGCTCAAGCTTCTGCAACTGCTAGTGCAAGTATTTGATCTGCTGGGGAGGGAAGCTGTTGAACGGCTGCTGGAACCGGAATAAGTACAGCCTAGGTTACAACTTTGATACAATACGACAGTGTTACCCCTAAACTAAATGAACAAGAATACGAAAGGGACAGAAGTGGGTGGAAGCATAGAAACATGGGCTTGAGAACGAAACAGCTTTGTTGTGACTGTGGTTTTGACGAAGCGGCACGCTGCTTCAGCGACAAGGGTGAGAGACAAGCTTCGGCAAGAACTTTTCCCCTGTCGACATCTTGCTGTCAATCTCAACAAATCGTCTTCAATAATCATGACTTTTAAAAAAGGCAGCCTACGTGTGCAGAAGTACATCTACAGTATATCTTCAGATTAAGTCAGTGAGTAAAGTTCCCCTCGTTGCGATGGCGGTAAACTCAACTATTAAATTTCTAGTTATTCTTAGAATGTGCGGGGGATATTCGAATTCTACTATGGGACGAATCCACCCCCACAACTCTATATCATATCTGAATATCGTTCCCAGATATGGCCATGGAAACTTTTCACGAAGTCACAGTTAGCCTCAAACGAAGAGAGTTCGAGGTTGCCGTTTCAAAAGGTCGATGCGAGTTTGAAGTTCAAGACCGGGGTTCGCTTTCGCTTGCACCCCGCCCCTTATCTGTGGAGCCTCTTTTATTCTCCTCAAAACCGGACTGCCTCATTCTCTTTCATTTTTCTCTCGCTAGTTGCTTCTGGTCAAGCAATTCATCCCTTCTCTAATTTACGTTTATTTTTCTTGACTTACCAGGTGTAAATTGTTTTTGCCGCAGATATGGATTCAAAATATCAGCAGATCGAACTTCACGATGAGAAATTTCAAGATGTTTTCCCTCCAAATCGGACGTCGAGTTCGCTTTCCGAATCGACTTTACTAGAGGATGAGATGGATCAGATGGGGGTACAGCCAAAGAGATGGACTGAGAGGTGGATGTGGATGGTGCATGCGGCGTTGCTTTCACTATCGTTCACACTGTTTGTTTCGTCTTATTTCACAAGGGCGTCGACGTTGGACTATATGCGAAGATATGAGGCTTACTGTAAGCTGCTCCATTCCCAATGGCGACGATGCAAACTAACCAGCATCAGCCCCTGCGGCGAAAGCCGTGGAATATCAGAGGGTTAAATTCAATGGAACGATGGGAGAGGGGTCACCATACGTTGGCAAGGGACCAGAAGTCGACAAGCATTGGAATGCGCTTTCATACGACGGTAAGATAATCATTTGTCTCCATTCATCTCATTGTATATCTGACAGGTTCTAGTCGGCGACCAAATGATCACCCCCGAGGAGCTGAAGATACTCGAAATGCCAGAGTCATCACTCAAAGTCAAAAACCCAAAGACAGGCGTCGAAGGCTATCGAGTCGGCCTCCAAGTATTCCACCATCTTCACTGCCTCAATCTTCTACGCCAAGTCACTTATAAAGACTGGTATCAGGATAAGAGTGGTAACTTTGCCGCCGGTGAAGAGGAACTGCAAATGCACACTGGTAAGTTTGGATCTATCACTCATCAAGACTGAATCTAACATATATAGATCACTGCCTCGAGATGCTCCGGAAAGAAATTCAGTGCAACGCAGACATTGGCGTCTTTACCTTCTACATGATGGACGGAGACCCATTGCCCTGGCCAGAACTGGAGTCGTATCACCAGTGCCGGAACTTCGACAAGGTGCGGGATTGGGCTTTGGAAAATTCGGTTGGGAATATGGAGCGTGGGGATATAAATCCCGATCCTGAGAGATTGTAGAATGGCTTGCATTGTGGAATTCATACCCGGTATACATAGAGATTAAAACTACGCTCGTTCGAAATGTGATCAAAGTCCTCTTAAGTGCGAAGTTTGAACTTTTGACTATGGTACGGGTATGTAGTTAAGGGAGTCTTTGACTTCTCATCACTTACACAAGAGGCTTTGATCCTGTCAAAGCAAATCATATCCAACCTCCCCCCACGTCCGTCCCAAAACAGTAATCCAAGCGAATTTCACCCCTGCTTCAGATAGCGTCTCAGCTTAGCGCTTAACCTCAACCTCAACCTACTCTGTAGGCTCGACATGCTTGTTTATCTATTATTCTTCTGTTTCTTCTCCTTCGTCGCTTAATCGTTCATCTTAGTGGTGATTACTGCACGGGACGGGGTAAAGCCAAACTTCACCTCACCCTAACCCAACTCTTTCCTCGCTTTCTCGCTTGCTTCACCTCCTCAACCCTCACAAGATGAAACAGCCATCTGATCTGCACTCTGTAACTTCCTACGGGTAAACCTAACCTACTGTACTGTACCATCCGAGCAGCGTGCATGCAACTAGTGTATGAACATGAACATGGGATGGTGATTAGAAACAACGCAGGTTTACTCCGTATTCGATGCACGCTTGCTATCTTACACTTCCTTTCCTCTTCCTCCTTTTCATCTTCACCTTGACTCTTTTTGTTTTCTTTGCAAGCTGGTCTTGATTTTATTATTATAATTATTTCTTTCTTACTCTTGCTCTTAACTTGAATCAAAAGAGAAGAAAAACATCACAACGCGAATTGATCAAGCAAGCAATCAATTAATTTACCACTTCACTTCACATCAGCATCATGGATCTATCATCAGCAAAACCCCAAACCAGCAAATACACCACCCTCCCCCCACGAGATTCTCTCGATGATCTAGATATCGATCTAGAAAATGACTCCGATACCACTCTCGCATCCACAGGTTTCCTAGCCAAGAAACCTACAAAATCAGACAGGATGCATATGATGCTCGGGAACAGATACGAGAACGATAATCCCAAGGAGAGTTCTAGAATACCCACTGCGCTGACGTGGATACGGTGGGGTGTGGTGATTTTTCTGCAGTGTGTTATTATTGTCTTTTTGTTCTTGTTGCGTCCAGCTGGGACGGGGAAGGATATGGGATGGAGTACTGGGGAGACGGAGACTGGTGGTGATGTTAGTGGGCTTTATATACCTAGTAAGTCCCCCCACGCACACTCTTTTTCGAAATCTCCCATTTGCCCGCATTCTCCATTCTCTTCCATGGCTTTCCCTTTGCGAGATAGGTTCGATGGATGGCTAATCCTCGCAAACAGCAACGCATAAATACACACTCCTGACGCCCGACGAAGAGAAATTCGTACCGAACATGAGCTCGAATGATAATAGAATGGAAATTAGGAAGAATTGGGATATGTTGATGCCTCGTGAGTTTTGTTTTGTCTCTTTCACTCAATGATACTTAATCCACAAATGTATTGTATCATACTGTATCACTGGTCTAACAATAATTACAGTTGGAAGCGGAACTGTCGAGATCCCAGATTATAAACAACACCCTATGCTAGGGAAACCTATCGTCGACGATCCGATCCACAGCGGTGCTATTTTCGAAGCATCGTGGACGCATGCTTTGCATTGCGTAAGCCCCCCACCCCCCACCAAAAGCCACCCTCAAACTAACAACCCCAGCTATACTACACAGTAGACAGCTACCACCAGCTGGTCGTGAACGGCACATTCGGCTTCGACGGCATCCGCAACGACATGCACGCCTCGCACTGCTTCGAGTACCTGCGCAACCAGATCTTATGCATGGCGGACATGACTCTCGAGGGCAGCGAGAGCCTGCTCGACGCCACGGGGCAGGGACAGGCGCACATGTGCCGGGATCGCGAGGAGGCGAATGCGTGGATTGAGGGCAGGAGGGTGGATGATTTGCAGAGTATTGTTGGGCCGTGATTGATTAAGTGGACTGTGATCTTGCTTGCTTATACCGTATATATATATCGTCGTATGACTGAAACCGCATCTATAATCACCAAGACTAGGAGTACCCTATTCTTTGAAAGGTGTTTTGTTTTTAGAAGACCCTCGAATTACCTATACATTTGCTATGGAAATACTGCTGTTAAAAAAAACATTCACGGTCACGAAAACCACTGCTGTCAACCCTCATATCTCGCACCTATATTCACATCTCAAATTCTCGTCCGCTTTATAATAAATAAAACACGAAACTCAATCCCTCCTCTTACATAGACCTCGAGTGATATTTCAGTAACCGAGCAAGTCATAACTTCGCCACCGAATCGTAGAAAACAAATAGATCGATATCCCTTTCCCTTGCTGAGCCATCAAACCAATGACTGCCATTAATATATAATCGTGCGCTCTATCCATCAGCGTAACTTCACTTGATATCCCCAACCAATTGACTATTCATATATAGTTAGAAGTAAAATCACGTAGAAGATCATATCGTACCACGCGAAGTACAAAAGCCAAGCGGGAGGCGGGAGTGCAGTCTGCAACTCTGAGATTCGAGGAAGTTGTCTAAGACCTCAGTTGATGTTGTAAAGGTAAGGGGTGCAAAAAGTTCAGCACTCACACCTTATTATAGATGTATCAAAACATTTCCACGTTGGCCGTTTTCTCAAGTATATAATTAAATATAGATAGATGCTAGATTCACCACTACATCTCACCCGCTAATAACCATTAACTTTTGCCGTCAAGGAAGCTCTCGCTGTCAGTTGTTCATGCATACATGCCTTCATCCATCCGACCCAAAAGCCAAACCCCCTTCCTCGCCATCAGCAGAGCGACCTCCCTACACACCACTCCTAAGACCCAGGCCCAGGCTATGTCTACGCTACCATATGCTCCCTCTCTCTCTCTCCCTCCCTCTCCTCATACAGCAAACCCTCCTCCCTCTCATCTTCTCCGCGATGCTCCGATCCACCACCATCAGTCTCCCTTCATCTTACCATCCACCTCCCAAGCATAAGTACGTACAGCAGGACCAGGACTATAAGAAAAGCACAGCTGGCACATAAAAGCACCAAAAATATTCGGCACCCTGAGATGGATGGATGGATATTTATACATATATATGTATATATAGTTAGGTACGGTACGGTACGTTGCGCTTCCTTCCTTGAGATCAGAAGTGCAGTGCTAGTATGATCTTATCGATGCATATACAAGTCAAGAGAACGTAGCCCAGCCTAGGATAAGACAAGACAAGATAAGACAAGACCAGGCAGAATATACACATATACATTATATAAAACCCCATCCCCATCCCCAGCCCCATCCACCCCATCTCATCTCAACTCTCCTCTGCCCACCCCATCATATATCTGCTATATCTACCTACGTACCATTTCTTATTTATCTTTTCATACCAATTCATTCGTTCCATGCCATAACGTATCTACCAATTATGCAATGCATGCATGCATCCAAAACAAAAGCACCCACAAAACCAAAAGGAAAGAAAGAAAAAAAGAACTCCCATCGATGAATGGATCAACGCCCTATGAAGATTTCCCCGCACTGCGTAGACGTTTAACCCATTCTTCCTCATCTACACCCTCCAGGCCCCCTCGCACGACCTCACAGATCTCCTTGGCGCTGCTCGCGCCTAGTAGCTTGTTCTCTAGGCCCAGCAGGTATGCTACGCCTGCGCGTACTAACACGGCGTCGCCTTCGAAAACCATGACGTCCCAGAGACGTGTGCAGTTATCGAGATTCAAGACCCCCGTAAAGGCGCCAGAGAAGATGTCTTTCATGTACATGTCGGGCTGGAGGGCGAAATCGGGGTTTGTGAGTAGGGTGTGGAGTTGTGGGGATTTGCGCTTGAGGGTGGTGAGGAGGAGGTAGTAGGTGCGGGACGTGGCGCCCGAGTCCGAGGTGTGGAAGGAGAGGGGGAGGGGGCGGTTGAGGATGTTGGAGAGGGTTTGGAAGGCGAGGGAGGATGTGGGGAGGTTGAGGAGGAGGAGGGCTGCTATTGTCTGAAGCAGTGTTAGCAAATAAGAAATTCAAGGGCAAGGATAGGGGACTTACAGATGTACCATGCACATAACCAACATCAGAACGATACATAGCATACGCCTTCAAAACATCAAGCAGTGCCCCATGCAGTGGCCCTTCCGCCTGAAAAATCCTCAACTCAGCATACGTCCCTTTGACATCCTCCTCAATACGATCTAACCACCCTTTCTTCTTCATTTCCTCCTTACTCAACTGGCTTCCGCTTTTAATCGTCTTCTCTAGATTCTGCGCTCTTCTCAAAGCTGCCGTGTATGACGATTCCGAAAGGCCAAGCTCGTTCCCTATGGCCTTGGCCCAAACTTTACCACGGGATCGGGGCGCGATTCCACGCCACCAGAGCTCGCGAGTACGTTTCTGACGAGTTACCTCATCCCAGTTGGGTAGGACGTGTTCTTCCCAGATGCGAAGGAGCGAGGAGACTGTGTCGTCTTTACAGGTGGACTTTGCTCTTTGTTCGATTTCCTTTTTGCGGTCTGCTGCGATGGAAAGCGCCATCATTCGTTGATATTCTTTCAGATGTCTCTTCTCCTCTGCGGGATCTTTGGGTGGGAGCCAGGAAGGACGAGTGCGTGATAGGACGGCTTCTTTTTCTTTTGAAATGGGTAAGGGGTCGATCATTATGTCTGTTCGGCGTAAAGGAGGCAATTCTGCAATGGCAGACTTGACTCGACCCTTTTCCGCAACTGATCGAGTTGGTGGGTTATAACTCCTCCGTGAATTGGGATCTCGTGTTTCCTCTTCTTCAGCATGTGCCTCCAAAGCTTCCGTCAAAGCCTTGGCTTCCTCGCTGAGTTCTGATAAAGCAATATTCCAACTCTTCGTACGCTTTGGAAATCCAGCATGATTGATAGGGAACTGGCCCATACTCGCTCCACGGTTCGCCCCAGGTCTCGGCGTACCAGGAGATCGCAGCTCGCCCTGTTCCGCAGGAATAGGAGATGTGCCATTCCCTAAACTTCTAACCTTCTCCTTGACCGGACGTTCCGGACTCGCAGACGTCGAAGCTGGTCGACTGGCAATCCTTTCCTGCGGCGGCCTTGGGGAAATCGGTACATTCTCAAGCAAACAATCATCTGGTACAGCATCATCGTCATCATCATCATCACACTCCTTCTCCAATTGCTTGGCCGTCTTGCGTTCCCTATTAGCCTGCCAACTACTCCTCCTCGCCTTAAGCGGGGTGACCCCAAGATTATTCGCCGGCATGTTCGGACTTGAGCTTCTATTGCGTGTTATTAATGCTGGACTGCTGGGGCTGGTCAATCCACGTCTGGGCATCATCGAAGAGTTATGAACGGTCAATCCTAGGCCTTCCACGGCAGTAGCGCTCTTGACGTGACTTTGTAGATTTGGATATGAAGGTCTGCCCAAGCCCATCGTCAATTCCCTCTGGCTTCGATTCCCATTCGTAACTTGCATCGGTACATGTTTTCTTTGCTTTGGCGTAACCCTGGGATCATTCGCATACGTAGCATTATACGGATTCGAGTTATTCTTGACCGTAAAGTCCGCAATATCGCTGTCTGCCCTAGACTCATCATCGAGGCCGATATCTTCAAAGTTCCCAACATCGGAGAGGATGGTATTGTCGTCGGACTGGTAGGAGGAGTGAAAAGACGAAGATTTCGAGGACTTGGAGCCTGTCAGGTCGGGTGGGGAGCCGGGCATGGTGCGATTCGAGACCGCATCGTCAGTGCTTGTCATGGCATCTTGGGAGAGCGTCGAGGGCGAGGTGAGGGCTCTTTGTAAAGTAGCTATTTTGGCGGTTTGGGGGGGTTGAGAGTGAGGGCGAGCGAGGTAAATTAAGAGGTGGAAGGCGTTCGGGGTCGGTGGACGGTATGTTTCAAGACCGAGGGGATGGGGGATGGTGTTTTGTTTTATCCTGTCTGATGCTACGCCTTCTTTTTACGAAAATATGCGAGATGTGTTTTCGGATTGGCCGTATTTCGTAGGATTATTGATGGATGAATTAATGGGTGTTCGCGTTCTTGAAGCGCGCGACAATTGGTGAGCTGAAAGAGGATGCTGATGCTGAACGAGCGGTAGAGTACGAAGTATCGTGGAGAAATGGATGCAATCGTATGGGCGGTGAAGGTGTTGATGGAGGTAGATAAGAAAGATTATTATAAAGACCGTGGAATAGTTACTATGGCTATTATTATTGGAACGAACGAGTGGTGCTGTCGAAGCTGTGGGTTTGGGATGATGTTCTGGTTGAGAAGGAAGTCTCTTTCTTTCTCGATGTACGGCAGGGCAGGGCAGGGCAGGGCAGGGCAGGTTCTGGGTATTTTGGTGTTCCTTCGTTCCGCTGGCTCCCCTGAATAGGTAAGCCAACTCCGACAACCAGTGGAGTGAAGAGGATGGGGCGATGCAGATGGAGCGAGATGAGGGACAATTTTATGAATTATAATTCATTGTAGTTTGTGCAACTGTCGTAAGTCGTAAAAGGTAGAGTTAGGATAAGAGTATGTATGAAGTACGGAGTAACATATATTTCTTATCACTAATAATAGCAATAGGAAACATGACATAGACATGCAGGTCAGGTCTCTCTCTCTTTCTCTCTCTCTTATCGCAAAAGCCTATTGTAATACTCTATTATCTAACTATGACGCCTACCAAGCCGTGGTGTGAGTACAATTCCCCCCTACTATACCACACTACTGCATCGATTTCTTGATTTTCCTTCGTTGGCGAGTAAGCATGAATCAATCAACCAACCGTCGTTCGTTAGACTGGCCTGGGCTGGCCTGGGGGGTGCGCTGTGCGGTGTGGATGCGGCGGGGAAAGAAAGGGGAAATGGAACTCACGTGAGGAGATGGATGAATGCGGAGACGTGGACGTGCATAAAACAAGCGTGTAGAGGGATGAACTAATTAGATGCCATTGCTCGTATGTACTATATGACACTATTATCTAGCCTCTCATCGCAAAAGGCACAGTCACGTGTTCCGCCACCACTGGCTGCAACTGACAAAGCCTCGATATAATAGGACTAGGTTTGCAGAAAAGTACCCTAGTAATTATGGAATACGGCAATACTATGTTTGCATCTAACATCCGGCTTAAAGCCAAATCACACAATATCAGAAGTACAGGACACTCCAAGTAACCTAGCCCAGCACCACACAACCCGACATCTCAAATCACCCTCCCATCCCCTTCCCCGCCATATCCCTAATAATCCCATCCATCCTCCTATCCCCCACCCCCATCCTCTCGATCTTCGCATCCAACCAAGCGATTATCTCCCCATACCCACTCTGCCGTTTCCTAAGCACCTTTATAAACGCGTGCATCGCAAGCCTTGATTTGCCGATTTCGGTGATTAGCTTGAGGTCGTTAAGGCCATTTGCGAGAGGACTTTGTGGAGGGAAGAAAGAAGCTTGATGGGAAAGGGTAGGGGAGGGAATTCACTTACCATTCAACCATAACCTTAGTAACTTTACACTTATACCCCACACCCCCCCTATCCTTATTCACCGTAGCATTCCGCCCCTTACTTTTCATCAGCACGAATGCTAGGTCGATTGTATCGATAATCGTGTCTATTTGATGAGAATCAGCAATTGCTTGCTTGCTTGCCATACACAAAAAGTAACAAGGGAAGGAATCAGAGGGAGGGGAGATAATTAATTACTTACTTTTCAACAATCCAGACCTGGGTTTTTTCCCAGGAGGTAGGAGACGGATGTACGTCCATGTTTTCATAGCGGTTTCGAGGAATGCGCTGTGGATGTTGCGTAAGACGGTGCTGAGGGAATTATAAGATGTGTCGAGGAACATGGCGTGGGCTTGGATTTTAAACGTATCTGCTCTCATCAGCACCATAGCTACCTAATACTTTTTCCAAGCCAGATAGCTAAGTCATATATATAAAAAGACCGTGATCATGATTAAAACGACTTGATCAATAGTACGTGTTAATTGTCTGACTTGTGGTATGGGGCATGGACCTCCAAATCAGGAACACCAAAATGTGAATTCCCCATACCAAAAGAATTGGCCTTTGCCTGATAATTTGGTAAAGTAGCAGGAGGAAGAAAAGGAATGTAAGAGTAAGTATAAGAGGGAGAGTAACAAGGTGTAAACCCCACTCCCCCACCCAAAAAAAGGCAAAAACATACAACAGCAGGTATTCGCTGGTGGTCACCCACCCAACTACTAATCTGCCGATCTGAGGCTTGTGTATGGCAGAGCGGACGGGATGCCCAATTCTCCTCAGTCTATGGTCGTATGTACAAGCCCTTTGGTTATTTCTCTACATAACCTGCTCTTGTACACACATTCTGACTTCAGAAAACGGAACGGGTCGGGGTCGGTATTTGGGTTGGGCCACAGGTCGCAGGGCACGAAGCGAGAAAATATTTCTGTGCGATGTGACAGGACAGGAAAAAGAAAACAATGAACCAAACTTACTTAAAATCTTTCTATGGAAAGTCTTTCCTGGGATTTTGGAGAATTCAACGGTCATTGAATCTGCGATCGCTGTATTTGGATTTCGACGTTAGTAAACGGAACGTCGATGGAGGGGAGGAGGGAGGAGGGGAGAAAACTTACAAACATCTTTTCTTCTCTCGCGATCTTTCGTAATATCCAGCGTCTTCGTATCCACAAAACTCCCACAATAAGGGAAACTAGTCGTCCCAAGCAGTCTCTTAATTCTCTTCTCATTAACAGTGACTTCGAAATTCACGAGCGTTTTATCCGGATTAACTTTTACGCCATAGGCAGGGACACCGTCATGCATTATTTGTAGGAATCGTTTGGCATGCGAGCGATTCGTGGTAACGAGCAAGAAATCATCCGTGAGGCGCATTAGCAGATTATCTCCACTGTCGGGGCTTTGGAGGAACGAGAGATGTGTAGATTCTAGATCGGCGTAGAAGTAGTTGCAGAGGAGAGAAGAGAGGACGGATCCTTGAGGTATACCGGCTGCTTGGCGGAAGAACTTCTTCCCTATCTTCACGATGTTCCTTTGGATGTGCTCTTCCAATAAGCGCAAGAGCGCATCTGTGTCTCGGACTTGCGGGACGATGTTTGGGACGAATATAGTGTTTTTCCTGCCTACTGCTAGGTCTGACGAGAGGATTTCGGAGAAGGTTTGGCAGTCGTCGAGAGGGTGTGCTAAGGCGGGGAATTTGCGGGTTGGTTTTGAGGAGGCTGAAAATGGGGCTTTGAATTCGGCGTGTGTGGAGATCAGGTATTCGGATTCCGAGGGTAGGCTGCGCATTAGAGATAAGATGGCGAATTGCGGGATGGTGTCGAATGCTGCCTGTACGTCGACTTTGACAAAGTAGAGGGGTGTCGAGGAGGGTGTGAGTGTGGATTTGAAGGCTTTGAGTTTAGTGTAAAGGTCGCCAACTGACCAGAGGGTTGAACCGAGACGGGTGGGGTTTGTGGCCTGGTATGTGTCAGTAGATCCACGTGTGAGGAAGGAATAAGTACTTTTTCATAGCTGAAGATGTTGTACACTGGCGCAAGAACAGAATTTATGCTCGGCCCAAGCGTATTATTCCAACTCTTCTTAATCATCCTCCGCTTTAGATTCATGATCGGCCGAACCCCAGTTTCCTTCGGTAGTAACCTCACTTGACTGAAACCCAGCGTTCTCGAGTCCAGCAGTTTTCTCGCCTGCCCTGCCTTTACTTCCTTAAACATGGTCAGCTTGAGGGCTGCTATTGCCGGCTCGGCTAGAGATCGCCATACATCGTGGCGGAAGTAGAAAAGGCGGTATTTGTGGATGCCGGATTCGGTGATGTGGAAATTAGCGCGGAGGAGGGGAATAAGAAGGGAATCAAAGAGGTAGTAGATGAACTCGTGGAAAATCTCGAGTCGTTTGGCTAGATCTGATTGGGACATCTTGGCGCCGGTGGTATTTGGAGATTGTAGCCATTCGATATCGGAGATCTGGAATACGATTAGAAGACCTCGATATGGAAGCGTGCGAAACTCACTTGTAGTCCTTGGGATACATCGTGAAGTGTCAAGCTTTCAAATCTTCGAAGCCCGATGAAACGATTAACGTTCTTGAGAAATGTCTTCTCATTGTGGGCCTGTACGTCTCCAGAGCCCCAAAATTCCTTGGGAACGAGCTTCAGAAGAACTGCACGGCAGAAAGCAGAGACCATTGGCTCAGGGGTCGCATAATTCATCATAGATGGTTTTTGAGGAGCAATTTCTTTGGACTTCAAAGGACTCACCATACTGCTGATGGTGCTAGGAGTCATTTGAGTTTTTAGCTGTATTGATGACTCGTTGCTTGGTTTAGGCTGAGACTTTGGGATAGGAAATTGAGGCGATCCATCAACCACCTAAGAAGTCAGCTTGAGATACGAAGTAGGAAAAGAAAACTTACAGGGCAATAGTAATCTATCAGCGCTTTATATGAACATCTGTCGTGTAGAACTTGCAACTTCCGCACCAACTGCGCTGCTTTCCCACGCAGTCTCTTTGGAATCTTGGGTGGTATGGCTGGCGGGTACTTCTGATTCATCTCATCCTCTCGAAGCGTATAGTCCATGAAAGGCTGGACTGTCTTTTTGGAATCAACCTCATTAGTAAAGACGTTATGGAGGCCAAATTGTCTAGGGAATAGGTACATCATCACGTGGATGGTGCTTTGTTCAGTCGAACTTGGTGCATCAGAGGTAGCGCGTTCGAGTGGATAGCGGTTGAGTACATCTAAAACAATTAGAAAGTGTAGATAAGGGCAGGCGCAAGCTTACGAATGTGTCGAAGCCCAAATCGAACCCCCCCTTTTGCGTTAAGAGCAGCTCGAGCATAGAAAATACGGTTTCGTACTAGAGTTATGGATGAGGGACCATGATTCACCACTTTATTCTGCTTAGATTTGAGCACAGGAGACTTTGCGGGTGGATTCTCGGCTGGTAACGTCTGTAGTTCACCCAGTGGAAGTCCTATTGCTCATTAGTCTTACTGTCTCGCCATTGCCAATGGTTGAATAATGTTAAACTAACCACATAATTGATGATATACCCCGCGTCCACTCTCAACTTCCAGAAAAATCCCACAATCAAGAATCAAATCAATCATTGCTCTCTCGCCTTCTTTTCCCATCAGCAACAAGACCTGTGGCCAGGGTGTTGATTTCATAGACGTCACGTGAATATTTGGATACACAGACTGCACTCCTGGTATGCCAGAGATATGATTCTCTTCATGTCTCATGGCACGGGAATAGATATCTTTCTGAAATCCTTGACACAACAAATGTTGAACACGTCCATTTGTTGCATGTTTTTTAGAGAAGAGTAACCAGATGGCAAAGTCAACAATCTGGACACGGTCAGTACGTGACTGCTTCGAGAAAGATTAACGCGTACCTCCGACTGTGAAAAGACTCCTGGCGAGCTCAGATTGATAAATGTCGATGCGGACTCATCAGCTCTTTGTGAGAAAGTAGTCCATTGCTGCCATCGCTCCTTCTGTGATGCCTGTGTACATACAGATACGCCAACCAACGTACTGTCAATGAATGCAGATAAACCCTCCTCTGATGGGTCGCGTCCAACTGATAATATCTTCTTTCTCCGGATTTTGGATGTGTTTGGGAGCCGTTGGAAGAGATATTCGCGCAGAGTGAGGACTTGGGGGTAATATTGGGAGAGCAAGATTTGTTTGATGATGGGGTCTTTGCTGTTTCCGGTGCCTGGGGAAGGCTTTGAGATCTTTTGGCGCTTCTGGTCGTGGTCAGAAGCGCTGTGACGCGTCCGTTTCCTTTTTCCTGCCATGGTGGGCGAGAGCAGTAGGATGAGGGGTTTGGACTCTTGGACCAGAGTTGATGTTGTAGGGATAGGTACCTAGGTACTTTTTCTATAACAAAGAGAGTTGCGGTGTTTGTCTGCCTTGTTGAATATTCGTGATGCGCTCGTCAAATAATTTGCAATGCTCAATTGTATCTTGAAGATCCGTAGCCGAAATGCTGAGACGTGATTCAAGGTTCCCAATCCGATTGCTCTTCGATTCCAGCCTCAATAGTTGGTGTCTCCTGAGTACCAAAGCGACCTAGTCGCGGGCAATCCTGTGAAACCGACTCGTGAAATCAAGCGGTACGTACTTGTAGCAAGCAAATAAAAATATTGGCATGGATGACTGCCGTGGGGGATAAAGTCAAAGTCAAAGTCAGTCCAACGGGTCAAAAGGAAAAGGAGGCGAGAAGCGCGACTCGATAGGCTGACATGATCGTTAACTGCAAACAGAATGTAGATGCCGTGATCTATTAAATTTAGCATCAACATGGGATTATTGAGCTTAAGATTGTCGAAATGAGTAAAGTCATACGATATCCACAGTGTTTTTTGTTTTGGAAGTCAGAGCGATAAGATTAATGTTGCGATAAAGGTAAAGCTCTTGTCTGAGGTGAAGTGGTTATAAAGGGTGTCTATAGGTACCTACCCTACCCTACCCTACCTAGGTACTATAGTACTACGGAGTGAGAGAGAGTTGTGGCAGCGCTGTGGTGTGGCTGAGCACTTGCCTCTCTCCCTCTCTATCTCTCTCTATCTCTCTCTATCTCTCTCTCTCTCTCTCTTAATTTCATGATCTCCCAAGGCACTAGTTGCCCTACGGCCGGCTAAATATGGACGGCGACGGGTTCTAGAGTCAGGTAGGGGTAGCGCAGGGTAGGGTCTGTCAACAATCAGGAAGAGCAGCATAAGGTTGTGGAGAACTCTCTCAATGGATAGATTGGAGTGGAGTAGGTTCTTTGAAGTATCCAGTACCGTCTAGGGAACACAACGTCAAATCATAAATACCATATTTTGTACTCTGTGCAAGTTCAATTTATCCTTATATCGACCATTACTATACTTCGTACTCTGCCATCAAATACCTAGTTCCATCCTGCCAAAACTATATCACTCCCCCCCCCCCCCCCCACTCCAGCAACACTGAACTTTTTCACGACCAGTTCCACGACTTCCAATCTTGCAGGCCCAAGGGACCTAGGTATAGACTGCACACTGCACTGCAGACTGCAGTCCCGTAGACTGACTGCACTAGAGCATACATCAGACACCGGCTCCTCTTACCCTATCAATTCCCGCTCTCCCCCCAAACGCATTGCACCCACCAAGGACCACGTCGATTCCTCAAACGGCCCCTACTTGCGAATCAAATAGCACAGCTCACCGCAGCCCACCCTGACCTGCTGTTACTACGCCACGTACCTTCCCCTACTCAACGCGACCCAGATCGACCTACCAACCCGGCAAGGTGCCGGCCTAATCAATGTTCAGTCATAATGGAGAGCAGTATCAATGGAGCAGATCAGAACTTTTATGCTAGGCGCCCTGTTGCAAATCAACATCATCCTCACTCCACCACTACCACCACCGACTTGCCCTCTCCCGAAAAGCCTCACCTACTTCTCCAACAACGCACCTACGACCCACCACCGCTCCCAGACTTCGACGCACCTTCACCGCAATCTCAATTGCCTCCCGAGCTCCCTTTCCTCACAACTGAGAATCTGCAAGCTGCCACAGCAAATGGATATAACGCTGCAGGTGCCTTGACCGATGGGGATGACCCGGCCGAATTCTACAGAGAATATCGCGGTGTACAGCAGCCTCCGAACGGCTACACAGATACGACAAACGGCATGGCGACTACCGACACGAGACCGACTCCCTCCTCGCTGAGGTCGAATGGGAATGGCACAACTGCGAAACACCCCCCGATCCCCGCACGAGGAGTCAAGACTTCCTATCGTTCCGCATCCTCTCCCCTCGACGACAGAATGCCTTTGAGCTCCGCCAAATCGTCACCAGCCCTGAATGGCATGCCTAGGCATGGGAAGAGTGTTAAGGATCTACTGAGACAATTCGACCAGAATAATGAACCATCGAGCTCAACAGTCCGCAAACCGGCCTCTCGCCTGGTCACGAAGAATGGCGCATCGGGTTCCCCTTACATGAAGGATCGAAATGGAAACGTGAGTCGCACGACGGGCATTTCTCAAAACACATCAATATCATCACGAGCTGGCACGTCTACGAGAGATGGAGCCGGACGAAAATCCCCGGAGAAAACGAGGACGACCCAGAGAACACGATTTGCAACAGAAGACCAAGAATCGAATAATATCCTCTCGGGTGTACCCCGCCCAACTCGTTCGCGCAACCCAGTGTCGGGGAGTAGCTTCCAAGCTTCCAAGTCCATGACCAACCTCTCACCCACCTCGCCAACCTCGCCAGACTCCAACCTCCCCCCACAAACGCCCGCGAGACGACCTCTGTTCGGGGAAGTTCTACCTGCTGGACCGGGTTCAGATGATATTGGTTATGGTATCCCCCATGTCGCAACTCACAGAACTTCTGATTCTAATTTACATCCAAATTCGCAACGCCAACGGAGTCGCTCTGAAGTGGATGTTTCGCCCTCTTCTCCCACTGCTTGGTATCTCGGTGTCACACATACCCTGGACGATGTTGAACCAAACAGACAGCTCCGCCCCTTACACGGTCATAATCGAAACCACAGCGATTTCGCAGACCCCAAGGCAAACCCAATGAATGGCGTGAGTCCAGATTTCGAGAGCCCAGTTATACCAAGTCTCCCGAAACAGTCTAAAAGGCAAAGCTCTCGCTCTCGCTTACCTAAACCCTCCAAGAGACTAAGTAACTCATCCGAATCCTCGAGTCAGACCTCGACTCGGGCTAGCTCGCCTTTGACGACTAAGTCCTACTCGAATGGAAAATTGCGAAAGGCTGAACAGAGACCGTGGAGCCCTGCAACCCACTCGACAAATACACTTACGCAAAGATCTCCCCGGGGCAAGGTAACGAGAGCTGAACCTGCGCCGAGTGGAGCGAGTCTCAATGCTTACATTTCTGCCCCTCCACCCAGAACATCCCCACCTCTGCGAAGCTCTCGGCCACGACAATCAGTCTCGGCAACTAATAATTCAAAGCAAAAAGCAAGCGCCTCACAGCAGGTCCCCACTGGCATGAAAATCACTCGCAGTAATGGCCCACCAGGATTTGATGATCCCCAGCCTCGAAAGATAAGTGTCGGACCAGTTAATTTTGAGGAGCGGAGAATTAAGATAAAAAGAGCTTATACCAAGTCGATCCACGAGAATGAGAAGAACAGAATATGTGCGGAAAACTTAAGGCGTCTGCAGGAGAGAACTGCGCGGGGCTCTCCCGAAGCGGATAATAAGGACTCCAATGTATCACAGTCAAGACCAGAAACTCCTCCACCAGTACCTGCAATAGGCCACCAACCGAACTTTGGAAGCTCACCACCGCCTCTTCAAACATCACCCACGCCTTGTCAAACCTCACAGCAGCCCTTGCAAATAAGTACTACATTCTTCAATGATCCGTCCCCCCTGGAAAGAAACGTCATGGAGTTTCAAGATTCCCCAACACTTGGCATGCCTGGTAGTTTCGTTGATGATGACGAGCCACCACAATCTGCAATATCGAATACGACTGCAATCACCGAAATTGAAAACGAACCCCAGACAGAAGTTGCACGGTTGAGGCGACTACCCTCGAGCAGGCTATCATCTAATGTTCTTTTTGTTCTAGATGATTTAAGCCCAGAGCAGGCTTTATACGGCATCGGTCAGGATGAAAAGATCGACGTTAAACTTGCTACCACTCCTATTGAAGAAGCCGAGTCGACTCCAACAGAAGATGTTGTAACTCGCTATCCTTCGCCGCCGGGTGCTTTCCAGGATGGACTTGATGAGCTAGTACACAAAACTAACTTGCCTAATATGAGTCCGGACGCAACATCAGCTGCGCCGTTGAGACCTGCCCCAATCCTTGAGTCTGCTGATGAGCAAGGGTCCAGCACGGCCGAGCACCCAAAAGAGCCGACTATTGCCGATGAGCCTACCATTCCTCAAATTCAGGGCCCTCCCGAAATTTACTTGCCTGACGAGGCTGGATTCACCAGCGTTGATGACAAGGCTGATCCTCCTCGGCTTCCGCTTCCCGATTTACGGACAGCCTTAGCGCCACCATCAGTAGCCTCAAACGAAGGTGGAAATGACTACTTGAATACACCAGTGACAGATATGGATTATGAGAGCTCGGATGGCGTAGGAGCTACAAATCTGAGCGAGCAAGCGTATCAAACGTCTTACGAAACTAGTCGCGACCCTATTCCATATTCGCGCGGTCATCGTTCAAGCCATCAATCGTCGTGGACGGATTATTCTGTTGACTCGACACTAGATTTTGCTGAACAGGCAGAACGTCAAAAGTCACCGCCACCAGTGAGTGTATTTAACAAAGACCTTCGAGCTGTGTCGCCTATTGTTCCACCAAAGCCCGAGGGCTACAGTCCCCAACCGTCTCCTCGTCCGTCTCCTCGCCCGTCTCCTCGCTTCTCCATCACCTCTCCTTCAATTAGTAGCCCAAATCACGCTCAAGAACCGGCGTTCTCAGCACATGATGACTTTGGTATCGGATTCAAGGAGCCAATCACCAGCGTACCTTTATGGCCAGAGTATGCACCACCTCCAGTCCCACAAAAGTCGTTGCCGTTGCCCCCGAATCGCGAGCCACCTCCTCCAGTTACGCATAACGAACCGCCCCGCGCAAGTGTTGACCACCCCCGTCATATTGATGCTAGCCAATCTCGAAGATCAAGCAATGATATTTACTCGCCGAGACCTTCTATATCCACCCCACGCTCAAGTACGCAAATTTCGACCGAGGATGTTGCGAATGCAGCATTCGGGAAGAAGCATGCAATTCCGGAAACTGAGTCTGAGCGAGAGGCATCCGAAAAGTTGACGAAGCGCTTGTTCCAACGAAGGAAGGCGATGGAAGAATTGATCTTGACGGAGTCTAATTATCTGAAAGACATGAATGTAGTTGAGGAGATATACAAAGGTACGGCTGAAGCGTGTCCGAAATTGGAGCCCGGCGATATCAAAACGATCTTCAGAAATACCGATGAAATTGTCGCATTTACCACTACCTTCCTTGATGAATTAAAAACTGCGGTGGCACCCGTTCTACCTCAGCGTGCGCCCAAGTCGAGATGGAGCAGGGCAGGTAACGCAGAATCGCCCACTCCAACAGCGTCTGATAGATTCTCGGTCGCTGCCACGTTAAATGACTTGAGCGAAGAACAAAAGGACCGGCGGACATCTGTTGGGGCTTGCTTTGGGAGACATCTTAAGAAGATCCAAGCAGTCTACTCTGACTTTTTGAAGAATCAAGAAGTGGCCAGTTCCCGCCTAACAATCCTTCTAACAGATGGCTCGGTTAAAGTCTGGCTGACCGAATGCGACACCGTTGCCAAGGACCTGACAACAGCATGGGATCTAGATGCGCTACTTGTGAAGCCGGTTCAACGAATCACCCGCTACCAGCTTTTTATGGCTCAATTACTTAAAGATACCGATGTCGATCACCCAGACTACCCATATTTGACCGCTGCGAATAGCGACTTATTACTGATAATCAATAACATTAATGAACTCAAGAAGCGGATTCATATGGTCACAGAGATTGTCGGCCGCAAGCGCAAGGAATCCAACGTTCGAAAAATGAGAGGGGTTTGGCCAAAAGGCCCTAAAAAGGATAAGGACGATAACCCAAATCAGCTGACTTCAACTGGGACGGAGGACGATCCAGTCTATCTCAAGCTTCACGAAAGGTATTGTGACAATTATCTTCGCATGCAGGTAGTTCTTCGGGACGTTGAGTTTCATGTACGGCAATGTATCACCAATGTTAGTGATGACCTGAGATATAAATCGGCGATGGAGCTTATTATGCGCTTGAGTGCGAGTCCTTGGCCGGAGATAGAAAGCAAGTGGGCTCGGTTTAACATGTCCATGAGGGATATGGGAACTGTAGCTTTAGACCAACACGTAAGTCGTCCGACCCTTATTTAACATGCCCACTAACAAGGTTTAGACTGGAGCCATCCGAACCCAAGTAATCGAGCCTTTTGAGAAGACTATACAGCTGTACGGACCACCTGGGCTTGCCATGAAGAAACGCACGAAACGACGTGCCGAATACGAGAAGATTTCTGCGGCTAAGAATTCTGGATCCAAGATCACAGAGAAGGACCAAGCCAAACTAGAGCAATACGAAGCACTGAATGAAACGCTCAAACTTGAGTTACCCCAGTTGTTCGAGAAGACCGAGGAGATTGCAAACCTCCTTTTGGGTCATTTCATTTGTATACAAGCGCGGTGGTATGATGTTTGGCAAAAGAAGGTGAGGGTTGTCTTGGAAGAAAGTCAGATCCCCAAGGATATTGCAGAGATTGTTAGTGCATTCAACAGGGACTACAAGTTCGTTGAAAACAAAGCTCAAGCATTGGGCATTGTCAATGGTACCATGAACTTTGAAGAAAGGGTTCCCAGCTCAGGAAAAGCATCGACAGATACAACCGAGAGGAGCAGGAAATATTCGGAAAGGAAGCCACGTCCGTCGGATCTTTCAAGTCGCTCTCGCGGGCTGTCGGTGACTAGCGATCATTCCCCGAGTCTTCCGACTCCAGATTTCGCCAAGCGTCTAAGCGGCAGCCAGTTCACATTCTCCCCAATATCTGCAACTACGCCAAATATTCCTCAGTTTGCATATCAAAACCAATCATACCAAGGCCAGCCGTATTCAACAACTCACTCTCGCCAAGGTTCTGGATCTCCAGCCACCCCTGATGTTCGACCAGGTCTGGGTCGGCCAAGCACGAGCCGTAGCTTTACGTCGGATAATGGTGGCATGCGAATGAGCAATGATTACAACACGCAGTATCGACGGGAATCTGGTTCAACTTCTTACTCCCACCATCAGGATGGACCATCCATCTCATCTCGTCCTTATTCTGGTATCTTCCACTCGGCAATGCCTCTTCCCGATGGCCCTGAAGACAGCGCGCGGTCTTCACGTGCTTCATCACGAGATCGAAATGTCGCAGGTGGCTACAACGTTCTGTACCTCGCCGCCAGTTTGTTCGAATTCAACATTGCTGCCACGAAGTCTGAAGCTGGATACCCTTACTTAACGTATCAGGCGGGCGAGGTTCGTACCCCCACCCTCTTTTTAGTTAGTGTCTCTAACCATGAATGTAGATCTTTGATGTCATCGGCGAAAAAGGCGAACTCTGGCTCGCCAAAAACCAAGACGATCTTTCAGAACAAGTCGGTTGGATCTGGAGTAAACATTTTGCTCGTTTAGCAACTGATTGAAGTTTCTCCTTCATAAAAGCCTTCCCCACTGTCTCTACCTTGACCGAATGTCGAATTGGAACTTTTCTAGTTTGAGTTGTATTTATTGACTGAAATGATAATGGGCGTTTGAGCGATTTAACGGAATGGAATGGCGAAGCAAAGCCGGCAAGCAAAAGATACACCAATACAGGAGTTAGTATATTATGGGGATCGTTGATATGAGGCGTTTTTTAGTTATTTTTAATTTGTCTTTTCTTGAAAGTTCTTTTTTTCATGAGAAATGAGCGGGCAGGCGCGAAAGAGGCGTCAGCTGTTCTTAAATAGAATATTCGATGGATGTTTATTTGTTTGTTTATATTAAGAAAGAATGAGGTATTTGGTATGCAATAGGGGTAGTGGGATGGATGGATCGATGGATGGATTGGTAGGAATGGGGTGAAGCGGAGTTTATATTTGAGATGGATGGATGAGGTGGAATGAAATGGAATGGATCAGAAACATTATTGTCGAAAACTTGGTCTATTATATGATAATACTTGTGCTTTGTGATTGATTAGGCTGCATTCCGATTTCATAACTAATCCTGGGTTGCCCAATACACCAACACCGTCAACTCATAACCCTCGATAAGCTCAGCTGCTTTTCACTCGCGATTGTCAATCTTCAAAAGTTAGAAGTGAAGTTACCGTAGGGTATTTCCCCCTTCCTTTCTCTCTTCATACTTTCTCACTACATTTCTGCATTTCCACTAATCCATCCATCTATCTATCTATTGACACCCTGGGGCAGACGTCACTCTACAGACTATAGTATAGTATTACCCGTGCGCAGAATGGTAGCTCTGTAAGAGGGAGATAATTATATAAGATGAGTTGAGATGAGATAGGAAGTTGGGGCTCTCGGCTGCTTTTCTTCCAGCTGCCAACTTCGAAACTTTCACTTTTATGCTTATTTTCTTAGCCACTTTCTCTTTCTTATCTTGAAGGTCCTAAAACTAATAAAAAAATTCCATCTTGTCAAGTTTGAATACGGCATGGCTCCAAGTAGCCCCCTACATGCGATCCGGACTGCTCATTTTGAGGCACCTGAATACACAATTAAGTCAAAGTATCCAGAGATATTTTCTATCTTCCTCTTAATTTGTTATGATTGAAAGAGCTTGAATTTCTATGATAGATACTGTGTACTTTCGATATCTCAAACTGTGGGAGACTTATTGGTCTCGCCCTCTTTGCTATATTTACCGCTGGACAAGCCCTTCGTCACATCCAATATACGAGGGTCGATGCGGTCAGGTCTGTAGTAGGTTGATGAGCTCATACCTGCAGCACGGCCTTCTTCAGTTTGGCACATATGCCGGCCAATGCCCATGAAGGCATATTTGTTTTGTTTCTATACGGGATTATATCCAATTAGTGAAGCTCAATTGAATGAAGAAAAAGACGGGGAGATTTACATTTATGTAGTCAAGATCCATGTCTTCCCACCGTACGTTGGAGATCATCTCATTGTAGTGGACGGTGGAACCAGCATAAACACCACTGAGGCGACCAGTGTCATTGTCCTTATACCTGTTACCACAGTTAACTTGGCCCTTTACGAAACACTGGATTATTTTACCAAGTGCGACATCCTTTACCCCAGACGACGAGAGGAGCCCATGTCTGGGTATGTTCGTTGTACTGATCAGAAGCTTCCTGCTTAGGACAGAAACTTTTGATTTGATCATTTTGTAACTTCTGTAAGCATCGGATGGCGTAGTCCCCATTAGTATCAAGCCCACCCATGATACTGCCCACAGCAATCGGCCTAGATACAGAACAGGTCAGACGGAATTGGGTTTTTGTAAGGCAGCGGTGGTTCTTTACCAGTTTGGCCCGATGAACGTAAGCCAATTCGGCATATCAGCACATGCGAGTCCGAAATAGGCCTCAGCGGCATATTTCCATTTGTCTTGCAGATTCACTCCTCCACGGCCAACTACGGGGAACCGTGGGCGATATGTAGTGTCAAACCCTAAGGGACCTGTATTAGCTTTATGGTTCGACCAAAGGTTGAGAATGTTTGTATCCTATACCAGTTGCACAAACAATCACATCACACTTGCGTTCTACGCCATCGTCTCCAACTACACCGTCTTCTGTGATACGTGATACTCCCGTGAAGCGGAGATCAACGTTAGGCTCCTGGATTGCTTGCAGATACGGGTCTCCGGGGGTCATCCTCCTACAGTTGACCGGGAAGTCGGGCAATAAACCTAGGTGGCATTTAGCAAGATTGACACCTTTACATCAGTATAAAAGTCGATTACAAACCTTCAAGAATCTTCTCATCTTTGATTATGCTCCGCATGCGTTCTTCAACCAACTTTCTCCACGCAGCCTGTTCGGCACTACCCATAATGTTCTGGTCGAAGCGTCCATTTACCTCATTTTCCAATTCCTTAATGTGGGCAACGAGGAGTTTCGGGTTGTCTCGGTAGAATTGTTGTTCTTCCTCTGTATCTATGCTTATAGTCAGTATAAAACCGTTACTGTCACAAGTGGATTTACACTTATGATTGTTTCCAAAGTTGTTCATGATCTGGACAAACCAAACAGGTGTTCTGACATAAACGTCCATGTGCTTTACATGCGGCTGAAACGTATATGGATGGTTATTACTTGATCGTATGGCATCATATTTGACTTGGAAAAACTACAACGGGGAGGCTGATTTACCTGCATGGTTGGCACCACCTGTATCGAACTTGCACCACTGCCAATGACAACGACCTCCTGGTCCTTCCAAGCTTCAGCCGCGAAATCATCAGGCCAGCCTGCAGTGTGCACTAGCCGTCCCTTGAAGTCCTTCAGTCCAGGGATATCCGGGTAGTCCCATCGGTTCAGAATGCCCGTAGCATGCATGATCATATCTGCCTCGTCCCAGAACTCACTTAAGACCTTGAGCGGCTCGACCGATGACCAGTCCGCCTTGGGTTCAACGATTTGCACCTTGACTCTCCATTTGCCCTTCTCCTCGTCCCACCAGCAACCTGCAACTTGGTGGTTGAGATTGATGTATTTGGCCAGATCGAGTGTATCAACGACCGATTGAAGATATGTTAGGATGTCTTTTGACGTTGCCAGGAAAGCCTTCCAATCAGGGTAGGGCGCCCAGGGGTATGTGTACGAGTGAGACGGGACATCGCAACTGTTCCATTCAAAGTCAACACTTCGTACTCAGTCCCAGATACTTCACACTTCGTAATTCGTAGTGTATCGTCGACGAACAATGTACTTTGTACATTCTTAAAATGAAAGAGTGGAATGCTTACGCGCAACCAGGATAGCGATTTTCAAACCAGCTGCAGTCAACCTTTTAGTTACAGTGCACTTTATTTCTGGGATCTTATATCAACTTACGTGCCTCCAATCATCGGATTGCGTTCATAGATTATATGCTCGACATTCTTCATCCCCTGATCGATTTTGTATGCCATCATGATCCCAGATACGCCACCACCGATAGTGATAACGCGCAATGGGCGGTTGGCTGGATCATTAAGGGTGGTTTTTGGCACCTCATAAATCTTAGAGGCTTGTATCCATTTTGGCTTTTGGACGGTGGGCACAGGGCTATTGTCAACAAGGTCTGCAGTGGATGAAGGACTCATGATGGTGGTATAGTAAGTATATTGCAATACAATCTTGTATCAATGAGAGAAGTTAGATCGAAGATAATGAAGAATTTACTTGATGAGTTTTGTCTTATATCTACATCTAGAGCACCACCCCGATCCGTCCTTGAACTGGGATACCGGACCTCGGGCCTGAGGTGGGGAAGGAATTCTGATATTCCAACCGAATTAAGGCGGGGAACTACCGTGGAGCCCTACTATAATCTCTACGATACTACGTGACTACGGTAGTTCCTATGTGACTACCGTGATTACGATTCAGCTTACCGTGATTTTAGCAAAGAGGAGGCAAATTACAGCTTTAAGTCTCCTTTACTCTTACATTGCTTTACTCTCTTCAATCATCACTCTACTGCAGCTCTTACTTTACTATAGCCCTTACTCTACAGCAGCGGGCGCTCACTCGATCAAGGGTCCCCATGCCATGTGGGGTTGGCACTGTGGGGAAAAAGTTTGGACCACCACTAGGCCTAACCTCCACACTATAAAGGTCAGGGGACACCAATACTACATATCTCGGAACAAGATACTTCTTAATAGTTAGTGATTCTGTATAAAAATTAAGTACCCACTAGTCGAGTAAGACCGGCCGTGCCTGCCGTGCCGTCCTGTTTTTATGCTTCCCCATTTTTACCCTCATATTTCGGACCGGTTGACTTTATACTCCGCATCTAACTAAGTATACCCCGCTTTCCACAAATATATTGCAGCTAAGTTACGATTGATAATTTGCTACTAACGGTCCGGTGGTATCTTTGGCTAATGCCTAAGAAAGCCATGTTTATAGACATGCCCCAGAGGTAGCAGAGTGGATATAAAATATCCCAGACTATCTGTTCTGATCTTGCACCTCATCTTCTTTAAACAAAAAACCACCAGTATTTTCTACAATCATGTCTAACGCCGCATCACAACATGCGGATTTGTCCATTCCGGATCCCGAATGGGTAGAGGTGCGCTTAGATGAGAGCCTACCCTTTCACCCTTCTAATAATAATCGCCCTGTTTAGTTTGCCAGCAGCAATCCTATTCCAAGCCTTGTTGGCTCGGCCACGGAGCTGCGAGCAATGATCAACCAGGTCAAAAAGATGGCTCCTGGTATCAGCCCCGTTGGTTTCACTATCAGCGAGAAAGAGATAACGGTTGATGATGGAAATACCATAACTCTGCGCATATATACACCGGCGCAGCTGCGGGCTGTGTATCCACTGTTGGTGTAGTTAGTCTAACCATTCTGCCAATTTAGTTGTAGTATTAAGTGTTCGACGAAGCTAACGAACGGGCTTGATCAGCTACCATGGAGGTGGCTGGACTGTAGGCAATCTGGACACGGAAGATAATGTCTGCCGGTCGCTCTGCATAGAAACCACGTCTGTGGTTGTGAGTGTCAACTATCGAAAGTTGGTATTGCGAAGATTCGAACAGAAGCTTGCTAACAAAGTTAACAAGGGCGCCGGAGAATCCCTTTCCAATTCCTGTAGAAGATTCGTGGAATGCGTTATGCTGGGTAAGTCTTTGACGATGGTCTAAGTGTCTAATTAATGACATTCAAAGGTTGTCGAACACGCCGAATCGCTGAAAGGGGATCTTGGCTCCCTCATTATTGGTGGCAACAGCGCTGGGGCTAATTTTGTAAGTACGGAAAGAAGGATTCGAAATTCGAATCTTATACAAACTACGCTTCTGACACTTGCTTTTAGACGGCCGTCTTGGCTCAACGAGCAAGAGATACCGGAAAGTTCAAAATCCATGGTCAAATTCTGCGTAATCCATTTGTGTGTCATCCTGATGCTCATCCAACCGGCATGGACTTTTCCAGTTGGAAGCAGAATGCCAACGCTTCCATCCTACCTGCAGAATCTGTACGCCAATTTCTCGGATTCTACAACCCGGACCCAAAGGACATTCGTGTTTCGCCTCTGCTCGCCAAAGATCTAGCTGGACTTCCTCCAGCATACGTACAGATATCCGGTGCCGACGTGCTGCGGGACGAGGGGTTGATATATGCGCAGAAACTCAAGGAGGCTGGGTAAGTCACTTACAACTTTCCAGAAATCTATCTGCATGGTTCTCGTCCTAATTTCAAGCCATTATAATAGAGTGCGGGTGAAAATTGACACCTATCCGGGCTTGCCGCATGGGTTTATGATGTTCCCGCAGCTCCAATCATCACAAAAATGTTCCAAGGAGCTGATTGAAGGGGTGCGTTGGTTGACTAGTTAGAGATGATGCTGTCTAAGTAGGTATTCATAAGCTCAATGAAGACATTTATCAGAGTTATAGTAGTCAGCAGCCCACTCTAAATAGTTTATAAGTTATGTATTTTTCATATACTTGTATACTTTGCATAACTCTTTGCGGTCCGCTTCCGACGGCATTTGTACTTTCCCAAAGAAGTTTGGTACGCCAGAACTAGCATGACACTAGTGGCATTTACGGACTGGTTATTTGCCGATAGTGCGGGGTGGGTGCGGGGGAGATTAAGTTAGACGAAGCTAGATGAGGCTATGTAGACGAAGCTGAAACGACGAACAACACGAAAACCTCTCCTCTACACTTCGATCCAACACATACATTTTATCACCGAACATAGATATATATATATCGACAAAGAAAATTCAAGCATTTTATAGGAGCGTTTGGCCATGTCTTCAGATCAAACGTTCAATCAGGAATCACGGGGCATCAAACGAATACAGCAAGCCTGTGCAAACTGCCGGTAAGGCCGTCGATATCCTTTTATAGTAATCACATTTACAAGAATCCTATCTTTAGGCGGAAGAAGGCAAAGTGTAGTGGCCAACGACCCGTCTGCGAACATTGCAGACGCCTTTCGCAAGAGTGTCTTTGGGAGAGTGCCAGTGCAGCGAAATCAAATAGTGATCAGGGGAGTGTAACTGCATGTTCAGGCACAAAGGAAAGTGGAAGTCAAGTTGATCAGGAGAGCACTAAAAGCAATGTGGGTGACTCTAGCCTCTCAAATGTACACTTTAAGCTAATTAGACTTTCATCTTAGGATGTTTTGTTTGTACGAGTGGCAGCAATCGAGTCGAAACTTGACAATTTAGTCAACACTATGAGCGCGTACTTGTCCCAATCTATGATGAACCTTCCAAAACGTACTCATTATACTATAGAATTATCCCTCAGCTGGTAAATCGACAAAATGCCGACCTACTTTCGTCTCCCAGCAATAATCTACGAAGGTCCACAACCCCTAGCGGACAAGTATTTGTGACAAGTGAAGCGAATGGCTCTTTTAATCCCCAAGCGTGAGTTGCCGAGTCATACATAGAAACTTCTGTTTTCTCATTCAAACAGGTCAAGTCATAGTCTTCCGCCTCCCCACGTCTTATCATCGCTGGTCGATACCTATTTTACCCATGTCCAGAACCAGCCATATTGTTTCTTCCACCCTGGAAGGTTTCGGCAACGACTGAGTGACGGTCTCCTACCCGATTACCTTCTATTTGCTGTCCTAGCTTCTGCATTAAGGTTTTCAAACAATAGTTACTATAACGGCGCTTATGCCGAGGCAACGACTATGTATGCGAGAGAATCTTGGAAACAGATAGTTATGAGTTGGCTTGCGACTGAGAGCGATCCAGATATTTGCCTATGTCAAGCGATAACATTACTTTCGGTTATCGATTTTACAGGTAATAACTCCTCTTGCGCATCTGGCTGTGGCCGATTCCTGCTAAACCTTCGTGATCTAGCTGGCAGAAGACACCAATCTTGGCTCAAAATTGGACTCTCTATTCGGATTGCGCAAGATCTCTGTCTCATGAATGAACCTAACCCTTCACTACCATATGAGGATCAGGAAGAGCGACGCAGAGTGTTTTGGTCTATTTACATCCTCGATAAGCTGTGCTCGTGTGGCAGAGCTAGACCCGCTGCTAGTACGTACTTTTCCGAGCATTCTATCTTTTATCCTAAGGGACCCGTGTTCATCTTTGTGAAGTATCACCTCATCCACTGTTTTACCTCCCTCACAAACAACCTGTTGACTTTTGCCATTCTCGTAGTTGCCGATGCTCATTGCCGTGTCCAGCTTCCCTGCGACGATGCTGCTTTCCAGGATAGTGTCTATAAGACAACATCAACTCTGGACCGGACACTCTGCGCTGGAGACTCCTCCACATACTATCCGGAAGGAGGTTTGGCATTAGTGGTCTTAGTAGCCTGTATTTTGGGAAGATCAGCACAGCACAGCATCCACGAAAGCAGCAATGGCGAGACTTGGCTGCCTCCATGGGATTCAAAATCCGAATTCGCAACAATCTATTCTGTTCTTCTCCAATTGGAAGCACGATTTGAGTTAGGAGGAAGTATCAATGAGGCTATACAGAGGAACTCTCTGCCAGGAGGTGGACCTAACATGCAGGTCGTGGGTTCACTCATTTTTGCAAAGGCCATTTTCCACACCAGCCAATGTATCCTGCATCACCCATTTCTTCTCTCACTCCAGCTGAAGAACAACGGATTGAAAGCACCTGCTAGTTTCCTGAGTAGAGCCTTACAGACTTGCAGAGAACATGCATGTTCAATGTCAGAGCTTGTCAGTGATTCAAGCCGAGCAGGATGCACAGCATTCTACTCTTTCATAGGCTATTGTACAACTGTAGCCAGCGGCATACACACAATGTTTCTTAACAATACCGATGTTTACATCCACCAAAAGGCAGTGGAATGTATAAAATCTGACAAGGTCTTTCTCGGGAAATTTTCTCGTTTTTGGGCCAACGGGAGGATAATGGTAAGCGCAGCAGCCATTCTGGTTTATTGTATTTGCTAACTTGGTGGCACTAGTCTCTGATACTGCAAAATTTGACTGCGCAATCTATATCATCAACATCCTTAGTGACTAGCCCACCAAATACAGCGAATCTGGACCAGAATACGACGGGCAATTTATGGGCTGCGGTTGATTATACCACAATGTGCACCAAGAAACCTGCGCCGGAGCTGGAGCTGGATTTGTTATTTGGAGAGAGCGCTGTGAATGGGCCGTCCAATTCCAACCATTACTTCTCGCCCCCCGTAGCGCTTCTGGACGAGCAATCGCCTTATGCAGATCTGATGTTTGACAGCACGTCCCCCATAACAGCATTCTTAAGGGGCTCGTCGATGAATTTTGGGGGATAGAGGCACACCAGCTGCTCTTGCAAAATATGTTTAAAGTAATTATTATCAATATGTACTATGATACAGTGAACAATACCATGCCTTCTTCCACAGCGTCTCCCTTACTAAAGTTCGCCTTGAATATTCCCTTTGCTGCTGCCAGAACATTCATCTCCATTTTCATGCTCTCAAGAACCATCACATTCTCTCCAAGCTCCACGCCCTCTCCGTCTTTCTTGAGGACGCTCAAAACCTTGCATGGCATTGGAGCCTTTGCGTTGCCGTCTGAAGCTGCATCAGCTGCCCCGGTAGCTGTCCGCAAAGATTCACCGTATGACAGTCGTGAGTACAATTGGTACTCTATATATGTTCCCAAGGATGGTAAGTGAGCGAAAACTTGCTGATGCTTGCCCGCGTCTGACGCTGCCAATACGGGGGCACTGGCAATATAAGCTTGGAATCTTTGAGAGTCGACCTCAATGGAGACATCCTGGAGCTGCCAGTCTCTTGCATTGTATCGGAGAGCCTGAGTTCTGTTGACCTGAAGCTTTACACGATGCGTCTTACCCTTACCCACTTTTGCGAGAGCATGGATCTGGCTGCTGATGTTGTTGTACTTTCGAGCTACCTGAGCACTGGGCTTCATTTTCGTTTGGTGGGGAGTAGATTGTTCGTCACTGTATTCCTTGAGCGGTACGATGTTCACTTCGTGTGATTGGCCTGGAGTTACCATCACTGGCCATTCCACGATGACGGCTTTTGCTTCCCGACCAGGAATCTTCACAATATCTACTTGAGTGCTAGCAGCATCTGCCTTTTGATTTCGGAACCCAAGCGGGAGACTTGAGAATGGCCTCCGAGCCGATGAACTGGCGGTCGCTGTCCTCCAAAGCATGGATGGAAAGAAGGACAGTAATTCCTGGAGCTCCTGGAAGTGTTCTATGTAAGGATTTCTCACCAGAGTTGGCAAGTTGTCTGGGATAAAGCTTGTCGTGTATTGGGGATCGTGAAAAGCCGGATCGTTGAGGCAGGATTGGAGGAAAGACTGATTTGTTCTGATTCCAATACAAACTGTGTGTGCCATGATCTTGAGCATTTTCGCAATGGCAAGGGGTCGCGTTGGAGCCCAAACTATAACTTTTGCAATCAGGGGATCAAAATAAATGGAGACGTGAGAATCCGTTTCGACTGCCGTCTCGTAGCGCACATGTTGAGTTTCAGATGCTGGCAGGATATCGGTTGCAGGAGTCCATCTCCGAATCACTCCTAAATCAGGTACAAAGTCGCGCGATGGGTCCTCGGCGCAGAGCCGACATTCGATAGCATGTCCAACTTGTGCAGCCATCTTATCCTGAAAGTATCCCAGGCTGTCAAGCCGTCCGCCACCAGCAACAAATATCTGCAACGCGACAACATCCACTCCCGTCGTCTCTTCCGTAATTGGGTGCTCTACTTGAATGCGCGTATTAACCTCGAGGAAGTAGAAATTCGCGGTATCAACGTCCACGATGAACTCCACTGTCCCAGCACTCTCGTAGCCTAGCATCTCTCCTATCTCAATTGCTTTCCCGCTCATCTCCTTCCGGAGCTGAGTCGAGAGCCATGGCGACGGTGCTTCCTCGATGACCTTTTGATGGCGCCGCTGAATGGAACATTCTCGATCCATAAGTGATACGACATGACCGTGGGAGTCCCCAAGAATTTGTATCTCAATGTGCTTGCTTCGCTCAATATATCTTTCCAGAATACAATCAGAGGATCCGAACGATCGTTGTGCTTCAGACTGAGCTCTTGCCAACTCGCTTGCCAAGTGTTCCCTTTCGCGTACAATCCTCATGCCTTTCCCCCCACCGCCAGCGGAAGCTTTGATCAGGATTGGGAAGCCTATACGATCGGCTTCGACTACGAGACGGTCTATGCTTTGCTCAGAGCCATTATATCCTGGAATGAGAGGAATAGAGGGTGCATTCTTGAGTAGGTATTGCTTTGCGGATCGTTTGTCTCCGAGTACAGCCATGCTTCTTGGCGAGGGACCAAGAAACACCAATCCTGCTTCCTGCACCTGGTGAGAAAACTCCGCATTCTCACTCAAGTATCCGTATCCAGGATGTACCGCATCTGCTTTGGTTTCGTGAGCGATGCTTATGAGAAGTTGTCCGTTTTGATGTGGATTTCCCTGTGGGCCGTCGATGGGGCCGAGATTAACTGCCTGGTCGGCTTGTTTGACATGCGGCGATAGGGCATCTCTGATTATTTTTATTAGCGAGAGGTTATGGATTAATACTTGGAAGTTGCATCGGATCAAGCTTACTGGTCAGTGAAAACAGCAATCGATACGATGTTCAGCTTCCTGCACGACTCTATGACTCTACATGCGATTTCTCCTCGATTCGCAATAAGAATGCGCTTGATTTTAGGACCGCCAGAAGTCGATATGAGATGAGCGAATGTCTGCAAAGGTAATTTATCAATTGAAGACATGACTAAACAAGTGATTGAACCTGTTTTTGTCTTTGCAAGACTGAGTCGGCTGGGATTCTTCAAGTTTAATAATCTTGCATTAATTGATGTAAGAATATTCTCTTTTACTGGAAACCGGCAAGACTGTGCTCTGTACTTTCCTGATAGATCATTGCGTTAGTATAAGTCGGAACAAACTGCTATAAGATGGGCGCGGGATTGATAGGCTGCCGATCCGCAACCGGTCCGGCCATTCTTACCCGGCGGCAGCTACCTCGGACGAAAGAGATGGCCCTGAAAAAGATCCTTGCCAATACTCAAGTTCACCATATGCGGGCAGTTTAAGTTTGCGCAAGTCACAAATTACTGTGATTATGGGCGATATCACGAAGAATTTCTGAATTTCTCCTATGGCTCCTCGAAGTGTTAAGATTGTCGAGGTCGGTCCCCGCGATGGTCTTCAGAATATCAAGAATATTGTACCAACACATACGAAAATAGAACTTATTCGGAGACTTGCAAAAACTGGATTATCTGTCATCGAGTCCACATCCTTTGTTTCACCGAAATGGGTTCCACAGTTGGCAGATGGGCCCCAAGTCCTGACTGGCCTTCAAGCGATAATCTCAACAAGCGATACTATTTCATTTCCAGTTCTCGTCCCAAATGTGAAAGGACTAGAGCTCGCATGCCATAATGGAGCAAAAGAAATCGCAGTGTTCGTGTCTGCGAGTGAAGGATTCAGCAGGAAGAATATCAATTGCAGTGTTGAGGAGTCTTTGGTCAGAGTTCAAGCCGTGGCCACAAAGGCCAGAATTCTTGGCGTCAAAATCAGAGGGTGAGCAAAGCTTCTTCTACTACTCAGTTATTCAGTGTTCTAAATTTTAATAACAGCTATGTTTCATGTATATTCGCGGACCCTTACGATGGCCCTACAAAGCCATCGCAAGTTATCAAGGTCACACAAGCTCTTTTACAAGCAGGCTGCTATGAAGTCAGCCTTGGAGATACTACCGGGGTTGGGACTGTCGCCGAAGTGGAATTGCTCTTGAATGAGATGCTCAAGGTTGTACCAGCGGATAAGTTAGCAGGGCACTTTCATGATACGTATGGACAGGCAATCGCCAACGTGATCAAAAGCTATGATATGGGACTTCGGACATTTGACAGCAGTGTTGCTGGTCTAGGAGGTTGCCCTTTCGCAAAGGGTGCAAAAGGAAATCTTGCCACAGAGGACCTTGTCTATACCATGGAAAAGCTAGGCATTCAAACAGGCGTTAACTTGGGCCAGGTGGTCGCAATAGGCTCATGGATATCACAAGAGCTTGGTATTCCAAACAGCAGCCGAGCTGGAGCGGCACTTGCGGTACATTTACCCAGCCCCAAAGTTTTGGAAACCGGAAAGAATTCGAAACGCGCCTGGAAGATGTTAGAGTCCTCACCGGGTTACTCTGTATACCAGAGTGGAGCAAACGTCAAAGTTCTCTTGACAAATGAAAAGAGTGGCAACGCGTTGACAAGCTCAATGGTTGAAGCTATCACTCGGCTCTTCAAGCACTTTTCGACTGATGATAGCGTGTTTCGAATCATCCTCACTGGAAAAGGAAAGTACTTTTGCACAGGCATGGATCTCAAAAGCGCTGGAACTCCGGAAGAACAATTTTCTGGTCTCCGTGGTCTCTTTCACACTATCGACACATGCCCCAAGACAACGATTGCAGCTATAAATGGTCCTTGTCTTGGAGGCGGCGTTGGACTTGCATTTGTTTGCGATATACGACTTGCTACCTCTGGGGCTACATTTAAACTTACCGAAGTCCGCCTTGGTCTCTCCCCCGCGACCATCTCGAAATACATCGTTCGCGAATGGGGTTTCGGCTTTGCGCGGTCGGCAATATTGACCGCTCGAAATGTCTCATCATCAGAGCTGGAAGGCCTTAAAATCGTGCACCAAGTCGCGGCAAGCCAAGAAGATTTGGAAGTTAAGCTTGATGACATGTTAGATGAGATGCGCTTCGTAGCGCCAGGAGCATCATCCCTGAGTAAAAGCCTTCTAGGAGCAGCTTGGACCGATGCTGGTGGAGAGTCACAGGCCAAAACTATCGAAAATGTCTTTAAACGCATGATGGCTCAGGATTCGGAGTCTACTTTTGCACGGAAGGAGTTCCGGCGAGGAGTCAAGGGGGTGGATTGGGAGGCATTATTGAAACAACCCAAGTCTAAACTATAGCAAAAGGGAAATGTCAACGATAATTAGTATTGCGTCTTCATCGTGTAATAGTATCTCTCGTATACTAGTATAGGAATCATCTTCATTGAGTTCTTAAGTGGTTACACGTGGTCTAAATCCCGGAATAAAATCTAGCAAGATAGCCCTTGAAAAAACATTGCAGTCTAACTTGCTACTTGGTAGTTCACCTCTTTGTGCCCTCTGCGGGTATGTACTGAGGCAGTGTTATTTCGATTTAAGGTGAAGACTTGATTTTATTAAGTTCTACCGATGCTGCGATGAGATAACCTCAAGCATGACTAAGCTACTCCGATGGTCCGTCCATCACGTGGCCCATAAATTACCTCCACAGTACCTCGGAGTACCTAGGCTAGGTATGGAAAACCGACCGTCGTTAGAGTGATATCGAAGTGGATATCACTCTTTAGGACCGCTGCCGAACCCGACCCCACCCACCCGACGGGACCGGACCGTGTGTTCGAGACAACACATCTTCCACTTCCAGACCAGATCCCGTAAGCTACCTACCTAGGTACCTAGGTAATTATTGTAAAAATCACCCCTCCTTGTAGGCGAGACGGAGTTGCAATTCAAACTCAAATAATTTCCGACGTAAAGTTTTGATTGGTACGTTAAGAGTGCGAAGCCAATGAAGAGTGATCCACTCACATCTACAACGACATAGTTCAATTCGAAAGACACTCACTTCAAGCACCAGTCAATAATTTCAGCATGTCTGCCTTCGACTTGGCATCTGTTACTCCTTTCGCAGAGCCGTTATGGTATTCACGCGGAAAGGGCGTTTATTATGATTCTTCTCATGAGCGTCTTCGCAAAGCCGTTCGAGCTTATATAGACGAGAAGATCACACCGAACTGTGCAGAATGGGAAACGCAAGGATTTGTACCAAAAGAAGTGAGAGTCCAATCCCAAAGCTTCCAAGTCGTATGCTGAGTCCCTAGGTCCTCAAGGAACACTCGAAGCGTGGCTTCACGGCTGTGGCAATCAACCCTGCAGGAGTCTTCAATCACATGGGAAACATAAAGTTACCCGGAGATATTGATCCCCAGAAATGGGATGGATTCCACGATTTGATTTGTATCGACGAAATCGCTCGTTGTGGTTATCTTGGGGTTGTCTGGGCACTTGGTTGTGGCGACTCTATCGGCTGCCCTCCTGTTGTCAACTTTGGCTCGGATGCTCAAAAAAAAGCCTGGCTGCCTTCCGTCATCAACGGCGAGAGCCGGTTTTGCTTAGGTGTTACAGAGGTAGATGGTAAGTTACTTATGAAAAGAACTACGGACCAGTTTAGTGTGTTATTGCTGACGCAAATAGCCGGATCTGATGTTGCCAACATTTCAACGACAGCGGAGCGCAGAGGAAATGTTTATATCGTCAATGGTGCAAAGAAGTGGATTACCAATGGAATGTGGGCAACTCACTGTACAGCAGCAGTCCGTACTGGTCTGCCTGGGAAAAATGGCATTTCTGCTCTTGTAATTCCACTCAACTCTAAAGGAGTTTCCCGACGGAAGATTCTAAATTCCGGGGTTGCAGCAAGTGGTAATTTGAACTCAAGTTCGTTCCGATTTCAAATGGCTAACTATATAGGCTCGACATATCTCGAGTTTGATGACGTGGAAGTTCCGGTTTCTAATCTCCTCGGTGAAGAAAACAAAGGCTTCAAGATCATTATGTCAAGTCAGTTATCTTCGCCTAAAAAATTGATTTCTTTTGCTAATATCTTAAGACTTTAATCATGAGAGGCTCTGGCTTGCATGCACAAGTTTACGCATGGCCCGCATTTGTCTAACAGACGCATACAGCTATGCACTTGAGCGGACTACCTTCGGTAAACATCTCATTGAACATCAAGCTATCAAGACAAAATTCACCACAATCGGGGCCGATATCCTCCCTGCACATGCGTTCATGGAATCCTTAGTCGCAATTAATGACATGAATAGGCAAGCAGAGCCACGATACGGAGGTTTGATTGCTCTTCTCAAGGTTGTTGCCGGAAGAGCTCTGGAGAAAACTGTTAGGGAGACGCAGCAAGTCATGGGTGGACTAGGATATTCGCGCACGGGAAAAGGGGCGCGTATCGAACAGATCAGTCGTGATATGAGGGTTATGGTAATTGGAGGAGGAAGTGAGGAGATTTTGAGTGAACTGGCTTTTATGCAGGAGAAAAAGGACCTTGGTCTTATCGGGGCCGAGAACTTAAGGTCAAGTAAGCTGTAGGAGTATATCATAAGAGGTCATAATAGTATACAGTATTTATATCAGCAATACGGAATTTTATCATGCTTTTATCCAATTTTCCAAATATAGATTTGTTTTACCGGTTTTAAACAGCAAATCCCAAATCATATATCAAGTCTCGCCATTTTGCCTGTTTTAACGTTGCTTCATCTTCTCTTCCTAGCGTTTTAATTGCTCCTATATGGACTGCTTTTATGCGTTAGGGTTTCCTTGCTTGGGTAACAAGAGATTATCCGTGATTCCTCCTACCGAGCTTGATTGTGGCAGAGTATACAAACTTGGGCTAAATATATTAAGAAACCGGTGTTGGAGAATGCTCAGTGATACTCTGGGAATAATGATGATTTCAGGAACTTGTTTCGATCTTCTTGTTTAATAATATGTCTGCCTAGCTAGCTTACTTCTTAGGAAATCTACAGTAAGGAAATGTAACGCTCTAATGAACTTGATTTACAACGCATTTGTCGCAACACGCTTAGAGTTTAGCTGACCGCATGTCTTTCCTGATAAGCTCAGCTCCCTTTTCCTTCAAGACATGTTTCTTGATCTTCCCGCTTCCAGTCTTAGGGAAGTCTTCATCCACGCTTAACCAGAATACGTGCACAGGAGCTTTGTGCCAGCCCAACGTCTCCCTTACAAATTTTGCCAGTTCTTCTTGTGATGGCTGTTCATGTGTTGTTCGATGCTGGAGGAATGCACCCACTGCCTCACCATACTTCGTATCGGCAATCCCAATAACGCTTGCTTGGATAATCGAAGGGTGTTGCACGAGTCGCTCTTCGATTTCCAAGGGAAGAATATTCTCCCCGCCTAAATGTGTGGAACAATTTTCAGCAACAGTCAGCTTGGAAGAGAGAAGATGCCTACCTCGAATGATAATGTCTTTTATCCTCCCGGTGATGCGGCAGTAACCCTCATTGTCGAATACTGCTTCGTCTCCTGTATGCATCCAGCGTATTCCATCCTGATCAGTCCGCATCGCCTCAGCTGTCTTTTGGGGATTGCGCCAGTAACCAAGCTGCAGAGCAAAGCCCGCAACGCAGAGCTCTCCTCTGGCTCCAGTCGGCACGATCTCACCATTCGCATCAATTATTTTTGCTCGCATGTGGGGAAGAAGCTTGCCGACTGTCGATAACCGTTTCTCAACCGGGTCGTCTGTAAATGTCATAAAGCTCGCGGGAGATGTCTCCGTCATACCTTTTCATAAATTAGCCCTTTGCAGATATATGAAATACTGCCAATTTCTACTTACCATATGTATTTGTGATCTCGGACATATTAAAGGTTTTTTGCAAGTCCAACATCATCTTCCGAGGAACTGGAGCCCCTGCAGCAATGCCAGTGCGAAGCCTGGAAAGGTCTGCACCTGGCTGTAAAAGCTCGAGTTCTGCAGAAAACATCGCTGGAACTCCATGGAGAGCCGTGCAACGTTCTTTTGAAAGTGCTTGGAGGACCTTTTGAGCTTGGAATGTCTCGCTAGGAAAAACAATGCTGCTTCCATGGGTCAGGGCTGCTAACAGTCCAAGAACGAGGCCGAAGCAATGAAACAAAGGAGGCGGACAGCATATGATATCTTCTTCAGATAATCTCATCCGATCTCCAATAAATCGACCATTATTGACAAGATTGCTACAGAAGGTCAGCGTGTACTACTTTCACCAGGGGTTCCTAGGCGTACTTATGAGTTAACATAGCTGCTTTTGGCGCAGCAGTTGTTCCACTAGTGAACTGAAGATTGCACATATCATTTGGCTCAACCGTAGACATTCTTGTAGCAATCTGACTATCGCTTATCCCTTCACCTCCACGAACCAAGTCCGCATACTCACGGAAGGCCCATTGACTGCTCTTCTGCAGAAGGATTACTTCCTGCAGCTCAACTAGGCTCGCACAACTATCTTCGCTTTCTAGCATCTTTAGCACCTCTTGGCTGGATATCCTCCCGATCCTTGAACTAATAAACAACAGGCGGCATCCTGGTGTATGAGTTAGTTTGATACCATTGCAAATATTTGGAAGTGCCAACCTGAGTGCTTCAAAGCAAACCTAAGCTCCGAGGGGTTGTAGGTGCAATTTAGAACTACTAGAGCGGCACCAATATGTGAAGCAGCAAAGAAAAGCTCCACATATGGAGGACAGTTGCCAGCGAATATTCCAATATTGTCTCCACGGCGTATTCCAGCTGCCACCAGACCTTTGGCGACAGCAAGTGTACTTTGATAAAGTTGTTGGTATGTTGCTCTATATCCAGCTTCAGGAAAGACAACACATTGACCTGAAGGAGTAGTTTCTGTTTGCTGCTTGAGTAGCTGACTGAGTGTGATATTCCAAAGGGATGGCTCGGTCGGCCCAACAAGAGTAGAGAGCTTTGAGAGGTCATTTATCTCCGTTGAAGTGTTCATGATTGTCAGATGGAAGGTGGTAGGGAAAATATCAGACACAACAATTTCATCAGTTTAGTTCTGCTTAATTGTAAAACGTTATCAAGCATTTGATTCATCATTTTTCACTATTTTACCCATCCCTCTTCTTTTAAAACAAACAAAATGAATACCCGGCAAACAGCATCTACAGAAGCCGTTAGGCTTGATGGGTGGTAAGTGCGACGGTATAATTCGGGATTGTGTATTACTGCAGTCCCGGCCTCGGTCCGCAGACGGCCCCACAGCTTTTGCCCATACAGCCGGCCATTATTCGCAACAATTATCTCCAAGAGGAGAAAGTCACAACTCTTAATAATCAGACTTTTATCTTCCATGGATTTGGATTATGAAGTGTTAAAAAATCTGAAAGCATTCAAACAGCTTCCAATATTATATACTACTCAACCTCTCCGATATGGCGACCTTCCCGCAGTACCCAACTCACATCAGCGACAAGTCTCCCAAATTCCAAGAAACTGCTTCGAAATGGACCAATATTCTTGCAGAATTTGCTGGAGCTTCCTTAGAGGCAGCTTCGGAGAGTAAAACGTTGAGTGCGCTTGAAAAGCATACCGCGGCACAATTGCTTGGTGAGCTCGAAACGAAACTTTACCAAAAAGTACTCTGCTGAAGCACAATTTCTAGCGCGGGATAGGATTGCTCTTCTACGGGATCCAGGAACTCCATTTTTGGAACTTTGTGCTTTTGCGGGGCATAGGCTAAAAGACTCTTCTCCTTCAGCGAGCGTAGTTGCTGGCATTGGCGTCGTAAGGTAGGTTCATGTTCAATGCTTCCAGCCACCTTCAAACGGGACTAATGTATCCATTTATAGTGGCATTATATGTGTGCTTTTCGCACATATCCCTTCGCTCCAAGGAGGAGCCTGGAACGAGTATACGGGTAAAAATCAAACACATCAGCTTCTTTCTCAACTAGGGAACTAACTCATGATTACCTCAGTCCTAAAACAAAACCGTATTACAGCTATCGCCACGGAAAACAACTTGCCTCTGATTGCACTTGTACAGTCTGTGTGTAAACCCTAACAGCCCAGAAGACACTTACTTACAAGTCGTAAACCAGGCTGGTGTCTTTCTTCCACAGCAGTTCAAAGTCTTTCACAAAGGTGGCCAGATCTTCCGGGACCTCGCGCTTCGGTCCAAGAATAAGCAATCAAGTTGTGCGGTCGTCTTTGGCTCATCCACAGCGGGAGGTGCATATCATCCTGCTCTTTCAGATTATACAATTTTTGTTCAGGATCAGGCTCAAGTATTCCTTGGCGGCCCTCCTTTGGTTAAAATGGCTACGGGAGAGGTCATAGGTGCTGAGGAGTTGGGGGGTGCGGATATGCACTCCACTATTACCGGACTTTCAGATCAGCTTGCAGTTGACGAGTATTATTCTCTCTCTCGCTCGTTATTCCTAGGCTTATTTTCTACAGGTTTGATGCAATTCGGAAAGTAAAGGAATGGGTTTTCACGACTTCAGCGGCCCAGGCTCAGCTATCACAGACTAAACTTGTTCGGGAAACTGTCAATCCAAAATACAGTATGGAAAGCCTTTTGGGTATCATTGATCCTGATACGAGACAATCGCTGGATATGATGGAGGTCTTATTGAGAATTGTGGATGACTCGCGCATCGAGATCTTCAAACCCGCATATGGAAAAGGCATGATCACAGCTTGGGCATACATCCATGGTATTAAATTGACAACCTTCTATGTAGGATATTAGCCTGACTAACATTACTAGGCCATTTGACTGGAATCATCGCGAATCAGACTCCGATTATCCTCCCAAACGAGGCGGATAAGGCTACGCAGTTCATCCGTCTGTGCAACCAAGGGTAAGCTGCATTAACATGTCGCAACTGCTGCCACTTAAATGCTAATGAGTTCTGATGCAATAGGCGAAACCCCATTGTTTTCCTTCATAACGTAACGGGGTTCATGGTTGGGCTGAAATCAGAGCGAGCAGGTCTGATCAAGAAAGGTGCCCAACTCGTGAGCGCAGTCAGTACAAGTTCAGTGCCACATATTAGCATTATCTGTGGCGCATCTTACGGCGCTGGAAACTATGCAATGTGCGGACGGGCCTATGCTCCTCGTTTTCTATTCTCTTGGCCAACGAGCAAGTGCTCTGTCATGGGTCCAGACCAGCTAGGGGGAGTGATGGAAACAATAGAACGAGGGGCTGCGGCTCGTGGTGGGCGAATGGTCGATGAGTCTGAACTGAAGGCAAAGGTTGAAAAGTTCAGCGCGCAAGTTCGAAAAGATTCGGAATCTCTCCGGACATCGGCACATTTGCTAGATGATGGAGTGATCGATCCTAGGGATACGAGAGATGTGTTGGGAATGTGTCTAGAAGTCGTCAAACTCGACCCGATAGAAGGCAATGTAGGCTTCCGTGGCCTTGCAAGGATCTAACAGTCTCCAACATCTTTATAGTATCGAGGGTTCTGCTGCGCACACATTTGTAATATAAATAAAAACTTATTTACTAATTACCTCCTTTCCTCTAAGTTGATGCCGTTCTAGGAAAGTTCTTGTATCCAGACGCTTTGCCTCCTTTCTTTTCCGCTGCGCGTAGTAAGCCACAGTGGGTCCCACCTCGTCACGTGGCAAAATAAGCCATCCGCTACGCCGCACCGCATTCTAGGCTAGGTTCAACCTCAAATGTTTTACGGGTAAGCTGGAAATCGTCTTCTATCCTGGACCAAAGCAATTGGCTTTAATATACCTTCCATCATCTACAAAACATAGAAATATGCATGCTAGCATTACCGAGATGTAGATGCATGGATCTGATGCAACCTCGGAATTATTGACATGGAAACCCAGTCCCCACCCAGCTCAATTAAGACCGAACAGGCAGACAATATAGCATCGGGGAAACAAGCAGCATGCTTGAACTGTCGTCGGAGCAAAACTAAGTGTCTCCGTGATCCTGGGGAACTGAAATGTAAGAAATGTACTCAGACTCGGGGAGATTGTGTTGTGCCAGAATATCGGGTTGGCCGAAAGAAAGGAATCAAGAAGTAAATGCCATCGAATGTCAACTAGCAAGTTACTAACACATCCAGTAAACGAGATGGACTCGAAAAGGCTGTTTATCGTATTGAGCAAGCTATCAAAAAGTCCAAGACCGATGGTAGCCAATCTGAGGATGGCGAAAATGTTCACCATCTGAAAAATCTCTTGAATGATGCAAACCACATCTTACCTGGAAGTGCTTCCGGTGGATTGTACAGGTCTTTTAGTGCACGAGGCTCTTCAAGTCAAACGCATCAATCTCCTCGGAATGATTATTTTGTGCCCCCTAAGTCGGAGCCAATACCAGATCAGAATTCGGATGATCAATTCGCTGTTGACGATGCGGAGAATCCTCTTCAACTACTCGCCAGGGCATCAGATCTTTCTGTTCCGTCGAGTGCCCCCACTACCTCTAATTTCGCCTCTCGAGGTCAACGTGGCCATTCGAGAGATCAAGATCTTGAGGCTTTCTTTGGGCCATTTCACCCTAGCTTAGATATCGGGCAAGATATCGACCCAATTGAGATGGGCATTGTGACAGAGGATGAATCAATCGGGTTATTTTCATAGTAAGAACATATCTTCTCCATTCTGCTTCACGCTGACTCTACGAAGCTTCTACGAGAATCTCTCACATACTAGATGGGGACTCGACCCATTGTTACATACCCCTCGTTTCGTCCAACAACGATCAGCATTCCTCTTCACGTCTATTCTGGCTGCTTCAGCTCTATTCATCCCAACAGCTGGCGCTCTCTTTAAGCGTCTGTCAATACATTGCAAGTACCTCTCACGCAAGATCATTGCAAGCCGGAATCGATCGCCAGAAATCGTGTTAGCATACATGATCAATATCCCATGGATGAGTCCCGGAAAACATTGGTCCGATGATGAGACATGCTCGTATATGGCCATGGCTCTCACTATCGCGCTGGATATTTTTCTAGATAAACTCATTGTTCCTTCCCCTAGCGATCCACACGGGAATTTCCAGGCGGGGAGAGCCCAGTCGGATTGCATTACGGCCAAGAAGGCGCTGGAATTGGATGGGTTTGGGGATGTGGATCCGCGTTCGGACTTTGGGAAGAGGCTACTTCGAAGAAGAGAGAGAATCTGGCTTGCTTTGTTTGTGCTTGATAGAGGGTAAGATCACGTGTGGCTTCCGACCGGATTGCGCTAACATTTGCAGTGTATGTCTCGCCAGAGGAAGGAGTTTCATTGTTCCCGTCACGCCCCTCATCGAGACCTGTGATGATTGGCATAGGTGCCAAATTTCGGATGGTTGGGATGGGTCCATCGTATCTTCTGCAATATTACGGAGAGATCTTGTAAGTCGACATATTCATTATGATGTTTACTTGCTAACATGTCCGAGGTCGACCTTATATCTGAAGTGAAAAGAAGCTGCGACAGCAACCGCACGCAAAATGTAAATGGAGAAATGATTGTTCAGTCGTAAGCCCCCATAAAGCCCCCATAAAGCCCCCATACAGCCACCATATCACCTTTCCTGACCATTTTGGGCAGGCTCCAGCAAATGATTGATAACTTCTTTGACCGGTGGTACACAACCTGGACCTTCACCATCGGCGGCACTAAAGGTAATCAACTCCATCCTCCAAATGCGTCTATCCTAATGGGCTGTGCAGGCAACTCCATACCACCCTATGTAGAGATTCTCGTTATGCACGGGCGTCTCTCAATCTACAGCTCCGTCATAAACCACCCCACCGCCCCCGTCGAAGTAAAGCGCTTCTTCCGCGCCGCCGGCCTCTCCTCATCCCTCAACGTCATGCGCGCAGCCGTCCAAGGCGAGTCTCGTCTAAAGTCCATGCCGAACAATACCTGCATCATGATATCCTTCGCAGCATGCTTTGCCATCTACCTGAGCGCCAAAGGAGGAAACGGGACGACCGGGCTGGCGACGAGTATCAAGGTACTCATCGAGGAAAGCGCCGGCGTGCTGGAACGGATCGGCGGCATAACACCACATAGGAATGGAACGAGCCGACTGTATGGGCGGCATTTGAGGGATGTGGTAGGAAGCGAATTAAGCAAAGTCGATGGAGCGCAAAGCGCTCTCACGTTACCGCCGCCTCAAGTCACGCGGCAGCCATACCCAACTGCAGAGCAAAGCTCGCAGCTCCCCCCACATACACAAGCGCAGATGTATCAGCGATCAGCAGAGGTGCCTCGCATGCAGATGCAGTTCTCGGCCATGTCGGACGATCAGATCAACGAGGCGATCAGCAATGCTGGGCCGGAGTTGGATATGAGCCTGTCGAACTTCCAGATGGATGATAGGACGGGGTTGGATTGGTTGAATTGGTTTAATATGGATGTCAATAGCGGGATATGATAATATTAATTCGAGGGCCGACTTATAAGCAAGGATTTCTGTCTATTGTCATGCTTCAACCTTTCCAGTCATCCCCTTACTGCTCATATCTTTTTACTCCACGGAAGGTGCCCAAACGGGAATCGCGAGCAGGCAGACCAGGCAGACTATTCGAATTCTCCGCGTGACCCGTCCCCACCAGCTCAACATACTAAGCGAAGTACAAATTAAAGCCAGCAACACAAACATCCCTCCCTTTTCTGCATTCATCTTCCGTCATGCCATGGTATCAGCATACACTCAAACAAGTAAAACCAAACCCAGCCTCAGTAAACAAAGCGCAAGTCTCGCGATCGTCAATTAATCAAGCCGAATACGCATACGCATATCCAAAAAGCCTAGCTTCCAATATAAACCAAGCAGCTGAGCCCTTCTACAGTACCATCAGATCCGCACACTCTACCTCCACCTATCCCATCTCTTTCCAGATATAACTCTGTAACAACAAGTCCATAGCAAGCTATCTACAATACAATACAATCCTTGGAAAAAGACAACGCATACATAGGATCGTCCGACATGCCTTTATTTTCTCATACTCAGCTTCAGAATAAGAATTATGCACCCCTCATCTCGCATGTCCTAGACACAAACACTCTTTCCTGAACATTTAAGAAGAACCCTTGGAACGAGTTACGTCTATCTGTATAATGCAGTCAAATACAACTTTAATCGCTGTCAATCAATTAACCCGAGATTAACGGATTTCGTTCGTTCGTTAATAAATTATTAACATAGTAAACGAAGTCTACTTAATGCTATCCATTCATGCTCAACAATCCTCGTACTCATCCAGCCAGCGCACGAGAAAGATATTGACGAATCTCCTGCTTAAAGTCATCGAGCAGCAGCCACGAGAGATGTGCGCGGAATAACGGGAATCTGTATTTAAGTTCTGGGGTGCTGGCTATCCTCACAAGAGGAATGCATACAAGGGTGCCGGTCGGGTTAGACTGGTACAGTATTTCCCACACCGTTGAATTATAAGGCTTAAGTCACCTGAAATTGCCTTGATACTCACTCGATCGTAAGTGTATAGATTCATGAACACCGAATTGGTGAGAGATGTTTTTGTTCTTGCCGCTTAGTGAGTGGGTCATAGTGGCATGAGATGAGATGCTTAGTTGTAAATACTATACTATACCATATAAAAACCAACCTCGACTCATAATCTCCACAGCATGTCCCAACCGCATTTCGGAATCCAAGCTTTAGCTCTCGAGTGTGTGCCGCGGCTGCTGTGGGGTGTTTTCAGTAAGTCCACATCCCTTCACTCCAGCAGGGTCTCTTCCCTTACTCCGCTCCGGAATAGTTAATTAAACGTTTCTCGTTTCTCTGCTATATGTATGTATGTATTTAATTTGTCGTTAAAAAGAATCTGCTGTCATTTCCTATGCATGTATCGTCTGATAGATTATCTTGGGTAGGATGGATTTACTTATCACTAGCCGGCGTGGATCGAATAGAGAAAAAGAAAGGAAAGGTATCTCCGTATCTAGGTAGTGTTCGGGGATTTTAGAGGATTATCTATCTTAGCACTATGCTGTTTGGACAGCCACCTATTTAATTTGCGAGGTAGGGCAGGTCAGGGTTGGGTTGTGGGTTATGTTATGTTATATATGTGATGGATGCTATGATACTGGGTACGATTTTTTATATACAGGGGAGTTTGGGGTATGCATATGGAGAGAGAGTATGTAGTATGAATACAAAATTCTTCTATATAACCAAGTTTTCAACCTTTGGATTTCGAGGTTTAAAGGCAGCTACTGCACGGGTATCCAAAATTCCGCCATTTTAGCTGTATTCATCGACTGACATTACACATATGCTCCTCGCATACTAGGATATGCGGTTCAAGCGGAATGCGGGGTAATTATTGTACCACGGGCTTCGATCGGCTCTGGGGATACCTGACGGCTAGGAAAGAGAAGATCGAGATGAGGATCTGTTGACTTGCTTAACTCGGCATCGGCATCTATACTTCTGAGAACACGGAAGTATTTAGTTTCAATAGGATGTTTGGTGGCTCTTTGGATGGATGTCATACCTGGAAGGAAGTGGAAGGCACGTGATAGTTGTTCCTTTTACAAGCAGAAGGTAATCGAATTACGGAGACCTTCGAGTCTGGCTAGCTCCTTTGATGATACTACGCATGTATTTCGTACGTGAATTGGGAGCATGTCGAACTTTCTCATGAAATACGCTTCATCCCATACCATGGTGACCATTATGTGGATAAGGCGGATTAGGAAGAACTTGTCCACGCCCCCTCTGTTGCTGAGAGAAAGGCGTATCGATGGAACCCCAATGCGTATAAGCCGCACCCGGCGGCGGTACCATGAGGTTATTATCAATGATCGGTGGAACACCATTATACGCATTTCCGAAAGCCATGGCCGGTTCTCGGGAAGACGTAGTGGTAACGGGCGCAACATAGCCATCGGCGCCGAAGAAATCTTTCAGATCCCACGGGAGATCAACAGGGGCTCTTTGGAACCACGAGTCGAGTGCATTTACAGCTCCAGGTTGTGTTACTTGGGCGCCATAGTCAAAGGTAAATGTCGTGGATTGCTGCTCCATGTATTGTCTAAACTCCTCGGCTTTCTCATGCTGTTCAGATCGAGCGTCAAAGATGCCGACAATTTTCGCCATCTGTAAAGCGACTTGAGTCAAGATTGTAAAGGTGGGACAGATCTTGACGTTTTCGAGAGCACCCATGACATCACGAACTATTTGTTTGCGAGCCAGATCCTCGTTGTTGTCTTTCTGGTCCCACGGCCGAGCGAAGAAATCTAATGCCAGTAGGAAAATTGATATGAAGACGTAATATCCGTCTAACCATGCCACACCATCAAAACTCCCATCTACCAAAAGTTGGTGGAGAAGTTTGGCGGCTGATTCGGAAAAATTACTGCAGGCGCTGCTCAGTCGCATTTCATCCTTGTCGAGTTCCTGGGAGCGTACATGTCTTCCTAGGTGGCGAGCTAATTGTAATCCAACCTTTCGCAACATGAAAGGTCGCGTAACAAGGGATTGCGCGTGGTGGAGTTGGACGTGTAAGAGAATAACCGCGCGGCGATGTTTTGGCAATGGAGAGAGACTTTCTAAGCGCAACTGCTGTGGTAGGCTATTGTGCCAGGTATCGAGGTCGAGTAGAAACTGTATTGCCATTTGGGCCTTGGGAGAGTCGCCGCGATCCATAGGACTGCTTGAGACGGCATATATCTTGCGTCTGATCTCCGAAAGGAGCTTGACCAAACGCACCAAATGTTCCATATACCCAGGTGGTACCGACTCCCCGCCATCCAACATGATCTCGTCCGGAAAGCTTACATTGACTTCTGCTTCCTCAATTGCACATGGTCTACCAAGGATGGCGCATTGGTATTGCTCAAACACGTATGCTGTCCACCAGACGCGTTTCCGAACTTCCTTTTCCAAGTCATTAAACCCAATAGACGTCCCCTCGCGATGCATGCCTAAAGCCATAGCCATTCGCGAAGCACAGCCCAGTAGCATGAAAGCGCTGTTTCGCTCAGTGCAATGGTGCTGGTAAAGTTGAAGAAGTAAAAGTGCTTGTACATTTATCAGTGTAGTGGCGCTGATAAGTTGGTGCATCCTCGACTGAACAAGATCCAGGTAATGATGCTGGATTTGCTTGGATTGAAACGTATCTTCGTTTTCAAGTGCCTGGGCTCCAAATACTAACATCATGAACAAACAGCAGATCCATCCTGGTTCTGTGTCCCGCATTAGCATGAGGGGTTGGTTCCACATCAATTCATAGCGGGTTTGAAAGGTCGGCTGGTGGAATAGAAGATAGTTCGGATGAACGCGGTTGAAAAAGGCTTCAACAAAAGTATCTGTAAACTCTTTTGTTGGGAGGAAAGATAGCGTGGTGGCTCTTTTCGACCGGCTGGTACTGGAAGGTAGTCTTATGGACCCGGATGGGAGCTGACGACGATTGACAGCCTTTCCGGTACTGCTAGACTCGCTCATTTGTCGGTCAACATTTCCATCAGAAGAGTCTTCGCTCTCTTCTTTTACAATGGGATCAAGTGCTTTGCTCCAAGTTGAGCCAGCAAACTCGTGGGCAACCTTGGACCGTTCATCATCGGGTTGAAAGTTTTTTAAAACTACATTGAACTCTGCAACCATCTTCCGCACTGTGAGAACGAAGCCAAAGGATGAGGATGGCCCAATGTAGTGAGATTTTCCATTATGTCCCTGCGGCATGGGAACAAGCTTCTCCTCAACAGACATGGAGGGCGTTCCATCACGCTGGTTTAGTCCTTCGGACTCTTTGGATGCCACAGATGGAGACTCTGCATCCCCACCAGACTGGGGAGAAAGTGTGGTAGGCTTTGGTGGGTTGCTAAAGACCTCTTCAGCAACATCCTGCTCGTTGAATGCAGGCAGCTGGATATTATGAGCCTTGGCAATATCGTAGAGTTCTTCAATATCGTTGGTATCTCTAGCTGGAAATAATCCCTTGATCAAAGTATCCAGAGCGCGATAACGAACGCTGAGAGTCTCGACGCTCCCGTATATTCGGGTCTTGCGGGGCAGGGTGGATTCGCACTTTGCCCCCACTTCCGAGCAACTTTGACATGCCTCTCGTGTATCTGTGCCACTTGAACGGGAGCAGCGGATTCTCCTCTTCTTGCAACGGTCACAGCTGACCAGAGCTCTCCGACGAAGGTGGTCTGGGATCCGAGGTTTGCCCAACTTTTTTACCTTTGCTGGATGGTCCATTTTGATTGGTGTACGAGGATGACCTCAAGACTATCGGCACCACCACACGTGCCGTCCGTCGTACAGCACAGGACAGTGCAATACCGGTGGACCTGGAATGTCAAGAAGGAACAGTTTCAGATGCACAACTGGAGTCATGTGCAGCGATGAGGATTGGGTTTCTGTGAGAGATTAATGATCAGTAGCAAAGGCTGGCGTTACGGTGAAAAACACGTCGAAGCGGAAGCTGAATGAGTGGCTAGCGGCAAGGGACCTGGTGGACGAGGGGAGGCGTTCTCGGTCTTTGGCTCACCAGGCCAGGCTCCTTGACGACGGAGTATAGAGAGGGGTGTTGATGCAAGAGATACCTTACCTCAGGTGTGATTAATAATTTAATAATAATTTCCCCTATACTTTAGCATATAAAGACCGTATGTACCGTGACGCGCAAGCATATGTGGTGAGCAGCGGGTATTACCAGGTGTTGCTGACTGGAAGCTTTGTATTGCTTTAATAGTACTGTACTGTATGCATCACACACACTACCCCTCCAAATCCGATGATAATAGTAATAATAATAACAATAGCATAAAAGATAGCAGTGTCGGGGAAGCCTTTACACGACTCTATTACAAGATGACACTATTACAAAGAGTTTGGTTTACAACATACAGAAGCTAGCGCATAGACTCGGCCTGGCCATATTCAGCGCTCTGGGCTGACAACGACCTACCCTACCTACCTAAGTAATATTCTTAGGGTCGGTAAATCCCTCAGGGGTCTGCAGGTAGCTAGGAATAGTCTTTCCATCTACTCCGAGAACTTGGTACAGCACATCAAGGCGTATACTGTACGAGCATAATATACCAGACATATAGCCTCTCCAGGGTACTATAATCCTTTCCTAGAAATGTCATCGCGAGTCATGCGTGGCCACCGTTTGTGTTGTGCGCTCTCTTTCTCGTAACCCAGGACCAGGCAGGCAAAAGAATCTTTACCAGTTCACCAGTTCACCAGTTCACCAGTTTACGCTATCAAGAGGTCATTATTAGGTACGAAATTACGATAACCATAACCAAAACCATTCATAGGTACCAGGCAAGTACCGTCTTCTGGGCAGTGGCACAGGCACAGTGCACATCCAATGAGGGGTTCCTAGACCGGTGTCCCGAATCCACGGCTCTTGGCTTGGGGCTTGCTTAGGCTGGCTAGATGCCACAGCACCTTTTTTACTTCTGGGGAACATCGAAGATCTTGCAGCGCTTCTAATAATCATGCCCACGCCTCAGCACGCGTCCCGTCCCTACTGTAAACAATCCACCCCCACAGTCATCCTACGAGTACCTACGAGTACCGACTCCATGCTGATCATTCGAGCACGGGAACATGTCGCGGGCTGGGACTGAGGAGACTGAGACTGAACCCAGAACCAGCACCAGCAATGATTCTCCCGTGGAAAAGCTTGGCGATAGCCCGGATTGGCATCCGAGTACGATTACCGACCCAGAACTGCGGTTCGAAGACAAGGAATCCGAAAGCAACTGCAACTTCAACTGCGACTGCGACTGCAGCCATGCGGCAGAGTTAAAGCGGGATTCGAATGGCTTGCCCCTCGTTCCTCAACCCAGTCAATTCAAGGATGATCCACTGGTCAGTGTTATCAAGCTTATCAACCGTCAATCATCAAGACAATACAATCCCGTCAACCGCATCGTGATTTAATTTATTCATCTCAACTAACACAATCCAATTACCTACAGAATTGGCCAACATGGTTGAAATGGACGGTATTGATCCAAGTCGGCTTCATGGCCTTTCTAGGCATCTACACCTCAGCCCTGATCAACCCCAGTCTCGTCCTCCTATCCAAAGCCATGGAGGTTGACTCTAAAACTGCCGCATACTCTACTACAACTGCTATTATCCTTGGAGGAGTCTCTCCCTTTATCCTAACCCCTATTGCCAACGTCTACGGCCGTCGCCCAACTACTTTATTCGCCATATCCATCACCATGTTGGGAGGCGTCGGCTCGGCCGTGTCGCCCAATTTCTCGGCGCTGTTGGGAACCAGGGCCATGGCGGGGTTTGGAATGGGGGGGATGATGAGTGTGGGGACGGCGTGTGTCAACGACATGTTCTTTTTGCATGAGAGAGGGGAGAAGATGGGAGTTTATTCCATTTTTGTCACGAATGGAGCGCATGTTGCTGCATTGAGTAAGTACTCCCAGCTTCGTATTATATGACTTTCAACTTACAGTATCTTAGTTGGTGGGTTCCTAGGCCAAGCAGCAGGTTGGCAATGGGACTACGGCCTCGGCGCCCTCTCCTGCGCTCTCTCCCTCATCCTCGCTATCTTCCTGTTCCCAGAAACCCTTTTTCCCCGCGACGCCTCCTACCTGGCTTCCCGTACCCACACGCGCACCTACACGCAGCTACTCTTCGACTTCCGCGGCAACGTCCTCCCAACGCGCTCCCTACACGCCCCAGACTTCCTCCAAACCTTCCGCATGCTAAAATACCCTTCCATCCTATTCCCCTTCTGGTACTACACCACGGCCTGGACCTTCTGCAACGTCCTCCCCGCCATCACCCTAGCCACCATCTACACATCCGAGTACCATCTCAAGCCCGGCCCTATCGGTGCCTGTCTCGGAATATCACTTACCATCGGCTCGCTGCTGGGAGAGTTCTTCGCGGGCCGCGCTAGCGACGTCCTTATATTCCGCCTCGCGTTAAGGAATGGGGGTGTGCGAAAGCCGGAGTACAGACTTTACCTATGCACGCTCTCGGTGTTCTTCATGCCGGCCGGGTTACTTATTTTCGGTGCAACGGTGGGGAAAACATATTATATACCTCCTCTTGTCGGACTTGCTATTTGTAAGCAGCAGCAGCTTTCACTCTCCTTTCTCTCCTTTCTCTTCCCTCCCAATAATTAACCCCTCCTACCAAACCCTAATATCCCCTCTAATCCCCTCTAATATCCTCTCCCACCTCCCACCTCCCACCTCCCCAATATCCCCTCCCTAATAGTCCTCCACTAATCCCCACCACAGCAGTATTCGGCCTCCAAATAACAACCACAACCCTTTACACCTACACCACCGACGCGTACCCCACCCTCGCCCCCTCATCCGGTACGCTCTTCAACGCGTCCCGCGGTCTATCCTTCATCGTCGGCTTTTTCGCCCTACCGTACGCCGCAAACATCGGGTATCTAGGGGCGTGGGGCACGTTTGCCGCTGTGGTGGCTGTCAGTTGGGTGCCGGTTGGTGGGTTGATGGTTTGGGGGGAGAGGTGGAGGAGGAGGTGGGGATAGGGAAAATTATTTGTTCCAAATTAATAATCAATAGATCAATAGATAAAGCTACCTAGGTATCTGTGAGGATCTACTTGCATACACCAATCATATGTATATAAAGTTACAACTAGAAATAGAATCAGAATACATGATAATATAATCCGCATAACACACACACACAACCTAAACCACCTGCACCCCACGCCCGGGATTTTCTGCCGGGCTGACCGATGCGGTGATCAAGGGTCGGCTATTCTTTTATGACCCGGGCCTGCCATATACAGCTCCATTCCGTCATACTATACATCCACACATCTCAATTGCCCTTTCCAAAAACTTTTCTATTTTCCAATTAATATTAATCACTCATGTAATCATGGCAACAAGAAGAATAACCCCCATCTACTTAGCAAGAACCTCAATACTATCTCCACTACCCCGCGCTCGACAGGGGCCCCTCACGTGCACCTCCCCACTACATCATCACGCACGCCAGCTACGAACCACGGCTGTTTGCGCTGGCTACGACCAGAAAGCAAATGTAGGCGCAAAGCGCGATGCGGCGCCGGACATAGCCAGGGGGGCTTCGAAGGTGTTTAGGGATGCAGATGCAGCTGTAGCAGATATCCAAAACGGCAGCACGATTCTCAGTGCTGGATTCGGACTATGTGGCACTGCTGGTAAGTACTTTCCCATACATAAATGCATACATACATACCCCCCCAACGATTCGTCCTCTCGTAAATCTCCTCATACTAACGCGCTACTTGTACTAGAAACCATCATAGCAGCTCTCTCTAAACGAGGGAAGAGTGGACTTCACTCTCTCACTGCCGTTTCAAATAACGCGGGCACGACAGCGGGCGGTGGACTCACCCCCCTCGTCAACTCCGGACAAATCGATCGCTTGATCTTGAGTTTTCTAGGCGCGAATAAGGGGTTGGAGAGCAAGTATCTTGGGGGTGAGATTGCTATTGAGCTATGTCCGCAGGGTACGATTGCAGAGAGGATACGTGCTGGTGGGGCGGGCATTCCGGCGTTTTTCACGCCGACTGGGATTAGTACGTATAATGTTGATTGACGCTTTGGAAGGGAGGGAATTCATGCTGATTGTTGTGCGTGCGGGCAGATACGTTACTGCAATCTGGAGAAATCCCAGTGAGGATGGGTCCGGTGGATAAGGCGACGGGGAAAGCTACAGTTCTGGAGGCTGGAAAGCCGAGAGAGACGAGGATTTTTGGGGGCAAGGTTTATGGGATGGAAGAGGCGATTAAGGGCGATGTGGCGATTCTACGAGCGTGGAAGGTAGACGAGGCGGGGAATTGCCAGTTCAGGTATGTTGGATCAATCAAACTCGAGATAGAAGTATGCGAACTGAATCACTTAGATATACCACCAAAGCATTCGGCCAAATCATGGGCAAGGCAGCAACAGTCACCATCGTCGAAGCGGAAAACATAGTTCCAATTGGAGATATCCATCCGGATAGTGTTCATCTTCAAGGAATCTATGTAGATCGTATCGTTCCTGCGACGACAGAAAAGATTATCGAAATAATAAAGCTGAAGGAGAGTCGAGGTCAGCCAAGTGGTGAACAATCGCCATCTCAGGTGCGGCGAGAGAGGATAGCAAAGCGGACTGCGAAGGAACTGAAACATGGATACTACGTGAATCTTGGAGTTGGCATTCCAACTTTAGCGCCTTCGTTCCTGTCTCCTGAGACGAAGGTCTGGATTCAGTCCGAGAACGGACTATTGGGAATGGTGAGCCGAAAGCCCAGGTTCGCTTTGAGAGAAAATGTGCTTACAGTTTCTGTTTCTGTTCAGGGACCATATCCGACCGAGGAAGAAGTCGATGCGTAAGTCTAGTCTCCCTTAACAGTATCTTGCGTGAAGCACCTCGCTGATATATACCTCAGAGATGTCGTCAACGCCGGCAAAGAAACCGTCACGATAGTCCCCGGCGGCTCAACCTTCGACAGCGCGGAATCATTCGCCATGATCCGCGGTGGGCACATTGACGTCTCCGTCCTCGGCGTAAGTACCCATATCCCCCCTCCCCTCTCTCCACCCATCCACTCATACAACCCACCACAGGCCCTCCAAGTAAGTGCCAACGGCGACCTCGCGAACTTCATGATCCCCGGCAAGGTTTTCAAAGGCATGGGCGGCGCCATGGACCTAGTCGGGAACCCAGACCAGACGAAAATCGTCGTTGCCACGGACCATGTGGCCAAAGATGGTAGTTCGAAGATCGTCGAGACTTGTGTGTTGCCGTTGACGGGGGCGAAGGTCGTTAGTACGATTATTACGGATTTGGTAAGTGCTGTGTTTCTTATTGTTACTGTTTTAGGATTCTAGACGCTTTACGGAGTAAGGGTGCCAAATGCTCTCAGGGTGTCAAATGCAAATCCGGTGATTGATTGATTGATTGAATGAATGAATGCTGATTTGGCGGTGATACTATAGTGCGTCTTTGATGTCGATAGGGTGAAGGGCGGCTTGACGCTCATTGAGCTGGCGCCAGGTGTGGATATTGAAGAGGTTAGGAGGAAGACTGATGCGAAGTTTGCGGTTGCGGATGTTGTTGGATCTATGGAATGAATAAATCAAGTGATGAACCTAGTCCTATATGCTGGCTGATTGAGCTTCGATAACGAGGAATGAATTAACTAGAACTAGGGATGAAAGAAGGTTAGGTTAGACTGTGTACAATATGATACCTACCTTATCTACCAGTACTACGTAGGATTTACTATTTCCACGAAAAGAAATATATTCAGACAGTCTCTTCCTCCATCTACAATTTCGCCTTGAACCCCGGCGCGAACGACGTCCCCGCTCCCCCACTCAACGCCTCTACAATCTTATCCACGCCCCCCAAAAGCCAAACACACCCCTCATCACCCGCCAACCACTCTCCGCCCTGCACAACCGCCTCCCCTTGCGCGCCCGCACTCCCATCCTCGTACGCCTTCCGCAGTCCATACACATGGCTCGTGACCTGCGGGCCGACGCCCGTCTGCGCCCTCAGTCCCGCGATGGCCACGATGCTCGTCAGCACGCGGCCCACCTTGGCACCGGGCACGTATTGGACCGAGGGGTCTGCGAACAGAGCCCCGTACTCGTGGTCTACGATGAAGGACGGGAGGTCTGGGTGCGATTGCGCTAGTTTGGCGAAGAGCTTGGAGTCGAAGGGACGGTAGATGGATGTCCAGAGGGAGGCGCCGCGGGCGAGGATGGAGGGGAGGGTGCTGGGGGTGGTGTGTCTGGCGTGAGTGATCAGAGTGAGTTGGAGGATGTGGAGGAAGGTATAAGAGGGGATAGATAGGTAATAAATGGATGGATGGGTTTACCGTGTGGGTGTTGTAGATAGCGAGGAGGCGATTTCACGGGGTAGATTGGCGCGGAAGGCTCCTAGACAGTTGATTGTACGTGGTACCTGTCATGACAGTCACATGATCAGCCTCCTCCGTCCATCCAAGTGCGTGCGTGAGCTGCCGAGTAGGTATACGCACCCCATTGAACCCTATACACTTCAATCCCACCTCCCTCATCAGCTCAGCAGCCAGCACAGACTGTTCTTTATCTCGCGACGACGACGTGGCGATGTTATATAGCTCCGTCAGTCCATCCGGGGAATTCATCGTCATCGTTGTTGCTGTCTACGCTCTTCTTGTCAGAACTGGTTTCACAAGATTTGGAACAGGCGGGTTGTGAGAGTGGGAGGGGGAGAGAGACAAACTGATAATGTAAGCCAGGCCGGCAGTCCTACATTCTGGGCTACTGCTTCTTGTCTTAAGCGCTCGTATACTGAGCGGACGGCGGGCGGCGCGGGGAGTGTGTTTGGGCGGGCGTGTGGTGCGCTGATGAGCACTTTTAGGGTGGGTGAGAGTTTGGACATGTTGGGGGGTAGGTGGGTGGGTGTGTTAGTTTCAAGTTACGCTTGTGTGGGTTTATGGTCCATGTGGATTTAGATATTGGATCTGGTGGATGAGATATGAAGATATTCATGACCGAGTGCAGTATACGGTCGGGATCCAGATGAAAGACCGGTGGACGGTTTCATGGCGCTTACATAATTCTTTACTCCAGTCAGGTACAGACCACGTGATGTATTAGTCTATGGATTATTGGCTATGATCCTTGTGCATCTTGTTCTTAACTACGATTCACGTACCTACACATAGCTTTGAGCAGTTTAGAGCTGGACGAGTTATGATAGTGTTTTGCTTTTCCCTATCCGAATGGAAGATATAAAGAAGAACTACGTGTGTACAGAAGATAAAATAAGGTACCTACTATACAGTACTAGGTAGTATTATATTAAATCTCCCTTATTAGTGCAACTTGTTTCCATATGGAATAATTAGAACGAATTCGGTCTTCAAAAAAAGGTCCGTTGTGGCACAGCCGGACCCCAGATCCGCCGCCTTGGTCGCCTGTTGCGGTAGCGCTCCCCTCTCGCAAACCAACAGCTACCTAGTAAATCCCCACGTTTTTACCCCGGACTCAGGGACCACACTCCATCCTCTCTTCATCTTTTTAGACCTCATTTTTACTCGTATCTTAAAAGATCATGCGCTCTTCAGTCGAAAAGGTTGATATCAACATGGAAGGCAATCACGTTGATGAGAAGCAGCCTGCTCACGATGCTGCGCCTCTTGGCGACAAGGCTTTGACTCGAAGGATACTTCTGAAGCTTGATTTCAGGTATGAATTCCCTCTCTTACCATGGCTTTCGAAGTTAAAGTATTAACGGCAAGATACCAGGATCCTGCCCGTCTTGGCTCTTCTCTTCTTGTGCTCATTCCTGGACCGCACGAATGTCGGAAACGCGAAAACTTATGGGCTGGAAGCCAGCCTCAAGATGACGGATCATCAATACGATACCGGTTTGGCTGTATACTACGCGACGTATATCGCGAGGCAAGTTCTGTTCCATGTTTGGCGACAATCTGTCAGATCTATCACAATATTTGATATGTTGGTCCCGTCTCGATATGGCGCTAACCTTTTTCTTTAAAATATAGTGAGATACCGAGTAATCTTGTTCTGAAGAAAATCAGTCCTAAAATATGGCTGCCGGCTTTAACAGTTATGTGGGGTATTGTGACGATGTGTCTTGGGTTTGTGAGAAATTATTCGGGGTTTCTGGCTGTGAGAGCTGTTTTGGGCATTACTGAAGGTGGACTTTTGCCTGGGATTGTAAGTCTGAAAATAGACATGGGTAGAATAACTTGCTGACTGATTCTAGGTTTTGTATCTGTCGGGAATGTATACAAGAGGAGAAATGGCACTGCGATTGGGACTTTTTTATACCGCTGCTTCTCTCAGTGGTGCCTTTGGTGGCCTTCTCGCACGAGGACTCACAGAGATTGGGAAAGTTGGAGGCCAGGCGAAATGGAGTTGGATTTTCATCATCGAAGGCCTTCTTGTAAGTAATATTCCTAGGAAGTTAAAGATGGAAGCTGACAGTCCTATTGCAGACTGTGGTTGTAGGAGTCATCGCATACTTCCTCCTACCCAATAGCGTAGACACAGCTTCCTTTCTGAAAGAAGATGAGCGTGTATACGCTCGAACACGCCTCCACCTCGATCTCCCATCACGACTTGCTCAGGATGGCAGGTGAGTCCGCACTAAGCGCACGTCTAGTATAGCAAAATAAATGCATGCTAAAAATTAATCCACAGCATGGATCAACACGAAGTCTTTGCGTGGTCCGAAGTATCACGCGGAATCTTCGACCTCTCGACATGGCTGAGCGCCGTCGCGTACTTCGGCATCCTAGCCGGCCTCTACTCATTCGGCCTCTTCCTCCCCACCATAATCGTAGAACTGGGCTACACAGCCAACGAAGCCCAGCTCTGGTCCGTCATCCCCTACGCCGTAGCAACCGTCGTCACGATCTTCGTCTCCTTCATGTCGGACCGCCTGAAACTGCGCGGCGTCGTGATGCTCATCGTGCTCCTCCCCGCCATTGTGGGCTACGCAGTGATTGCCAACATCGGCATCCAGCATCCCAAGGTCAAATACGGCATGACAATTTTAATGGCTACGGGCATGTATGCCAGCGTCCCATGCGTGTTGGTCTGGAATTCCAATAACAGTGCTGGGCATTATAAGCGTGCGACGACGACGGCGCTGCAGCTTATGATTGCGAATAGCGGGGGTTTTGTCGCGACGTTTATTTATCCGTCCAAGGACAAGCCGCAGTTTCACAAGGGCCATACTGTGATCCTTGGGCTTTTGGTGTTTTCTTGGTTCACGTAAGTCAATCTACACTCTAATATTATCTCTCTCTACCTTCACATTTCCTCTCTTCTACACCTCAACATTTTCCCTCTCTTCTCCCCCTCAATCCTCGATAAGATAAAAAATAAACTTAACTTTCATGCTAATGATGCTGGAAAAAAGGGTTGCTCTCAATGTCCTGAATTGCTGGAAGGTTAACCGGGATAAGAAGACCGGCAAGTATGATCAGTATACTGGGTACGCGGATGATAGGGATCCGGATTTCTTGATGGTACTCTGAGATGAGATGAGATGATTGATGCTTTTCAAGCTAAATATCTATTTATTATTTTGCGGGTCCCCTGGCGGAAATTAAGTCGAATGGTAGGAATATACTTAGCTCGCACTTTTCGAGTTGACGAAATGAACTTCTGTAATCTTACATCTGTGTTTTGGGATTTCAAATGTTGTAGAGTACTGGACTAGTAAGTCTTACAAGGAAGTTGGTGCGGGGGCGGGGTAATCGCGGGGTAGAACTGATGAGTAAATAAACGTAAGAGTTCCCTGGAGTCTGGCGATCAACTGCTAATTTATGAAAACTCCTCGCTAGATACCCTACCTAGGTAGTATATAACTGTGTCTTGATTGTTTAGTACATCTGATCTGTTAGGAACCATAACGACTAATACAACCGCGCCGCAGCCTACCTACCGTACATCCTCTCACAACTCCATATATCAACGTTGCAGTGCTGCAGACTGCCTGTTTGCAGACCCTGAAAGCCATAGCATCACAAGACTTCCGCTTCGACTAGACCTATACCTCATGTCAAAGCGCTGTATCTAGTATCCCATAGTTAGAAGCTGCAAATAGAATGTTCCAGACCCCAGAAGCCTCAAACTTGTCCACTTTGTAATGCAATTCATGTTGAGATTTGCGATACTTCCCTTGCCTCCAGAACTATCAAGTACGCTCCTGCAAACACGTGATATTAGATGACAGACGCTTTCATGACAGACCAGACCATACGAACCTCCAGCTCTCCACCTCTGCTCGCCAAAAAACCTCAACGCATCTTTCAATAGCAACAGCGAATCCAACGTCTCCTGCGTCCCATTCTCTCGATACAAGCGCAAGTTTGAAATCGCAGTCTGATACAACAGCGTTGTGAGAAAGGGCGAGGCTTCTTTGACGCACGAGACGAAGGGATGCACATCTTGTCTCTCCGGCCCCTTTTCGCTCGAGATGCGCACGATTTCGGTTGTTTTCGCGCTGAGGTGGACGACGTTGAAATGGTTGGACATGCTGGATTTCCGTGAACAGTGGGCTTCGTGGAGGAGTAACATGGCACTAGATGATCGAACACATCAGACATTTGTGTAATCTTACATGTGCGCCGGTGCGAAGGGGTGCATGTGGTACATACATGGAGCACATGGCTGTCTGGTTCATGATGATCAGACTGTCATAACGGCCTTCGTATGCGAGGACGTTCTCTAATGCCCGGAGCGCGTTGTTCAGAAGCAGGGCTTGTTCGCCGTGCGGGGGCGTGCCGAAGTCGTTTGAGGCCATGTGATCTAGCACTTGTCCGAGGAGTCGCGTTGCTTCTGCTGTCATTGCAAAACGGCCTAGCTTTCCAGGGGAGCGGGAATGAAGGATTCCTAGGCTTGCTGGAGGCATGACCTGCATGCTCACTATCTGTTAGTGAAACCCTGTTTGGGAGAAAGAAAGCAACGCACCCCTTCATCGAAAGCTAGATCATCAGATGGCAAGGGAATATCTGGGGATGGGTGCTCGATCAAGAATTGCCGTCTTTGATAACCTATCTTGATGAACCTGAAGAATATTAGTATGCATTGAAGAATATAGATGGGTGAAGCGGTGTGGCACCACCACGCGCTGCTTCTCACCGGTCCAAGATTACAATTGCCCACCATACTCTATTCTGCTCTTCTATATCTACCCATGAAAACGGTTTCTTTTCTGGAAATTTCGCACCCCAGTTGATGCCTAATTCCTGCCCATACCTGACAGAAGCCTCCACAGAAACGACCGCAGAAGGAAATATAGCATGTCCTAGTTCAAACAGTGCGATTAGTATACCCGCCTGTAATACCTGAATCGAGACGATGCCCTGTATTTCGAGTTCTAGATAAAGCTTCTTCAAGGCCAAGTAAGCCGGCGTGATCGGATCATGCTCGTGGGGCGTAGACATGATGACTTCCATGCCCAGAATCAACAGCGCATAGTCGGAGCGGATTTTACCAGCTGAAGGCCCTAAAACATGCTCCTGGAAACGTTTCTTGGAAACTATGGGGAACCAAGAGTGGATGGTGGAGAAATATTGAGAGCTGATTGATTCCCACTGTAAGGGTCCGCCGATGATCCTAGAGATGGAAGTTTTGACTCCCAAACTCGCCTTGGGGATCTCAACCTGGCACGCCCTAAAGACATCCCACTAGATCAAGGGGGGATTAGCTATTTCCTATTCAAGACGGTTTCGGGAGTAGAGGGAAGCTATGTTTCCAGCTTACAGCTGGAGGTAAAGCACATGAGACGAAACAAAACAAAAAGGGCTGGGGTAACATCAAAGAGCCAGTTATCCTTACGTCCAAGTAAAAAACGGGTGGAAAGCAACTCGGCGCTGCTTGCGGACTTTCAGCACCAACGGTGAGAGATCGACGAAAAGAAGACTGGGACACCCTATGCCGAGCCTGCTGCTCAGACCGTCGAGCTGGAGTTGAGACAGTCGGATATTCACAAATCAAGTGTTTCCTAGCAACGAAGTCAACATACAGCCCTAATAAGCTAAAAGATTAAACCTTCAGACTTCAGTTACACTACATATGCTTACTTTGAACACAAAGAACACTTAGGGAGCCCCTTGTCGCATTTTCTTTTCCGAGCTTTGCATGAGCTGCAGGATAATTGCGAGGACATCAGAGCGTAAGTTCGGTTTGATGTTAAGCTTCGTTATTGTTGTGATACTGTAACGGTTCCCTGCGGAGGCGGCGTGAAAACCGCCCCGCATAGCACGGCGGCCGCCAGATTCGGCGGGCCCGCTGCTCTGCAAGCTGACCCGCTTGTCCAATCAAGACATTGGTTGCCCCATTCCCAGAGAGGCAATCACGAGTTTCAAATCAAATCGCATAATCCACTTTGTTTATTTATAATACAAAGCTGCTGCGTAGAAGGTATAAAGAATACAGATCTCCTCGAAATTATGAAGCCTCCCAGCACAAACTTCCCTAGCCATCGTCAATTTGCCCCGGTGATCAATTTGATCCCTCAGAACTTCACAAGCACTGCTTCGAACAAATGAAACTTACAATACTTAACCTACCTATATAATGGCTCCTCGGATTTTCCTCACTGGAGCTTCTGGATACGTCGGTGGCCAATTCATCCCCAACATGCGAGCAAAGCATCCCTCATATCAAATCATCAGCCTCGTTCGAACCAAAGAGACAGGAGAAAAACTCACCTCCAAATACCCATCTGTACAAATCGTCATCGGTGATCTCGATTCCAGCAGTCTGCTAGTGGAGCAAAGCAAGTTGGCAGATGTGGTGATTCGTATATATGCTCGCTCCTTCATCCAGTCCCCTCTCTACTCGAAAGTAATGTACGTACGAAACGTCTAATACACCCATCTCGGAACCCCAGAAGCCGCAGACTGCGATCACCTCAACGCCATAACGTGCATCATGCGCGGCTTGTCCGCCGGCGCGAGAAACGCACCTCTCATCCAGCTATCCGGCGCAGCCAGCGTCCTAGATATATGCAATGGAGTCGGGCAGCGGAGCCCGAGAGTCTGGGACGATGGCGTGGACTTGGATGAGATCCTCAGCTTCGACGCGACGCATGTGCATCATGCTAGCGACAAGCTTGTGTTCAGCGAAGGCAAGAAGCACGATGTCAGGACCGCGATCGTGGCGCCGCCCATGATATACGGTAGAGGCCACGGGATCAAGGAGTGGAGCATGGGCCTGCCGTGGCTGGTTGGAATGTTTAAGAACCGTGGAAAGGGGTTTGTGGTTGGGGAGGGCAAGACGATTGTCAGTAGTATACATGTGAGGGATATTGCGGATGTGCTGGTGTATTTTGCGGAACAGGCACTGGGTGCGGAAGATGGCGGGAGGGTGGAGTGGGGTGAGAAGGGGTATTATTATTGTGAAGCGGGAGAGTGTACTTTTTTGGACATGTGGATGTTATTGCGAGAGAGATGAAGGGGAAGGGGATGATCGAGACTGCGGAGCTGGATTCGCTGACGTCTGAAGAGGCGGATCAATTGCATCCGTGGGCTACTTTCATGTATGGATCTAATATGAGGATTTGTGCCTCTAGACTGCGGGGTTTGGGATGGACGCCGAAGCAACCGGGGGTCATTGAGACGGTTTTCGAGATGTTAGAATGAACAGGCATGAAGAGGAAAAGAGCTCTGTGTGTCTTGATATTCCAGACAGACAGTCATGTCACTGATGAACATCCAACCTAATAAGTCACAAATTGGAGAGTATGAAATGCATGATATCTACAAAACACAACACGCCACTGCTCTTTCTCAATTGTGTCAATCTAGCCTGCATTGATATACTACTTCCCAGGAATTTAAAGACAGAGAGGCTTGAACGATTATCGATTTGTCTTGCTTTTGCTTCTATGATGATTTCTCTACGTATATTTCGTTTCGTTTCGTTCGTTTCCTCTAATCTCATCTCATCTCATGTCATGTCGTAAAAACTACTACATACGCTAGCCCGCTCGCTTAAAAAGGGGGACGTACAGCATTAAGCTAAGCGTCATCCCACCCCTCCTTCTCAACCTCCCTCTCCCAATCATCCGCCACCTCCTCCTTCTTACTCTCCCTCTTCCTACTCCCCAACACAGTAAAAGAACTCTTATGTCCAACCTCCTTCTCCCTCACCGCAAGCTTCCTCCCCGCCCCCTTCGCAACCTGCGACCAGCCCCCCCCACTCGCATTATCGTCTTCTCTCCTAGCGACGTTGAGACTGCTATCTACGGCGCAGAGAGCCGTGGAAGCAGCAAGCTCGAGAGCTTGGACTTTCTTCACGATCGAGGATTTGGCGGATGAGAGACTGAGTTCTAGTTTGTGCGCTGCAAGGAAATGGCTTGGGAGGGGTTTGAGAACGATGTCGCCGGATGGTAGGAACGCGACGTCGAATGCCTCGAATCCAGCAGCTGAGAATTCCGCGTGCAGGTCCGTGCGCAGTTCATCAATCGTAAGACCAAACTTTGGATTGCTCAATACGAAGGCGTTATATGGCTCCGCACTACTCACCAGTCCCTTGCTCGATGGCTCTGGCGCAGCAACAGGTATAGCCTTGAGCTTGATGCACTGGCTCAAGGTCTTCATAGGCGCCGAGACGAATCGAGGGGTTTTGAAAATAGAAACATGTCGATGAGGCTCCGGATCTTGACTCTCGCTGTCCAACCCAAAATCCTCAGCCAGAGCATGTATGAATGCGCGCTGACTAGGTTGCATTGGTTTAAACCGCAGCCGTTTCTCCTTCTCATCCGCCGCAAAGACGCGGAACTCGCGCTCTTGTACTTGTGCGAATTTTGGGGCCTCGCGAAAGAGATCGAGTGTTGTTTGGGAATAAGGGATATGGTCATTGAGATGTGTGGCGGGGTCGATGTTCAAAGCAGCAGCGAGCTTGGCGTTACGTTGCAGCTTTAAACAGTCGTCTGTGCATTCTAAAACCTTGCCGGTGTTGCCATCGCTTGTCTTTGAAGCGAGACATCTGATGTCTTTCTTCTGGTGTTGACACACGCAAGTGATGAATGTTTTGGCTTGGCAGGGCTGAAGTTCTTTACACGGGTAAGGAGCATGGCAGGGGTCCGAGCAGGAGTGTTCGCAAACTGTCTTCTTGCGGCCGCAAGGCTGGGCGCAGGGTGAAGATGCGTCTTCGCATTGGCCGGGGCGGTGGCAGGGCTTTTGGCAGGTGTGAATTCCGCATTTGAGTTTCTTGCCGCAGGGAAGGCCGCAGCGGACTTCAGTGAACCAGCAGGGTTGGTTTTTGAGGCTCTTCTTGCCACAGATGCAGGGCTTTTCGACCAGAAATGGGCATTTGGGACAGGATTCCGAATCTTGATGGCATTGGTGCTTGACTTGGGGATGGCCACATGTTCGTCGGCGGGTGCAGTCGAAGCGGCATTCAGGGGGTCGAGTTCCACATGGCTGTGGTGGTTGGAGAACAGTTCGACCACAAGCACAGCTGATATCTTCGAATACAGCTTCAAGACAGCTTGAACAAGGACCTTTGTGGCACAGTTCTTGACAAGAGTGGTTGCTACACTTCAGTGGACGGCCACAAACCTTAAGACAGATGTGTTCAGCCTCGATATTTTCATCTCCCCTTGGTGCTGCACTCAAACCTCGATGCTTGCGCTTCAAAGCTTGTCGTTCGCTTGCCTTCTTCTCTCCAGGACAACAGCGTTCCCCACACTCATGTCTGCCACAGTTTAGAGTTGCTCGGCAGATACGCATGCAGGAGGGCGGCTCCTCAGTTCCCTGGTGACATATTGTCTTTGATGTGGTTCTTCCGCATCGACAGGCAATTTGGACTGTTTGCAGACAGGGTCTACATTCGCCCTCATGGCAAGTCTGTTGGCAGATATGTCCACATTGAAGCAAATTCTCGCATTTCTCCTTGCAGTGAGGAATTGGAGCCGAGCAATCTTTTCTGTTTTCTTCCAGTAGACTAGATAATGGTGTCTTTCCACAAGGGCAGTGGGTGACGACATCGGGCGAGTATGGACAGTGTGCAGATTGCAAATCTTGAACGTGACATGCCTTCTCACAAAAGTGATCCGCGTTACCACAATCATAGGGCCTCTTGCACTCAGCACCACAGTCAAAAGATCCCGTCCAGGTCTCATCCTCTGATTGACTCTGCCTCTCCTCATCCCGTTCAGAACAAGCAACAGGCTTCTTCACCTTGCCACAGTAACAGCGAGAATCTATCAGAATCTCACAGCCCCCACATAGGCCTTCATGACATCCTCTCTGACAATTATGTTCCCCACAAGGAAGGACGTCATCGCAAACCTGCCCACAGCTCCATCCACCGTCATAATTCGTATCCTGACATCGCCGCGTCGAGGTCTCCTTCCCACAGAAGCAAGGCAAAGAAGGGCCCATATGGCTACAAGGCAGACAAGGACCAGCATGGCAAATAAGCTCGCAGGGATGCGGACAATGTCCCAGTCTAGGCTTCGAACAGGTCTGTCCGCAAGAATGAGGTGGTAAGCCAGGGAGAGAACGGGGCTCTATCTCCTTGGCACACCAACATGTATATTCATTCGGCAGGCCATCTTTTGGTAGGTTGCAGCCCGGACATCGCCATTGTCTTGGCGGCGGCAGTTCTCCATTATCATTCGCGCGCTGTTGATGTGTAGAAATCTCATTCTTCGACCAGCGCTTCACGCACGTTAGATGTAAAACCGACCAGCACGTCTTGCAACTCCAGATCTTGGAATTGGGCAGGACTTCATTGGTACATATAGCGCATTCGTATTGACCGTTTGTGATGTCTTCGTGTGTTCTGGAAGCGATGTCTGGGGCTTGGGATTTCGACATTCTCCGAGGGCGGGGCACTTGATGTTGTCTTGCACGCGGGGCAACTGGTTGGCCTGGAATGAAAACTGGGGCATCGCCTGCCAATGAGCCTTCTGTTGAGGGGACATTTGAGGTGAGTTGGCCTCCAAATGCTCTTTGGCCATTGACCATAGGTTGTGCGCCACCTCTTCTTCCTCCTCGTCCAAGTCCGCCCCTTCTGCCACGGCCACCTCTGTTTGAATTCGAGGTAGGGGGAAGAGTTGATTCTGGTGCTAAGGAAGCAGGTCGAAGTACGAGTGGAGTATTTGCGGTCTGGGGAGCAGGATTTGGAGCAGTGGCAGTTCCAGTTGCCCCTCCTCGGTTTCCACCTCGTCCGCGACGATTGCGTGGTGGTCTGTTCCGTCCCGCTGGGGGAGGAGCTGTTTCAACAGCGGACATGGTTCGGGTATAAAAAAAGTTGGTGATTGACTGAAAAGCCGTCTTTGCTATGTGAGGGTTGTTAATCAAGATGTGTGTTGATATAATTGCTCGGTGCCTGGCGCTCAATTTATCTGGGGTTTTGTTTTTGGGGTGGTTATTGTTTTCTGTTTTTGTACTTTGAATAGCACAGCGTTGCGCCTTTGAAATACGGCGTCTTCGAAATGTAAAGAAAAACAGGAAGTCGAACGGTCGTGAACCGGTGAGGTTGTCTGTGTATTTACAAAGGAGCACAAGGCTGACCTTTTATCGACTGGTGGCAATTCAAACGATATCTCGAAGAGGTTAGCGGGGACAAGTGAGAAGAGTCACAAACTGAGCTGAGTCACGGTCATACGAAAAATATGTGCAGTCGATGTATCATTTACTGTCGAAGCAGCTACATGGATATCCGTACATAAATACCCATACACCTGCAGCAGGTAGTTCCATCTGCTTGGTCAAAGACAGCCAAGGCTTGAAAGCATGTTCCAATCACCGCAGCCAAAAATCTCATCAACAGCCTCGAGGCGCAAGGCTGGACTGAGTACATTAGGTGTCACAATTCAGAAACGAGGTACAGTAATTGAGTTGTGAAATTCGCAGTCTTTGCTGCAAGACGAGAAGCGCCTTGATTCCAAGTCTAACTATTAAGGTCCAGCTCCAGTAACCAGACAGGAGGTGGAATGCCACACATACATGCAATGCAATGCCAGAGCCAAACCTAGATAAAAAATGGTATCATAGAAACAGAACGATCTCTCCCCGGTCATTCCTCTTCATCCTCAAGCTCCTCCAGAGCTCCTTCTCTTCTTCCCCCTTGCTCAAGCCCACTCCTACGGCATTTCTGTCGCGGTGATATCTCTTGAGCGCCTTGTTCATGCTCACACCTCGCTCGCTGTCTGGGCCCTTGTTGATGTAACTCAGTAACAAGTCTGCGCGTGGCTTGTAAACGACCATTTCGGCGGCAGGGTCGTCTTGAACAGCGCGATCCTCATCCCTCGGATGGTACTCGATCATTTTGGGTCTCTCGGAAGCTTCTCGATGTCGTCTGTGCTTCCTCTTTGGTCTTTCCTCAGATGAGTGCTCACGGGATGGGCGTGTGCTGATCAGTGACATTAAATTGCTGCTTATGGTATCGACACGGCTACGGCCACGCTTGGAATGCTTCGTCTTCTTCAATGGACTCCCAGGGGAGGCATCAGCTACATCGCCGCCAGAATAGTCTGGAGATGGTGGGAATACTGAAGGACGGGAAAGTAATCGATTGAGGCCACCAGTTAACCCGGAATGAAGAACAGGTGGGGCATCAGTCATGACTTCGTCGGTTTCCCCACGTGGTGATAGATCCCGGGTATCGACATGTAGACGTTTGCGCTTCTTATCCTTCTTGTCCTTGCTCGTATGTTCGCGCTCCTTTTTCTCCCTTCGGCGTTCCCTATCCCTTTCTGCCTTGGGCGCTGGGGTTTTGAATTCTTCTGTTGGTATTGGCCCACTTCCATACTCGACGAGTTCCGATATATTGTGGCCTGCGTCCTCGAATCGTACTTTAACTAAACCCTGGTTGTTGTTCTCTTCCGGCGCTTCCTCGATCAGGTTCATCGGCTCGGGCGCAGGTAGTTCGAGTCGCGATGTATTAGGAGTGGCGTCAACAAGAAAATCAAAGACATTGACAGGATCCGAGTTGAATTCAAAACCAGGTGCTGCCGATGGAGGCTCCGGAGCCTCCGGCATAGGAGGGTCGACGATCACGATATGCGAGTTGTGGTGGTACTCATCATCCGCATCCTCGACATAAGCTTTGTGTGGTACGACGGCCCTCGAATTGTTATGGTGACTCTGCTTGTTCTTCCTTTCCTTGTCCGGTCTGTAGAGGGCGCCTTGGTATTTTTGCGCTTCACTGATACAGCTCTTTCAACTGTTAGTTCTATGCAAGACAAGTCGCGCAGTCAACTACGTACGGTATGAGCGCGGTACTCGTTCCCTTGGAAATGTACCATGCAGTCGAGACATGTAAACGATGCGCCGCGACACTGATTGCGATGAGGGTCAAGTTTCTTTTTGGTGAGGACGTCTCCGCAGGACTAGACAAGACAATAGTCAGTAGAGCGCATTTTATCACCAAGATATGTTGGTGGTGTTTCACGGCGCGTAGAGGTGAAAGGGTAAACATACCTCGCAAGAGAAGGATACCATGATGAATTTTTCGTTGGGCTTTGATTTGTGGGTTGGTTCTGGTGGGTTGAATTGGGGATAGAATTTGGGATGATTGAAGTAGAAGGGATGGTCTGACTGCTGGGGACCTCTGGGATATGGCGGGGACGTAAGGGGACGAAGTCTAAGGGGGTTTGCGTGGAAGTTGTAGGAGGATGTTCCAAAGTTCCTTTTACCGAGTAGCCTTCCTGGCGCTATCGCTGTTTATTCCTGGACGGTACCAAGGATTGCGGGCTGTGGCACTGGAACGAGCGCTGCTGCAAGGTCGCGTCGTCGTGTGCATGAGCAGATCAGCCCAACACGGAGAATGGGGGACCTTTGATTTGTTGGTGTAGTGCCAGGGGTGCGTTGCCTTTTCTCTCCTTTTGGGCGAGGGATGTGAGAGGAAGAGATGAAATCTCGGTTGTGAGCGAATGGTAGGATAGAACAGGCCACTCCGAATAATGGCATTCGAACATACGGAGGTACGGAGGAGTAAGGATCAGAACGAGAGGAAGGTCATGTGAGGTGGGGGAGTGGAGTGAAGCTATTCCTGTTGTAGGCAGATGTAGGCAGATATATGATTGCGATGTTCCTCTTATTGGACTGCCCTATCCTTCTAGACTCCTTCCACTTGGAGTGTACACGGGCAACTGCATCATCTTGAACACCTCCAGTCGGTTTCTTACCATCAGCTGGCCCCCTGAACGATGGACAGATCTGGTCATTATCCGGTAATCTATTCGGCACAGGAGAAGTAATACGGAGTATAAGGTAAACAATGCAATATACAGGTATAATGCGAGGTTTTGTGACTTATTGTAAGCATGGATCTGTTGCAGCATATAATATAGGTAATAATATTGTATTATTGTTCCTGTACTCCGTACACCGTGGATAACTCTTTTCGCTCTACAAGTAAACTGCATCGCTCTATTGGGCGCTGTACAATAACGCCGTTGCAATAAGCGGGCTCCCAAAGAGTATTTCAACAAAACTCGTCTCGCGCGTTTCATTCTTCACCTGCATCTCGTTTCTGTCCGCCACTACTCCACCTTCACCAACATATACCTGCCCCCAACAGGCAAAGAAAGGCATAATCCACTATAAGGATCTCCCACCGCCATCATTTCTCGCTGCTCGGCGAATGATGCAGATGCACCGCTGAGACAACTGTCAAGTGCAGCCTATTCGGGCCACGAGACAACATCACCAGGCAACCGAAAAGCGAAACCTGCGAAAACCCCCTTTATCACCAAAATGTCTTCTCCCCAGGACAACTCCAGCTCCTCTCTCCAGCAGATGACCTCGCTCTTCAGCTCCATGGCAAGCTACATGCGTCTGCCGGTTTTGATCTCTTCGGTACCTTTGCCCTCTCACAGTCCTTACCTTACTTATCTAATCACCCAAACCACACCCATCCCATGTCATCACCGTCGTACTTACTCTGGCGACAGGGTGTCGCTGCTGTGCTGAGTTCGTTACTGTATTTCAAGCAAAAGTATGTTTCTACCCCTTAATTCCCCACTTCCTCTCCCGTTATTCTTTGTAAAGCTAATATGCCTCTACCAGAGCCCTCATCTACCCCTCCCATATCCCCAATCTCGCCCGCACCGAAGTCCCCCGGCCCTCGCAATTCGGCATCACCGATTTCGAAGAACTCATGATCCCTACCCCCGATGGCGAAAAACTCTCTGCATTCTACATCCGGGGGCCCAAGGTTCCTTCGAACAAGAATAGGAATACAACGGTGTTGATGTTCCACGGCAATGCAGGAAACATTGGTCACCGAGTGCCCATTGCGCGTATGTTCGTGAAACGCATGGGATGCAACGTATTTATGCTCGAATACCGCGGCTATGGACTTTCAACAGGTTCCCCAGACGAGGTCGGTTTAATGATTGATGCGCAAACGGCGTATGATTATATACGGAAAAGAGCGGAGACCAGGAACCATGATATCGTCGTGTTTGGGCAGAGTTTAGGGGGTGCGGTGTCCATACAGCTGGCGGCGAAGAATCAGCATGATGAGCGGTTCAGTGGGTTGGTGCTTGAAAATACGTTTTTGTCGATGAGGAAGTTGATTCCTTCGTATGTCCACTTCCTTATCCCAAATCCCCTTTGTTTCAACGTGTAGACTGACCAAAACAGCATCATCCCACCAGCTAAATACCTAGCCGTCCTCTGCCATCAAGTCTGGCCATCCGACACCTTCATCCCCTCTATAACCGAACTCCCAATTCTCTTCCTCTCTGGTCTCCAAGATGAAATAGTACCGTATGTCCCCTGTCTCTTTCCCTCCCTCCCTTTTTGAATGATGACCAATTTACATCCACAAAACCTGAAGTCCCTTCTGGGACCTGATTTAACCATTTTTGAAACCTGTCTGACTTTTATACCCCTCCCCGCCCTCACCAATCCCTCTCATAATTGGCTTTGGACTAACCAAAGAAACACAGACCCTCACACATGCGCCGCCTCTTCGAAATCTCCCAATCTCCTACCAAGATCTGGAAGCCTCTGCCAGGCGGAGACCACAATTCCAGCGTACTGGAAGAGGGGTACTTTGAGAGCATAGAAGACTTTGTCGCAAATCTAGAGACGAAAAATGGTTAGATATTGCTTGCTTGCACTTGCTTAGCTTAGCGAGGCGTTTGGGTTGGTGAGGTAGATTGATGTTATAGCTTTCATGATAATGATAGATTGGCTCGGACGGTATTGGAGTTGTATATTATATATAGGATTAGCTGGCTATGTTGGAATAGAGATACACTTGCCCGTGAGGGCTGAATCTTCCGCTCTTTATTACTTTGCTGGAGGAAGTTCCTGCAGACAATACTTATAATACATTGGGCGCAGAATATCTAGCAAGAAATTTAGAGAAGTTGTTAGAGGAATGGCGCGTTCCGCAAGGTTGACTGGATAAATGTTAGAGTAAGCACGCCCTCTCATACAGTAGTTGAATAATATCCCTCCTCAGCGCCTTTCCCGAAATCGATATGCGTCTGATAAATAAACGTGCACAAAAGAACAATGTCCTCGGTCCGCGCAAAAGGCAATCTTCGACACAGATACGCAATACTCAGTTACATCTGGGGATCCAGGCCAGACAGCGGGAAAGTAAGAGAATCGAAATCGACGCAACTGTAGATGTTACTCTAGTGGAAATTGACCTAGCTCTTTATTAAGTACATACAACGAACTTCCGCATACGATCAAGGACGCCGTCACCGCCACGAGAGGGAATGGGGCTCGATTACCTGTGGGCAGATACTCTTTGCATTCAACCGCGTGTTTACGAAAACGAGGCAATGATGACAGCTGATAGGAAAAAGCAATTCGCGGACATGCACACGATCTATGGAGGAGCATGCTTCTGTATTGTCGCAGCAGGAGGTGAATCTGCCTCTAATGGTTATACAGTAGTAGGGCTCCGTCTACCATCTACCAAGGACCGAGAAGCCAAACAGACCGACATCGTGACTCGCTCAAAGTCCTGACCCAATCGGGAAGAAGTTTGTTTCCTAGCCAAGGATTGCGCTCAGCAATGATAGCTCACTAGCCGTACTGTACCGCTTCTATTGCCAAGTAATATCAGCAAAGTCAACTGGGCAACCCGTGCTCGGTGTCCGCAGGAACAGCTGTTCTCAACACGATATCTTATCATTTTAGACAACCAGGTATACTATCCATGTAAGAAAGGCATGTGGTTCGAAGATATGTCTCTGCAAACCAAACAACCCATGTTGCAAGCTCACGGTAATAACGGCCGAAATGATCTACTGCCACTCAGTCAGTCTTTGACAAGTCCAACACATCTTCGTACCTTGACAAGATGTATCACGTCCCTCTCCTTACCACCCACACACTCCACGGCAATTCCCCAATATCTCCTCATCCTCAGTAGACATACTCCGCACATCACTACTATTCTCAACAACGAAGTCATGGCTCGACCAGCAGCCCGGCCCCGTAGCGACTGGCGGAATAGCGCTCGCGCTCTAACGGTAATCCTCAGCACGTAGCACGATATGTCAAAACTCGCCAGCTGAACGAGGACTTGCACGTGTATACCTGGTCTGTATAAGGTACGTTTCGTAGCCTTTCAAATCGCATCGGGACATATGTATGAAGTCGCGTATCGCAAGGGTTTTGAAGGACTGTTGGATGACTGAGGGGGATGCTAAGCTTCGCTTCGGGGTGTGAGCTTGGAGCTTGGTTGGGTTGACGTGAGGGGGTGTCTTCAGGCCCTCAAGGTACTGGACGGAAGGGGAGGTAGAGTTAGTGAAGAGAAGAGCAGAGAAGCTCTATATAGGACAGTTATCTATATACATCACATAGTCAGCGTTCCTGCTTCCTGCAAGGTAAGAACAAGAGCCTAGACGTTCGTTGGTTGGCGGAGCGGAACGGAATGGAATGGATCGGGTTTTTCGAGAGCTGTTTCCATGGTATAGTGGTAATATAAGGTGAGCTTTATAGTCTTGGCTGTGTATTAGCATGGGATGAACAGAGATAGTATAGGAAAGCAGTAAAATATATAGCAGGATGTTGGAGTACTGCTAACTGGGATATATACCCGCGTTTTAGAAGCAATGAATGGCGTGCGATACAGATCTCATCTGACGTGGGCCCGGGCTAGGAAAAAATAACTATGCATTTGAACGACGTTAACAAATATCATATCTACACGACTGGAAAGTCAGCCACCAATTCCAAACACCGCCATCACCATGTTGCCGCTGATCCCAATCTCATCTCATCTCATCGCCATCAATCCATCCCATCTTCATCCTAATCCTTACAATGCCATGGCCTTCTTAATCTCCGCAATCGCATATCCAGGGTTCAAACCCTTCGGGCAAGTTCTCGAGCAGTTCAGAATAGTATGGCATCGGTACAGACTCATGCTGTTATCCAGCTGCGCCTTTCTCTCCTCCGTATGCTCATCTCTGGAATCCGCTATCCATCGGTAACTCTGCATCAGCACAGCCGGTCCAAGGTATTCCTCCGAATTCCACCAGTACGAAGGGCATGATGTCGAGCAGCAGGCGCAGAGAATACATTCGTATAGCCCATCGAGCTTCTTTCGCTCCTCTTTTGATTGTAGGTATTCTTTTCCATCTGGGGCGGGAGTGTTCTTTTGGAGATAGGGCTTGATGGATTTGTATTGCTTGTAGAATTGCGTCAGGTCGGGGACGATGTCCTTGACGACGTAGGTGTGGGGGAGAGGGTAGATTTTGCTTTCTGCCTTGACATCGGTTGGGATACGGCCTGGATGAAATTAGATATTGCTCAACATATCTGATAGGTAGATTGTACTTACACAAGCAAGCAAGAGTGTTAACACCATCAATGTTCATCGCGCAGCTTCCGCAAATACCCTCTCTGCAACTCCGTCTGAATGTGAGGGTGGGGTCGACCTCGTTCTTGATTCTGATCAGGGCATCCAACATCATAGGGCCGGTTTTGTTCAGATCCAGGGTGTAGCTCTGCATGCGTGGCTTGGTGGATGGCTCATCGGGATTCCATCGGTAAATGTGGAATGTCTTGATCTTCGAGTCTGCATCCGCAGCGGGTTCTTTAACTGTCGTGGTCTGCGACGGAGGCACAGCACCAGACGTAGCAGTTCCAGTGACAGTTGCCATGGTCCGCGTCCGTATTTGGGACTTAAAGGCTGGACGTGTTGCCGCGAACAGGCGCGAGGTTGTGCGTAGAGCTGCCATTGTTTGCGGCGGAGGGGAGTGTGGTGTTGTTGACAAATGTGGTGGTTTCTCACTTCAATCAAGAAGTCTAATACCGAATGCTTGGATTGGATTGATCAATCAGTGAAAGAGATATGTGGTTGCCACTCAATGCGAAGCCAAAGACCGTCGTCGTAGAGTCTTCGAAGGTCGTCCGTCGCCCATTGACGGCAAAACGATCGACCTCGGGAATTCAGAATGGCTTACCTCACCATTTCTGACCAATGAGAGCACTGCTGTTGATAATCGCGGGCACCAAACGGAGCTTCTCGGGAACAACCACCAAATAATCACGTGCAAGCTTATATTTTCATCCTTATCATCAGCTCTGACCTTACGACTGAATATATCCATTTTCAACACCTTTTGAGCATGTTAGCTCTTCTTCATGTTTCTGTTATTATCCTGCTTCCGTTAGAACATAAAGTACTTGCATATCTCAGACGCAAATTTGAGAACTTTTCAAGGCTTTTTGCGACTTACAAATAGCTGGTGCTATTGACATCCTCTCTTTCAATAGATATGTTATATAACCAATCTATGGATTCTATTATGTCTCTTATCATATGACCCCCTAAGTTGCTCTTTCTACTTTGTCTCAGCAAGCCGGTATCACCTCAACTCTCTTGCCATACCTCATGTCCGCTCGGATGTCTCGGCAAGAATAGGACATTGCAATGCACTCCTCGGTCAAACTGTCCAAATACTTCATTGCGACAAATGGAAAACCTTTATCCTTCATGAAGGTACTCTCGTGGTTGAACAATTGGCTTGAGGCTAGTGGTAAAGCTTTGTGTTGCCTTTTGTGCAGACTTGGGCCGCATTATACTATGTGTATGGAGACTAATACATAGATACAAGTGGGGAAGACGTTTCTCTTTGCCGGTACAACGCTATGCTCAAGATTCGCTAACAATGTCTCCAAGTTATCACTTTTTGAGTACACAATCGATGATATCGGAGTCAATCGTCTGAATATGTTTCAATATTCTTCCAATGCAGGTTCTTGGTTATTAAGTCAATGAGCGTCTCGGTTCTTGATTTCCCTTTGATCCCTGGGACTCTTGACTTAGACACAACAATATTTAATAACCCTGCATATTCTAACTAAGATCTCGAAACTCACAAAGTGGGGTCTATATTGCAAAGAGCAACATCGTCGTCAATACGATATCTTGAGCAAGTAGCAGATTGTACATCCGAGCTACGGAGTATATAACTTTTTTGCTTGATCGTGGCCAACGTTGCATTAAATCGTCGATGCTTGAGAAGTATCTCACATCGAGCTATACGTGAGGATATGTTGGAAGCCCTCCAATTTCGCAGAGGTAATGTGGCTCAAGTTATGGTCAATGGGGTCGTTAGCAGCTTTCAGCAGAAGCTAGCTCGCACAAATTTAGATTTCACTCATCTTGTTTACTATGAAATCGTTACATATAGATCGACAGCCTCCGTCTATTCGAAGATGGCCTGCGGAATGGCATTCAGTTTAAGAAACATCAGTCTTCACTCGTATTACCCCTAATGGGGAAGATGCCGAACCAGGTCTACACCGTCTTCAGTCCGGTTGTTTTTCCAGTCCTCAGGCAATCGAAGAGAAGAACTCTTACCCGTTGGTCGACGTGTTACAGTTCACTACAACAAAAGGTGGGTGTGGGAGCTCCAAAATTGCAAGAAACGTTTCATATGCTAACCCTTGACAGATTCTAAGAATCGCGAGGATGCCATGTCTTCGTATATGGGTTCAGTCTACTGAAACTGCACAGGTTACATTGCGAGTTGGAGAAACAATATTCTCCTCGAAGACGCAACATTCCTACTAGGTTTACCAGTAGCGGCTTTTTACTTCTACATTCTGTTCATGCAAGCATAATGATACCACCCCACGGCAGAAAGTTGTCTTACTAGGCCTACTATCTTACGCGTAGAAACCCACATCACTAGGTGCGTTGGGCGGCGGCGAATAGTCTTCTATCCAAATAGTTCTTCATGCTGCCGAAATCGTCGAGTGGATTATTCACAAACAAATTAGAGTCATGCTCAATGGACGAAGATTCATACCCAGGAACTACATAAGGAAAATGGGGAATCCTGAGAATTTCAAGCTGAGATTAGAAGCAGCACTGGAGACTGGACCTTTGCTGCACTGCCACATAAGGGCATCTTGAAACACATCACCACCCTATTCAAGTTCCCTAATCTTATTACTCAACCGGCCATGGCGCCTTCAAATCTCAGGACGCATCTTTCTTACGCTGCAGTCATGGACAATGACAGCAAGGTACACTATCACCTCAACAGATGAGCTTTGCAAAACATGCCTATAGACTCGCGACTCTAAACTTTAGGGCAAAGTCTGGCTAGCTGCTTTTCTAGGCCCATATGGAATTGCATCCCTGGAATTCCTGTTCCTGTCTAAGGCCACAGGATTCGTTGAGTCAAAGTTTCGAGATCACAGCAGGACTGTCTTTTTGAGACTCGATTTTCAAAGTGAAGAGGAAGGCGCAAGTGAAAAGATCGGACTTACTTCTTCGTCATGCTCATTACAATAGACGCTGTGGCGCTAATGGGGCTGCTGAAAAGTGAGCATTGAATCGGTCTTCCAAGTCATCATTCGTTTTCAGTTGCTACTCCGGTCCTCAGTGGGGGAGATTATCCTGTTTTAGTTTATCCTGCAAAGATTTCAAGATTCGACATATTATTATTAATTATTGTTTTATCCCGAGACACTACCACCGATTACCCCTTCCACCCATTATAACTTCTACCAGACTACACATATGTTTTCTTCTTCTTTCCTCTCGTTCCCAGCTTATACATTACTATCGCAAGTGTCGACCTGACAGACCAGTTCCCCACCTTTCCCATTTCCATTTCAACTTCCAACCATACCAACCCAAAATTCTTCATCCTTTCCTCCACTCTCTCACCGCACCCACGTTCACGAACTCTTGAAGGCAACCTCTGAGCTCCCAATAACCTGATTGTGATAATCGGGAGACCGAGGCCGAAATCCCATTCCAAACGGCCCTCTCTGTTCTTCAGGATCGGCCTTCCCACATCTATATTGAGTCTTCTTCCTCACGCAGAATTTAATGCACATTATAACGCTCCAAGCCAGCCAATAGCACAATATCAAGGCGAGAAAGCTGAAGAACAGCCCGATAATGATCTTCGTGTGAAGTGGTAGCTCGGGCTCCATTGAGGATGACTCTACGTGCTGGAATTCAAAGGTGCGGTGCTCGTAGCCATTGTTTTCGTCATTGGAAGAATAGTCGTAGGTGATGATACCGTGTGAAGAGTAAAGGAGGGACATTTTGAGGGTTTGTTTGCTTGTTTCAACAAACAAGTGTTTGGTTTGTTTGAGTTTGGAGATGGATGAAGGAGAGGAATTTCTGGATGTGCTCGAAATGTTTTTCGGTGCGTACTATGTCATTGCCATTAGGGTTGAGGTCATGATGGGGCTTCCGGTTGTTCGCCTTGATGAGTTCGGGAAGCACGTGGCCTGTTCTTGAGGTCTCAACTTCTTCCTGTTAGATCCAGGGTACATGATTATCCATTGCTTTGGGCTATATATGTTGAGACCTTTGGTAATTAATTCCTTTCCTTCATCTAATGTTTTATTTTATTTTCCGTTCGTGTTCTTGAAGTTCTCTTTCCTTTGGCTTTTTGTGTAACTATCGTGCCCCAAGTCCCCTCTAGTCGCAAGCGGACTGAAGCTATAGTCTCCAATAGGCAGAGTAGTATCATGGCCCTAACTATTAGTGGTTGTCGCATGAGCTTTGGTGTTTAAAAATCTTGCATGTTTTTCGTCTTTTCCATCAATTTTACGGGCAAGAATCACCCACCCCTTGACTTTCAAATAGCACCGACTTGAACTTCTGTCAGATTCGATTTCACACCTACTAAGAACCCCCTCAAGCTGATTCAACACACCGCAATACAGACATATCATATTTGCCTTCGATTTACCCCAAACGATTCAGTGCTTTTGAAACTCTCACCGGTGTCCTCTCTATTCTCCTTCTCATATTACCAAAGCCTTTTCCCTGCTTATAACAACAAATAGCTCACAGACAACTTTAAGACAATCGGGAACGTGCTCTTATATTGGCGAAAGAAATAGGTCAAGGTTTGATTCCATTCTAAAATAAAGTGGCAAAGTGGGCAACCGAAAGCGGTGGAAGATGAATTCGCTATATTGAGGGATGAGATGGTGGCACATAATAGGGAGATGGAATTGAAGATGTCGAATAGACAATTACCAGCAATATTTCTAAGTATGGCTGTACCTGAAATTTTGCAAAGACAGAGTTTGGGAAAGGCTGTCATTAAAGAGGAGGATGTATTACGAACGCAGGAATCGCGGAGGGAAATTCAAATATGGATGAGGACGTGGATTCGTGATTTCCGAATAACCTCCGCCGACTGGATTCATTCAACTCATGAGTTGCTGAAGCACATTGACAGGTCCATTCGGACACAGCGAAAGAGTCTTAAGAGAGCAGGCAAACCGGTCCCGACTTCGATCCCATGTGACGAGCCGCCACCATATTCATATATGCCAGCTGCTTTGTATACAGAACTGCCACCATACGAGAACTTGGAAAGGACATCTCTGGTATGGGCTCGTGTTCAAAAACTAAGGCATAGAGACCTCTTGAGGATGGGCTACGGTGAACAGATGAAAAAGTAAAAAGCGAGAAAAGACATCACACCTAATATGATTTTACTCGCTTTCTTGGCTATACTTTTTTTCAACAACGCGTTTCTTACCCAACTGTGAAGAATTCACGCGGAATATGAGATTGACAGCAAACATCACCAACTATCGTTTGTATCTCCTCATAGACCCAACTTCCAGTTCAATAAGCCCGGTATTTTCCCGCTATCAAGTTATACCTGGAAACAGCTTAAGTCTGACAGCATGTAGAATTCGGCTATGGACACATCTAAAAACTGAAAGACAGTCCTCCATTAGCACTAACAATACCTCCAGTGCTCCACCCCGCATCCGGATCACAGAGAATAGCAACTATTCCCGCAATCTCATGATCATACGCCGGTCTCCCACCCAAACGATTCCCCAATTCTTTCACCTCAGCACTATCCGTATCCCTCACCGCAGCCAATGGCGTAACCGGGTTCCACACTGCCAGTCCCTGCTTCACTTCTTCCGCAGACGACAAATACATATCCGTCATGACCGGGCCCGGATTGATCGCATTCACAGTAGCATTCTCAGATAATTCTCGACTCCACACGCGGGTCATGGCCTCCATAGCCGCCTTGGTGCCCGAATAAAGCGTCGTATGAGGCGTGCCAATCTTGGGATTGATGCTGGACATCATGACGATACGACCTGAACGGTCGGTTGGGAGATATGGCTTACATGCTGCTGTGAGCAGTGCGGGACCGAGCACGTTGACAGCGTAGATGTGGTGGAACTCCTTCTCAATCACGGATTCAAGGGGCCCGACATAGAGGACTGCAGCATTGTGGACTAGAATGTCGACTTGCAACTTCTCATCTCTAGAGAAGTTCTTCTTTGCGGCAGTGATGATAGCCTCACAGCCTTCAGTCGTGCTGATATCCGCGCGTACTGTAGCGGTCTTCACCGAATAGGTGGACGTAAGCTCAGTCGCTAGGCTAGAAGCTAGGGCATCGGACGATGTGGTCGCGTAATTGATGAGGATATTGCATCCTTTGCTGGCGAGTTTGCGGGCAATGGCTGCTCCGATACCTAGTCAGATTGTGAGCAAGTATTCCAGCATTATCGAAGGGTTATCCCTGGGAAGCTTACTCCTTGCTGAGCCTGTGACAATGGCGAGTTTTCCCTCGTGGACGCGAGATTGAGTTGCTGCCATGTTCACGTTTCTTTGCTGTTGGACAATACCCACGAGTTACAGAATTGGAAGAGAATCAATGTCAAATTAAAAGGAGCTTGTGGTGCCCGTATTTCATCTGGCTTTACGGGTTATATTTCCGATCGGAGCGCCTTGGGAATTGGCAACTTCCCTCCCTCATACGGTGAGGGTCGGGGTATCAGGGTTCCAAGAAGAGGCCCATACTAAGCTACTTCATCGTACTTCGTCGTCTCAGGAGTAACTATTTTGCCAAGAAGACCAGGGTACGTTTCCTACCTTTCCTGTGCTGTAGAATTCTTGGTAGAATAGTTATGCTTGTGACGAAGTAACTCCGCAGAGGTCACATCTTGTAGATCTTAGGAATCTGGTGAGTATTCGCAACACTTAAAAAACTGCACTTAAGTAGTAATAGTGTATGCATCTCACTGTCAACAAGAGGGTCCAAGCAAAGAGCCACAAGACACCAAGTCTAGCGCGACTACTTTACAACTCCCGAACCCTTGTAGGTGCGTTTCGAACTTTCGAGACCCTGTGGCTACCCTAGTAGCTCACCCCTCGCTACGTCTTTATACCGGATGGTTTCCGGCGGGCAACTTGACTAACGTATGCTTGCTTTTTAAGTACAGTAGTGGACTCAGTGGAGACTATTTAGCGTGGATAGAGGCTTGGCCTTCCTTCATATCACTGGCTCTTTGCCGTAGTATACATCAATAATCCGTAGCTTAGCCAAGGTTCTCAATGGAGATATTTCGTGCAGAGCCGTAAGACGTCCTGTATTTATTTTATGGAGTCTGAGCTTTCTAAGTGGCGTGCAATAAATCAATACTGTACGGAGTAAACTCTATTTCTGCTATGGTAATATAGCCGAATTGAAAATTACGACGCGAGTACTTTAGGGAATTTCATGGGTATGCTGAAGATTCCCCAGGAATTACGCTGGGGAAAAGCGGCTCGGGCGCTCAGTACTGTCTTAGGTGTTGCCATTGTTGATCGCCCGATCGTGCGATCCAGCACCATAGAAAAGGGGCCGAACCGGGCGGCCCCAATTGCCGTCAAGGAGCTGGGACCAGGGAGGGACCAGGGAAGGACCCGCGACTCCGGATCCGCAAATCTTTCCTGACTGAGGCTGACTTGCATTGACGTTAAACCAACAGTGGGGACTGCTTAGCGTCTAAGGAATCAAACCGCTCGTTTATACGAAGTATGATTGGGGTTTTACCCTAGACTTAATCTTAATAAGATATTACGGTACGATTCTATTAGTAAGGTATATCTGATGCTGATAATAATCGTTTAATTATTAAAATGATAATGTATAGCTACTGGAATTAGCATAGCCGAGCCTAGCATATCCACGTTTCAAAAGACAGAATTTTTCGAATAGTATTCCCGAACTTTTAGGGAATTGGCATGGCAGATCACTTATTTAGAATTTCAAGCTATATTCGAGTTATCTAAAAGACAATTGTACTGTACCTTCGTATAGGTATGACAAATTCACTGAAAATAAGTTCATATAATTTAGAGATATTAGATCACTTGAGTAGTGGGCTATATACTGTCCGAAATGATGTCTCTTCCAAGTCTCAAATTCTACATTGAACTACGCTCTTCAAGGTGAAATAAGTCTACCCTATTTGGCCGTGAATCCTCCATCAACAGGCAAACAAATTCCAGTGACATAGGACGCATTGTCCGAAGATAACCAGAGCGAGGCTTGTGCAACCTCATGAGGCAGTCCAAATCTATTCAGGTAGCTCACATTCGGAGCAAACTCTTCCACCGTTGTTCCCATAATTTTCAATGCCGCCGCCGACATGTCACTCTTTCACATGTTAGTTGGCACTTTAGGGTATAGTAATTGAGGAAGTCTTACATAGATAGCTCCAGGAGCAATAGTGTTCACACGGATTCCATGTTGTCCACCTTCCATCGCAGCGTGTTTAGTCAACCCAATGATAGCATGCTTTGCGAGCGTATAGGCTGGCATGTTTGGCTGTGGCTTGAAAGCATTGATAGAAGCAATGTTGATGATAGATGCCTTTGTGCCTTGCTTGATCATCTGCTGCATCTCCCACTTGCAACACAAAGCCGAACCTGTCAAGTTGATATCGATGGTCTTCCTGAAATAACCCTCTTCAAAGTCAACAAGTGGCGAGTTGTCTGGTGACAGAGCAGCATTATTGACTGCCACATCAAGTTTTCCAAACTTGGCTACCGTTTGAGCCACGAGGCTCTGAACTTCTTCTGACTTGGAGATGTCGGCTTTGACGAATAGGATTTCCCCATATTGAGACAATTCGGAGACTGTTTTCTGACCCTCTTCCTCTTTGATGTCGGCTATGACGACTTTGGCACCAGCTCTCAAAAATACTGAGGCAGTGGCTTTGCCCATGCCTTGCGAACCGCCCGTCACGATGGCGACTTTGCCCTTCAGCAAAGGGAAAACTTCCGCCTCGGGTACTTCCATATCTGCGGTCTGATATTGCGGTAAAAAAAATAGTTCGTTGCGTTGCACTCTAAAAGAATTGCTTAAATCAAAGGTCTTGAGCTTGAAAGTGAGAGCGAAGTGATTGGATATCAAGGGGTGTTTATTGTTCCCGGTAAATAATCTAGAGGAACACTAAAGCCAACGGAGTGTTTCGGGATTTGAAGAGGAATATTTTTCGCTCCTGAGTCTCACTTTCCCGGTGGTTGGGTTCAAGCCAGGATCAGATATATTGCAGTATTGATCACACCATACGAAGCAAACGATCTACTCGGTATATGATTTTGAGAGGCTGCAGCGGAAAACAGTTTGTTGGCATTCCTTTCTCCTGTAAATCATGATTGGATGTCAAGGAAGTAATAATCACCAATCGGCGAATAGCTACCAACAGCCACTAATGTGAAAGCCGGGGTATGTGTTGGTACAGGGGTTTAGTAAAGTACACTGGCGGGCAGTCCAGCCTCGTCAGTGCACTGCCGTTGTCTCGCGTACGGAGTACTTCTAGTTTTTCCCCGCCTTCCTACTCTTTTGCTGCTATATTGAAGTAAGCCTGTATTCTTTTAGTAATTGATTTTTAAAGCCAATGCTTTTACCGTCTCAACTATTCATGTCTCTAGTGATCTTCAAAAGGGTTTCATCCTTAACTTAACTGATAAGGGATTCAAAGTTGACTACATAGACCCTGGCCCAAACTCTAAGCGAGTTATTAGCCGTTCAAGCAAGCCAGCAGCTGCCAAAGGAGATCATCATGCAGGATATGCAAGAGAAGCTCAGTGCAGTATAGGCCCCCGAGAAGTGGGTCAATATTCTCAATGCAGCATGCATTATCTACGAACCCAAAACACTGTGGAGAGGCAAAATCATTACTTCTTCGGTCCAGCTCGAAAGTTCTTTTAAGCTAACAGGTTACCATTTCTATCTCAGAAACAACTTCAAAGCTTTTCATAGGTCGTCGCTCTTTCCGCACATTTCTCAAGTCGCAGACTGTTACCAACAATTTACTTTAACTTTCATGAGACCCTCGCCATAAGTTTGCATTTCCCACGTGGCCCCGTGGTATATTTCATCAACAAACACCTGTTTACCACGTTTCTGTGACAGTTCCGCCATGACAGAGGTTTCAGATACGAAGATGCAGCTGCCTAGTGAGAAAGACAAGTCCTCGTTCGAGGCTACTGGGGCCAGCGAGTCTCAGTCTGTAGACATTCCAAGGCACACCAGCTTTGTCAATGTTGTGGTATGTTGCCATGTCATTTTCTCTTACAATAATAGCTTAACTTAATCTTCACAGGTCATTGCCACGGCCTGTCTTGGTGGGTTTCTTTATGGATTCTCAGCAAACACTATCTCGGGCACGCTTGCTCAAACCACATTCATCGCCAAGTTTCTCACGGGATCGAATGCTACTCAGATTACAGATGGACTCTTCGGAGGGTAAGAAACTCATTCCTAACACTGTTGACCCTTGCTGAGTTTGTGTTTAGATTCCTCGGTGGAGCAATGGTCGGATCTCTCGTTCAAGCTCCTGTCGCCAACAAATTCGGACGAAAGATCGCAAATGCGTGCGCTTCCATTATCGTGCTTGTCTCGGCAGCACTTCAAGCCGGCTCTGTTAGTATCGAGATGTTCCTGACTGCTCGAGTTCTTTGTGGAATTGGAGCTGGTATGGTGCTCGCAAACACGCCTGTTTACATGAGCGAGGTATCCCCACCTCACAATCGCGGTCTATTGGTAGGACTTCAAGGAGTTGGCATTGTATCTGCATATATCGTTGCCGCTATTTGTGCCCTAGCGTTCAGCTTTGTGAAGTCTGCTATTCAATGGCGGTTGAACTTCATCGTACTCGCCGTTATAGCATGCATCCACCTTGGCTCGCTCTACTTTTTGCCAGAATCCCCTCGCTGGTTGATGGAAAAAGGTCGCGACGAGGAGGCAAAGAAAGTGCTTGAATACCTCCACAATACCGAGAGTGATCCTGATGCGACTTTCGCCCAAGCTGAAGCTGTTCAGATCAAGGCACAGGTTGAAACTGAGAAGCTCCTTCCAAAGGGCTTTATCTATATCTTCAGCACTCCACATCTCAGAAAAAGAGCGTTTTGCTCCATTCTTCTCTGGATTATGGGCCAAGGAACCGGTATCACCGCCATTGCAAACCTGGTTCCGACTTTCATGGCCGGCCTTGGATTTGGCACTACTCTGCAGTTGGGATTGGGTGTTGTCTGGAGTGTGTGCGCGTTGATTGGCTGTGGCTTCAACGTAGTTCTCCTTGATCGTGTGGGCCGAGTCAAACTTCTAGGCAAGTAACTCAAATTCGCGTACGTGCCGTTCTAACATTATTTAGTGGTCGGTGGCTTTGGCAGCGCTGCGATTCTCAGTGTCATGGCAGCACTTGTCAAGTACTATCTAGGATCGACTAACCAGGCTGGAACCAACGCCCTCGTAGCTTTGTACTTCATATTTGGTGCTTTCTTCACTTCGACTGTCGAGTGTACCTCTTATGTCTACGGCTCTGAAATCTGGCCTACGCATCTCCGAAGTGAAGGATCGACTCTCGCCTATGCCAGTTTCTTTGGAAACGCAATCGCATATAGTGCTCCGGTTTCTGTGGCTCTCAAGAACATTGGATGGGAATTCTATATGATTCTCGTCTCAGTTACCGTTGTTAGCGCAATAGGTATTGCGTTTTACTTCCCAGAGGTATGTGGCCGCTCAATTCTATGTTTTGTTCTTTTGACTGACAGTCTTATTAGACCATGGGCCTGTCATTGGAAGAAATCAATCACAAGTTTGGAGATGCGGTGGAGGTTGAGCTCAAGGACGCCTTTGTTACTGAAACTCACGGAGCGGTTTTGGTAAACAGTGTCGAAAGTTCAAAGCCTGAATAGATTGATATCTATCAGCTGACAGTCTTTCAAGTAATGTGGTGGAAATCAAATAGATGGGTGTAGATAAAAGTAGTGTCATTTGTTTGGACGTGTCTATAAGGGCGGAATAGTATTAAAGAAATTGCCGAAACAGGGTTTTGATTCTGGAAGATAGATAGAATAATTATAACTAGACCTTTGTAAACAAGCTGAACCTGTGAACTCAAAATTGTTGTTTAGTAGATTGCTATTCACATGCCCCTTCGCTGCAAGTTGCAATATGCCCACGGCAATATCTAAGAATGCAGGCTTGCAATCAATCGAATTATGCCATCCTCACAACAAGAGTTGATTGGGTAGAGGCAGATTTGTTATTGGGGGTTCATTGGTTAGCTCTGCGCAAGTGCTTCCGCTAAGATTCCGGGGTTAGAGCGCTGGGTCCTCTAATCATCGACACTGACTCGACTGAGCTGTGTTGATTAGGCTAACAGCGCACGAATCCCTGATGGTAATATTCGTCACGCCTTTCGATCCGTAATTAAACACTCTAAACTAAGTATAGGCAACAATCCTCTGTCCTTAGTCTCAGCATACTAATTATTATCTTTCTATTATTGTTTAATTTAAAAAAGGTTTGGAATCTCTGAACAACTCTTCGCTTGCAATATGTAGGGAGGTTTGGCGATAGTAAGTCGATTAGATTCCCCACGTACTATGGAAGGGGCCTCTAAGCGACCTACTTTACGATCATGCCAAGAATTGGTCCACCAGGTCCGTACTTGTTAGTCATTAACGAGAGGATCTTGAAACCCTTACCTTTGCAATTTAGTCTGATTATCCGGGGGACAATACTCGCATCCCGGGCGACCCACTATTTATATTAGCACCGAACTTCAAAAGTAGAGAATATTCAAAGGATCATACAAAGTACAAAGCCAAGATAGCCAATGAAGTATCGGTGCCTTACAGATATTTACTACGGAGCAAGAAACTAATAGGACGGGAACTCTGCAGGGCAGTAAGTATGGCATAGCAATGATAAGGTACAACTTTCCCAGGGAGTCTCCCTGTCAGAATCTCAATGCAACAACGGATTTTTTTTCAATCGGCAGTTGCCAATGAAACGGCCAACTAGGTACCCGTGAATAGAACCGAGGGGCGAGAATATTCCTAGCGTTCTATGCATACCCATGTACTCGTAGCGTGATCCTTTCCCAGCGCCCCGTCCTCCCCGGCGCGAAACAGTGCAAGAAAGCCTTGAGTCTACCAAATGGAGCAATAGCAAGACAAATGCTCTACATTTCTATTTCCTATTCTTAATCTGGTGGCCGGTAGTATATGCCAAACCAACATTCTGGCATCTCCAATTCCCTGGGATTGCTATTGATTTAATGCATGAAGGAGAGAGTGTTCACTTGTCCTCATACATGTTCGCCTGGGAATTCTCCAGAATGTCACGACCCGTTTCATTAGCACCCTGTCCCTGATTCAAGCTAAAGATTCATAAAGGAGTATAGGTATCAACCTGCTCAGAACTCTGTGTATGCAAAGAGACGTGGCTTTGATCAACAAGTTGAACTCTATGATCATTAGTCAAGAGTACTGCCAGAAAGACTTTCAAACTTCGAGGTTCAATTCTGGTCAAGATGGGGAATAGCAAAATTGGCTATAAGGGGCAGCAACTACTCGCTGTTTTGTGGGTTGAGACCATCGTTGCTTGTGCGATTATCAGCTTGCGATGGTATACTCGAACGTTTGTGGGAGGAAGAGTAGGACCGGATGACTTTATTCTGATGGCTGCTTGGGTAAGAGCTCGAAAGTCTAATTGTCGACTGCTTGGCTGACACTCGAGCACCAGGTCCTGATGTGTGCTTTTGCGTGTCTGATCAGTGCCTCGGTCCATTACGGCATGGGCACCCACGTTGACCAGTTGGATATTGAACAGATTACGCATGGAATTCTAATGTTGCTCATCGGGCAATCCTGCATTGCCCTGGCCATGGGGCTTAGCAAGTGTGCAGTTGCTATATTCTTGATGCGGATAGTAAACAAGACTTGGTAAGAAGCATATTACCACTTCATGGAGTCTAAACTAATATTGGCCAAGGCACAAGGCAGTCCTTTGGTTCTGGATAGTTAGCATCATGTTCCTCAGTATCTTTCTTGCTATTGCAGTTTTTGCACAATGCACACCCACTGAGTCTATTTGGGACCCACGAGTCAAGGCTGCTGAGGGACAAGTCTGTCATATGAACTTGGCTCTTGTTGCAGAAATCATGTGCTGTAAGCTATTGCCTCCTTGGTCGTCGATATTATCCGCGCTCACTGATACTGACGACTTTATCAGCATGGTCTGCTGCGATGGACTTTTTCCTCGCTTTCTATCCGTGGTACGTCTTGTGGAAGGTCAATATCAAGAAGAAGGAAAGAATCACTATTTGCGTCTCTCTAAGCCTTGGGATCTTGTAAGTTTACCTTTGCTACAATATTGCAGGCCCTATAGCATAATACTGACTATTTAGTGCTGGAATCTGTGGTGTCGTTCGTACTACTGGCTTGGACGCTCTGAACAAGACTTCCGATTATCTTTGTAAGTCATCTCTACCCCTTTGATAAAAACCCATTATCTAGCTTGTGCTAATACTTTGCTTCTCAGTTGCTGTTAGCGACTCGGTGATGTGGACCATGTCCGAGTTGACCCTTACGATCATCTGCGTTTCAATTCCCGCCCTCCGACCACTCTACAACCGCGTTACGGGAGGAAGCTCTAGCGGAGGCGGAGGGGCAGGCCCCTACTACCAACAAAGCGACGCCAAAGGCACGGGTACCGGTACCGGTACTTACAAGATGAATACCATTAGGCAGGACTTACCAAAACAATACGACATAGAGATTGGTACTGGCCACAACAAGAATGTGGACAATAATAGCGACGACTTCATCCTTCATAGTTCGGACAAGGCCGAGGGTGTTATTCAACGCCATACTGAGATCACAACTACCTATGATGATGCGTTGAGTGCTGTAAGCACTAAGCAACATGTTTAAACAGAGTGGAGTGGCCTGGGAATATGAGATGTAATAGACTATGTATGATACTAGGGTTACCCATTCGTGCTTTCTTACGGCTACAGGCGGCGTTTTTGTTTTGTTTTACACAAGTACAGCATGTAAAAGACGAGAAATGAAAATCATGTTTCAATATTTTCTTTGCTTCCTAGTCATTCTTTGCAAATATGCCTTATAGATACAATACTATTGGAAATCAAGATCCGCTACTCCTTTTCTTTCAGCTCAGAAACACTACCCAATTAGCCCTGATATTTACTGCACCGATCTGTTTTCTATATCAACGGTTATTGCCACATGAACCCCTGATAGCACATGTTCAAGTGACTAATAGAAGTCAAATCTTCTCCCCGTTAAAACCGTCCCATATGGGTATTTCCATGCGCAGGCAGCGTGTGAAATGAGTTAGTCAACTTGAATTAAGTATTTGCTCCGGACGGTTTGGCACGCGTCGAGGAACCTTAGGCACACAAAAGTCGACACACTTGTTTCTGATACCTTCTTTTGTTCACTTCTTCTGCCTGACCGAATTTCTGGGAATGTAACTCGAAGTGTCTCCGGAGTGAGGAACGTTGCCTCTTCCGAAAGCGATCATAACTCATCGACTGCACATGTTATGATTCCTGGAGAACGCCTATTTGCAGAACCGATATGGCCAGCGCTGAGAGTACGGTGTATGCTATTCTCTCATTCCTCTAGTAGTAATTCGCTGGAAATTCTAGTTAGCACTTTAGTAGAAGTAGTAATTAAGTATTCTACTTCTACTATTATTGAAAAATCTTATATCGCGGGCGTAAACAACCTCTTGAATGACCCAGATTCTCAAGAACCATGGCCGGCAAAGGAAAGCTACTAAAGCACTCCATTCTGTGGCGTGGGGTTGAGGCAGCCCGTTAGAGAGGAAGTTCTCCGGCGACTCCGAACGGTCTCCAAACCCTCCGGCGTAACCTGGAAAATGTACCCAAACGTGCTCTGCCGACTTTGCTCCTATTTTTTATTGTAATTTTTTCCTCATTGGAGCAATTCAATATTCTTTGCGCAACATCTGTCTGTCTGAAAGAGTCTTCTCTCCGGAATGGATCAACGTTTCAAGACATTTATAGAGAAAATGGACTGGTCTTCAACTTTAATAGGACCCTTCAAAGCTTCTAGTTCTCTATATGCAAGCCACGCACTCGAATGGCGTCTCTCCTCTCAAACGAGTTCAGATAGCTCGTGTCTAGTCTTAATAACTTTCTTACTAAGCAAGATCCTTATTATAAGACTTTAGTAACTAGTAGTGCTTTAGAAGAAGGAATTGATTATAGTAGCATTTGTTTAGTTTCTGTATCCCAACCAAACTTATCTACATCTGTTGCCCTCGCGCCCACTGACGGCAACGCGCAAACACCAAAGCGATTCGTCCACAAAGAGCCTACAGAGGTAATACTGCGCGGCTTCACCATCCAACTCGTGCAGCTCCGACAAAAATCTAAAAGGAAAGACAAATTTACTAAGAGGGATCATAACATAGAATAATGAGGTAGATTGTAATTTGCTTCGATTCGAATATTTCAAACCCGCCGACAAACTACCCAGTCGGAGAGTTTTAGTTGGCGATCAATGAAGTGGTTATCGTACTACCAGTACTCGTACTAGACTCTCATATAAGTTACGAAGGGTTCTTCACACGCAGTCTTTTTTTGACGCCTACTCTTTGGCAATTCGCTTCTCCTTGGATACCATTAAGTCCGCTTTGCTCGGCGATGATCGCTATCTAGGTACTTGTTAGCCATCTGCTCTCTATACACGCACGTCAATTACGCCCTTCACTACTTATGTATATATTTATGATGATGGAGACATAACACTGTTACTAGAATAACTCGCGCGCATCATAAGCCTCTGCTCCAGCTTCCTTTCCAACTTGCCTTCTCAATCGCATATCTTGCCTCGCCTCGCCTCACTTCACCCGTGACACAACGCATCGACTATCGGAGAACACAACGTTAAACATCCCACAAGCTTTCTTTTTCTTTTGATGCGCAGTGTGATAGCGGGACGTACCTTGCCTGGACCGCAATGCAAGTGCATCGAGTGCTCCGAATCCCTCACTGCTACAGTCGCAGTCGCAGGGGCAAACACGGAGCCTCAAAAACAACCCCGCATTTCAACGTTGACCAGACGTCTCTTTAACCTCACCTCACGTCAACTCGACCCCATGGAAAAGCTTTTAAAACGCACGGTCCAGGAAAAATATCTTTCTTTACCAATGATTATTTTCCCGAGGCTTGAAGTAGGACAAGGTACTATAGGCAGAAATTGCGACATTCAAGGGCTGTCACCTGTGCTTCCAGTTTCCATTACGTTTAGGTTGGCTAGTTTTTTCCCCCTCCGCTTCTACCCTTCTCTTCTCTTCTCTCCAAAAGCACCACATCGCATGGCTGGAATGATGAATTGGCCGTGTTGACAGTCGCTTGGCTCACCGCCTGGATCATGTATTGCTTGCTTGCTTGCGGAAAAGATGGTGTGAGGCAATATGTAAGGGATTCCCAGACTGGGAGGTTGACGTTGCACTAATCAGGTTGCACTAGGAGGCAGGAGGCACAAGAAAGTAGGGTAGGTTGTAGGTACCGCATGCTGCCACATCATAGTGTGAGATTTAGTTACTGTATGGAAAATCCAGGGCTGCTAGTGAGACTTGGCTTTGTGGAGGGGAGAGAAAAAAGAGTCTTGCGTTTGCAATGCACTGTGCAATCCTGCCTTTGTTTATCAAGTGTGACATGCCCGCATTCCTGAGATTCTACACAAACGTCATACTTGGGGCTTCTTTGTGAGACCCATTCAATTTCTCTTTCATTCAACCCAATTCAATTCACAGTAGTCGCTTCAAGTCGAAAACTCCCCCCTCTCCCCCGCAACGCACAAACAACTCAACAATAATCCCAGCACAATCGCAAAGCGCAAAGCGAGAATAAAAAGCCAGCAAAAATGGCAGCAATACCATCAAGCGTCAAGGAGACTGAACGTCGCTCTTCATCCTCCCACCGCCGCGCAAATATGTCCCATGGACGGGGTGGAGCTGGTGAGTGGCCCTTCCCCGCATTCCCCAACATCGGCTACAAATGAACGTATCACTCACATAAGCAAAGGCAACATCGGCAACGCCGACTCGGACCTCGACCCCGTAACGCTCGAGACCCCGACCATCAAGAGCCAGATCTACACCACGGGCCGCGGCGGCAGCGGGAACATGGCCAAGAATGATAATCCGGAGGAGGCGAGACGTGCGCAGGATGTTGTTGGGTATGCCTAGCTCATTCCATTCCGCTATCACTAAGTGCTTGTCACGTTTATACATATATGGGGGCGCCATATACCATATCGGCATCTAGTCTATGTGAAAGCAAGAGGCTGATATAATCTTACAAACAGACACCCGCGCCGAGAATCCACCTCGTCCACACACGTCGGCCGCGGCGGAGCAGCCAACATCTTCAAGCCGTCCGCCGAGGAAATCGCCAAGGCGAAGACCGATAATGCGAAATGGGAGAGTGCACTGGAGGACGAGGAGAAGGATGGCAGCGCCCCGAAGGGGTTGGCGGATCGGGGCAAGGAGTGGTTGATGGGGAAGAAGAAGTGAAGTGAAGTGATGGATTTACACTACACTTGCGGACTGCGAGCTTGGGGCGATGGATGAGCTACGGCATGCAGGGGTGAAGCGGGGTGGGGTACTTGGGAGGCTCATATGATATCCGGCGTTTTTCTTTCGGTGGGTTTGCCTTTGGTTCCCTTTTCCTTTGGGTATGAGATTACGGAATGGGGACTCCTACGTTGATGACAGAAGCAGAAGCAGAAACAGGTATGGCTACGTAGCTAGTCCATGAATACCAGAAAATTCACCTCTCAAATCCGTCTACTTTTAAAACAGCTGCCAGTGCTTCAGTATTCTTGTCCAGGCCCCGAGGATGCAGAAACTCGACATCCAAGATCCAGGATGCAGTATTGCCGACTCAGAGTCAGGGATCATGTTCTACAGGCGATGATATCCTACAATATTCCAGGAACACGCTCCATGCCATGCCATGGTCCCGCAAACCGCAAAATGAAGCTATTTATCGCTTCCCGTTTCAAAAGAGCCTATCTATATACCATTACTTGCCAGCCACCTGCGAGATCTATCTCTTATCATGTAGCGAATTCCCCCTTTCCTTAACACCGTTACATTTCTAGAAGATTGTACCCGCATCACGTGACTGGTCTCGATTGAATCACTGAAACGCGTGGTCTTCTCCTAGGACTGCTCTCCCTACGACGTACCCTATGATCTATCTTTGTTTGTTTGTGTATGCGAATGAATAAATACGATAGGAGTGTGAGGTCAAGCGATCTTATAATCTATTTCTAAGAAATAAATGAAGTCATGGATATTTCATCATAAGTTTTAAATAGGACTGGCACCTCCCCGTTGGCTATCCATCTAGTTGAACACTACGGGCACTATCATTCGCACAGTACTTATTTTTCTCTCTGAATAATCCCAAATCCTTTCTCCATCCCCAATAAAATCCAAATCCAAATCCCCCAAAATCTACACGAAGAACTTGTTTGCGAACCTCCGCATTCCCCGTCCGATATACATCCACCAGCCTGCAATTTTTACCATGTCGAATTTCTTCAACATGTCTTCGAACGAGGACCAGTGGGACGCCTCACCGCTTACCGTGCTCTGCGTCGTCCTCGTGACGGTCACGGTCATGGGGCTCCTGTGTCTCTATCTGCTGTACCTAGCTGGATGGTGTCCCTTCGAATGCCCACAGACACAGACGGAAGCCGGAGAGCCGCCTATAGCTATATAGCGGTTGCGGTTGTGGTTAGGCTATATCGATGGGACGTGTTGTATACCGATTTCGTCCTGGGACTGCCGCCGCGTGAGTATACATCTGGGTTTTGGGGTTGAAGTGAAATGAAGTGGAGGGAGGTGATGCATGGTGTGCACTGTGCCAGCGAAGTGGGGAGAAGGTAGGAGGGGTGCCGAGTTCCAATGAGGGGAGATGTGATGTGCTGATATTCTGGCGCTGGATAGGTGCTTGGGGATAGATGTTTTGTCGATGGATCTGGACTGGGGGGTATTTGGAGACATTTTAGGGTCGAGGAGCTTCAGAGGAAGCTGCTGTACTTGACAAGAAAGCAGGATGGGGATGAGATATATCTGGGCTGTATGTATGCAGTGGATAGGTACGAGCGGGATTACTCGAACGGGGTAGGGGAAGGCTGTCTAGCGAGGTGAACTTTCAACTAAAGGCTGGACTTCTAGTCACTCGGTGAAGAGAGGGCTGGTCCGCATACTGTGGCAATGTGACGCGGGCCGGGCTGGAAACGAATAGGAAAACTAGTAGCACCTCAAGACAAGCTAATCTTTGACTCGAGATATAGCATGAATAACCAACATCCTCACTTGTCAAAATTGAAATAGAGATGTAGCGCGCTCAAGATCCTTTGAGCGTAAAGACCTGCGTCTTGTTATTTGACTTTCCGTATATGTCATGCATGGTTTCTTTCTTTTGCATACCGCTGGCGCGAATTACCTTAATTATACAAGTATAATGCATCCGAGAAAGCGGCCTTCTATCTAAAGTAGTCTTGTTGAGGATGGCTGGAAATTTGTACTCATATCGCCGCGTCACGTCGTCGTTGTTACAGCCACGCGTGCGTACTCTCTCCTCTCTGATAACCTTGAGGATTTTTGAGGAAGAGAAATCAATCTAAATCGAGACATTGGTTTGCTTAGCCTTTGAGATGTGTTTGAGATGTGTTCTAGAAGCGCCAATGGTATTCAAGTGAAAAGTGGCTTTCCGGTCTTGATCCAGCGTCGATAGCAATCCCCATATGGCCAGCGAATAACGTTCCCTACCGGTCGTCCACTCCTCTTTAATGTCTCGTTCAGCTTGAGACATTGAAGCTGTTGGAATTCCTCGAGCGAGTCTTCCCGCTAGTTCCTGCGCCTGAAGGATTCGCGGTGGCGGTGGCCGTGGCTAAAGGGAGGTATATGAGGTTGGGTTCAAGTGACTAGCTGTTGGTCTTTTCCGCATTTGCGCTTCGTCGAGACCACTTGCATCAAGAAAGATCAAGGAACAGAGCTTGCTACAGACGCGGCTGTGCGTGTAGGGCTGCTGTTGGGCTTCAGTTGACCTACTCTAAAAATGGAGTTTGGAACCATTGGCACTCCCGCTCTGGAAGTCAAGAGCACTAGGACGAGCAATCCCGGTTATGTCGGGTTAGTCTCCAAAGCGCAGTCGTATGGGGCTGTAGTTGTGTCTTAGGTTCTGATACGGAGCGTTGGAACTTGCTGCTTGACCGATTATTGGTGTACTGTGCTGTGCGTCTGGTTACACACGCGGAGCAAGAACGCTGGGTGTTGGGTGGGTTGGTACTCCGAAGGCCTACGTGGACACGGCCTTCAGTGTGGCGTCCATCCCGCAACCCGACAGCTTGGATCGGAGTCCCGAGCTGGAAGTTTGGGGTCGGCACTCATGGTGCTGGGATGTTTGTATCCCCAGAAGATGTATTTCTCCGATGGTACTGTTGGCTGTGTTTTATATGACATGATAGACCCCAAGTTTCTCCCGAGAAAGCTCCAAGCCAGTGGAAAGAGCTTCCTTTTGGAGGTGTACCTCCGCACGCAGCTTGGTGCCAAGATGGTTCAATAGTGGCAGTTCTAGTCCTGTGTAACATTGGCAGGTATCTGGCCAGGTCTTCGCCAAAACAAAGCCTGAAATAGGATTCATAGTTTTCACCCGCATTGGGTTCTATCTATTGTTAGACTCATGAGCGATGGAAGCCCAGTTCCTTGGTTTTATATTTTTCAAGACAATTGATACGAGTAAGCTGTCGATCTTGAGCATCTTCGGCTGGTTTACTTGTAACGCTCGACAGCTGAAGCGATATCGGCGTTGCCCCTCAGCGACATCAGGTGTGCTGCAGGTATGACGGCAGCCGGTGGGACGTCCCTCGTTATGCAATCCACATCTCTGGGAATGTAAAGGGGGTGCGGGGTTGGCTGTACTTTATCTAAAGCCGCCCAATCTTTTAGCTTCGCTGTCTGCGTCAAGCTCTCAACTTATCATCAATATTGCAGGGAGGGTGAAGAAAGGCCCTCGTCGCCAGGAAGTAACCCTACATGCTCAATGAAAAAATAAGGAGGAAAGCAAATGAGGACAAAGTAAAAGTAAAATCAAGTACGGTTACAAGACTGTGGTATGGCAGCATCTTTTGATACGGAGTATATATTCGCATCGGTTGTCCGAAACAAGCGTTAACAGGTGCACATATATAAAATACGACTTGCCACTTCGAGACCCAGCCCCGAGCCACTGGGCATCCGGATGACGGCCTGTCACCTCCGGGTCTGTATTCCCGCGGTACAGCTACAGCGTACCGGAGTCGATGTGAGATTGGACAGTTGACACTATAGAGTACCTCGTACTGGTAGGATGCAAACTACCTGCTTTTCCCATGCATTGGAGCCTTTCCGAGCTGGGGTTGACGTGCAGGAGGTGGAACTGCCATTACGCCGGCGCGCCTCCAGGATCCCGATTTAATTCTCCTCACCCCGTAGGCTTTACAACTGCTCATGTTCAAGCATATCGTTTTTGCAAGACAAGTCTCAGGTACTCTTTCTGTACCAATACAGGCGGGATGATGATCAGACAAGGAAGCTCCTCTGATTGTATCCATCCGAGATTGAGGGCGGGGGCGGGAAGACCAAACGCTGGGAAGCAGCGAGTAGTGTCGCATATTAAGAAAAGGAAAGAGAAAATAGTTTGGTGCATGATATTTGCAGCCGGAGAGATTCCGAGAAGGTTATAGCACGACGGAAATATAATAGCAAGGGAATTATATCCGATAGCAACTTTTGAAAGCCAGCTATGTTCCTTCGTACTTCCCATAGTGATCGGGTTCGACGACCCGTCAGTGGAATGGCAGCGGCAGGAAGCAACCCCATACAGTAGTTCTGGACAGTGACAGTGGTAGTGGTATCCCCTCCCCCCACAGGCATCCGCGGGTTGCTTAATACAGTACAGTGAGGCCACACACGTTTTGGAATTGGAGCTTGGCCGCCGTAAAGGTAAGGGCCACAACGCCCCACCTGCCCCGATCGTATATCTTACTCTGTCCGTGTAGGTATTTGTCCCTCTCAGTGTCTCTACGTAGAATTTCACTGCAGCATATATGTCTAGGAATCCAATCCTTCTGCCGTTCGCCACCAACAAAAACAGTTCCACGAAACCGATGGCGCCCAAGACAGGTACAGGCAGGCCATCCATTATTAGCTACCAACAGCTACTTCGTACCTAAGTTTAGTCAACGTAAGCTATTATGGGCGTCATGGCAATACCAATACGGATATAGCGATTTAACGATTCCAATCGGACGTTCTGGTGGGGTATTGCAGCTATCTTTTCCCTTTATGTCCAGCTACTGCACGCACAAAGGCTGCAATCATTCCGCTGCAGAGTCGTGAACCCAAGAGACTGAACTCTCCTGACTCAAACAACCAATCATCCGATACCAATCGAGTAGGTATACACAACAGATCCCCTATCTCGAAAGTCTAACGGCCTTGCAGCGACAGCGGTGTGCGTGATGCATGCATTTCCTGCGTCCATTTTCCCTTCTCCCGCGCGGGTATTCATAGCTTTTCCAAGCTTACGGAACAAGCACCTACCGACTGCGTGTCCACGGTACGAGTACAGGCGTCAGATACAAATATATCAAGACTCACTCACATGCTAGCTGCAGGAGTAGGGGGGTAAAGCTTCGTTTGTCTTTTACTTACTTGTACTTCATTTATACTGTATGCCTAGGGACTTTTCAATATTGCTGGAACGCTGGTGCACAGGACAGGGCGAGAAGCTAGGACCGAGAACCCCTCTCAACCTCTTTTTTAAGGTGCCGGGAGATCGTCATTGCTATCCCCCCCACAAGCCCGGGCTAAGCTACCGAGTGAGGCAATAACCCCCCCCCTAACGCCTAAGCCCCGAAGGCTACTAAGTTCTAAACACGCCCCCCCCCCCACAGCCAGCTACCAGTACGAGGTACTCCCTACAGTGCTGACAGCCTGACATCCAATTATCACGCCCGTCAAGCAGCCAAGTTCCCTGCCCGGTGAACTCGCTGGGCCCTGCCATTCTAGTAGCGCTCCTCACAAGCTTCAGTACTTATTTTATCGAATCGCCCGTCCACCTGTCAAACCTCGAACTTTATCTCACTGCCGATCCCCACTACGTTTATCTTATTAACCTTGCAAGGCTCCAAAGCACACCAAAACCACCAACAACGTCAAACGTCGCACAAGACATTGGGAAGTCGCGGTGCGAAGTATACATTATCTTCTCCAGATTGCGATTCGGCGCTCCCTCGCGACTACTTGACCGAAACTCTAAAGTCTGCGGACTAGCGGCGAGAAAGGAAGCTCGACTGAGGTCTGGTGCTAGTCTCGACGCAAGCTCGTTGGCAGCTTTCTCTCGACTCTCGAGCTCCAAACTCAGTTGACCGCGCTGCGTCTGCGTCTATACCTTCAGCTTCACGAGTCAAGATGAACACGCCGTATGCTCAAGTCACGATGAGCACCGGATATCCTCCACAAGCATCCCCTCCCCACGACATGCATCGCGGGTCGATATCGAACATCCCAGACGCCGCCTACCGTCCTGCGGCGGGCGGCCCTCAGTATCCTATTTCGCAGCACAGTATGCCAGTCCCCCAGCAATCGCAGATCAGCCAGCCCTACGGTGATCCATACAACCCGCTGGCAGTTACAAGAGCGGCTATCCCCGAGAAGATTCACGCAGAGACAGCCCTTGCACCATTACAACCTGGCACGCAACCTGCCTTGATAGATCCATTGCCTAGGTCTTGCGTTGATAATGGATGGAAATACGAGTGAGTTTTTCTTCAAGGGACATAATTCGCTCTTCCTACAGCCTGAAAACCTGCTCATGCGGCTATAGACTCAAGGTAGTACAACAGCCCCAGCGCGCTCGAATGTGCGGTTTTGGAGACAAGGTTAGTGGATGAATATATATATATTGTCTTGTCTTTCCCTGGAATTTGGACTCAGCTCACAATATTACAGGATCGACGTCCTATTACTCCTCCCCCATGTGTTCGACTGATCATATCAGATGTAATCACAGGCAAGGAGATTGACGTGAAGTAAGTCTCGTTGAACCTACAAATCTCGGATTATTGACTTTTCTTGCAGTGACATTGATCATGGCATGTTCGTCTTGAATGTGGATCTTTGGGATCATGCTGGCAACAAAGAGGTGAACCTCGTCCGCCATTCACAGACTTCCCCGTCTATCGCCTTAGGGACACCGGCTTCTTATGCACAAGTAGCACATGAAACTAGTGCACCAGCCTATTGTAGCAACCTACCTGTCCATGGCGGCGCACCGGTCAAATTTGAACATGGTCAAGGACCTTCGTATCAAACCCAAGCTTACAATCCATTCCCTGGGCCCCCACAAGTAACTCCTTACGCACAACCGTCACAAGGCCCTCCCCCTGCATATAATACACAACAACAGTATCATCCTGGCTATCCCCCACCTACCAATGGTCCACCTCCATATCAATCGCAAAACGGTCATGGCCAACCGCAAATGTACTATCAAGGGCCTCCAATCCAAGCAGGCATGGATTATCCCATCGCATCTCAGCCATTACCTTCACAATCATATGGAGGTCGACAATATGCACCTGCTGATATGAATTTGCAACGGATGCCTGTGAACACTACTCCACCGGGAGGCATGTTCACGCGGAATTTGATTGGCAGTTTAGCGGCAAGCGCATTTCGTTTGACGGATCCCGATGATCGGATTGGTATTTGGTTCGTTTTGCAAGACTTGTCTGTCAGGACCGAGGGCACTTTCCGGTATAGCAAATCCAGTCATGTTTTTCAGACGCCTTTTACTGACCTGTTTGCAGTTTACGTTTCTCCTTTGTCAATGTTGGCGTGCCTAGCAGCTCGCCTACATCCGCAACATCTGGAGGCCAGCCAGTTAACGGTCAATCCATGACAATCAACACCGGAAGAGCTCCAGTCCTCGCAGCCTGCTTCTCTGAGTGTTTCACCGTATATTCTGCTAAACGCTTTCCGGGTGTTGTTGAGAGCACGAACCTCAGTAAGTGTTTCGCAACTCAGGGCATCAAGATTCCAATTCGGAAAGACGGACAAGGCCCCGGAAGGGCAAGAGAGGATAAGGAATACGACGAAGATTAGAAGCCTCTATTATCCACCGCTTTTGATCTCTCGTCTCGGCCCTCTACCCCTCCTAAACTTTCAACCCTGGACACTTAGCGCCAGAAGTTCCTCCCTTGCCAGTCTCGCGCTCTTGGGTCAATAGAAGGCTTTGGCCAATCAGTGATCAGTTTCGGCCGCCATGATTCTGTCGCGCGTCTATTTTTATGGGTTTATTTGTACTTGATGACGAGAATCTTGCATTTGAAAGACGGGGTCTCGGCGTTTAGAAGGCGTTTTGCATAGGAGAGGGATACTATTTGTAGCATGGAAGGAAACTGGGAGGGTGAATTGCGGCGGTCCGTAAAGATGTGGCGTTAAGGGTTCTACATAGCTTGGTTCATCATCATCAGAGAATAAATTTACTTTTAGATCTGTATTCACATCAAGTCTAGTCTGGTTCCATGTATAACCGGTGGAAGTTCCAGAATAATCAATACTCGTCTGTCTACTTGTACAAAACAAAACCGGGTATTTGGTTCAATATCAGATCCCTTCTTGTCGCCACATTTCAAACTCCTGATCCCGCTAGCCTATGCACTCGGATGTATCAATCATACAAAAACCCGCCGCCAACACTTCCAAAAACACAAAACCGAGGGCCATTCCTCACTCATCGTCCTCTTTCCCACTCCCGTAATCCCCCAGAAGCACATCATCCTGACCCGGGGCTCCCAGGCCACCACTGCCCATGCCCGTATTCCGCACCCACTCCGTTTCGACGCGGAAGAAGATCCACATCCACCGCCTGCCGACCTCCAGGAACTCCATGAGGAAGATGCCGCTCTCGAAATCGGCAAAGTGGTCTAGGTGCGGGCTTAGCTTCAAGCTCCACGTGCAGCGCAGCAGGAGGTCCGTGACGATGACGGCGTAGTAGAGCTGCGTGCTGGGGAAGTACAGGCGTGCGCGCAGGCCGAAGGGGTGCGAGGCGCTGGCGCGGTGCGCGGAGAAGAGCGTCAGGTCCCAGTCTTTCGCTACGTCCCAGTAGAAGCTGTAGAAGCTGTTCACGACCACGGCGAGGACCCAGAAGCGATATACGGCTGTTTCTGTCAGGCCGATGTTCTCGTGATTGACGCTTAGATGTCTCTGCAGCGCCGAGAGGATGATCACGGGAAAGGCACTGAAATACTTCAACGCGTTGGCCAGATGCTGTCCGCCCCATCCTCCTGCGCCTTGGCCCCCACTCCGCGCATTGCTGGCGCGCACACGCAGGTACTCGATCATGCATTGCCGGAATCGGATGAGTGACGGGATGGCGATGACGATCGGCACGATGTATTGGCCGCCGCAGCCGCGGTCTGGACGTTTGGTCGCGGAGCCGTTGGAGGAGAAGAACATGCAGAGCGCGACGAAGAGATCTGCGATTACTTTCGCGTACGATGTGAGCACATCTGCCAGTAGGATGTCGCCGAATTTCCCTTCGTGCGCGAGTGCGATTCCGCCTATGCTGACGCGGCGCAGGGTGGTGAGGAAGCGCTTTCGCCCGCTGGAGGAGAAGCGGCGCAGGGGGAGGAGGAAGATGGCGGGGATGAGGCAGAGGTAGGATATTGGGAGGAAGTCGTAGTAGATTACTAGGGTTGGGTTGCGGTGCGAGAGGGCCCAGAAGAGGAGCAGCGAGATGGCGAGGGGGATGCTGAGGAGGGTAGCTAGGCGGTAGGTTGAGAGGTGGTGTGGGGTGTCTGTTCGTGGGGAGGGTCGCGCTGGGTATTGCAGGAGGGAGGGGACGTCCTGGGTGAGGTGTTAGATGCTTTGCGCCTGAGGGGGGAAAGGGGGGAGACGCACGATTTTAACGAGCGAGAGATAATGGAGATTTGCGCCCCATGCCCAAACTCCTATTTCCTGTTAGCAGACATACGCAGAAAGAAGAGGAGGAGAGATATACCTAATACTATAATCAACGCAACCCTATAAGGTAGCGGAAGCGTAAGACTGAAAGAGTCCAATTCTGGCTCTACAGCCGGGTCACCGTCCATTGTTACCGTAGGAAGCAACGCCGCATCGAGGGGGCGAATTAATCAAGGAGTGACTGTGGTGAGGTGAAAGAAATAATATGTTGAGTTTTGCTGGTTGTGAGGTGTAGTACATTCCGTTAAGATTCCAGAGGGATACGTAGGTGTTTCGTCAGAAATATATTTGGCTGTCAAGCCACACTTCACTTCGTCAGCCACACTTCTTAGCGCAAGGCTGGAAGGAAATGCCGAGGTCGACCGCTGACAACGACATATACATTATTTCAACAACTCGCTTGAAAGCTGTGTCTTGGTGGGAGGAAAAGCTTCAAACATGGGAGATCTAATATCGGAAAAAGCGGCGGAAGCTCCATCGTACAACTATCCATTCGCAGCAGCGCCCGATATCATCCGCTCCCACCAGAAAGATGCATACTTCGAAGGGGTCTTGCTTAATCACCTGTCGAATCTCCTAAGACGCCTCTATGGAGCACGATTCCTCCACACATATACCTCGGAAGCGCGAACATTTTCCGAGCTCCTATATCTAGGCTTAACGACGCTTATAGGGAACAGGACGTTGGGGGAGGAGTATTGCGATATAATACAAGTCGAAGATGATACGCTCAAGTTGCCTGCTATATCAAGACGCGCAGGGTATATTGTAACCTCAATACTGCTTCCGTACTCTCTAAATCGAGTCCTCCCATCATTCCGTTCACGAATCCGAACGAAACTCGAAAGCAACCTGCGGAGATTATCCCGCCATAAACAACAAAGCTCAACTTCCTTCAGAATCCAATCATACCTTCTAAACCACCTTTCAACCATCACTTCACCCTCGCCAATCCACGCCCTAACACTCACCGTATTCTACTTCACAGGCTCCTATTATCAGCTCTCGAAGCGGATCTGGGGTCTACGCTATATCTTCACCAAGCGAATCGCGCCGTCAGAGGCAAGAGTTGGATATGAAGTGCTAGGGGTGTTGTTGGTATTACAAATCACAGTCCAAACTTGGCTTCATCTACACTCCACCCTCAACACCCCCGCACCGGCAAACCCTCAAGCCATGATAGGAGGAACAGCCGTGGTGTCCGGCGGCGTCGAGATAAACCTAGACTTAAACAGCAATAACGAACTACTGTTCGAATCATCTTTCGCCTCGCCACTGCACCCTAGCGCCGACGTGGGAAAAGTGACACACACAACCGTGTTGAATAACCCGAGATATGATTTAAGAGATGATGGCGTCATGAAGTGGGTCAAAGGAAAGCAGCAACGGAAATGTACGTTGTGTTTGGAGGAGTTGAAGGATCCGAGTGTGGTGGGGTGTGGGCATGTCTTTTGCTGGGCTTGTATTGGGGACTGGGTTAGGGAGAAGCCGGAGTGTCCGCTTTGTAGGAGAGGGGTTCTGGGGCAGCATATTTTGCCGTTGAGGGTTTGATTTGTGGGACTCTCTTATTTGTTCGGTGGAGTCTTTGGGTTGGAATGCCTTTATGTAGGTTGGTGACCAATGAAATTATGATTCGCTATTATATATGAGAAGTTTCTCTGGCTCTGTTGCGCATTTTGTGAGTACCGGCATATTGTCGGGACAATATGGAACTTTGTAGTCATGTGACTTAGCGCAAGGGGCGTAAGCGAAGAGGCCTAACCTAACCTCAACCTCGTCCTTCATCAACAATGCAACAACCGCAGAACCAGTATCAAGTCTTACTAGCTAGTAAGAAGTGATCACCCCTGTGATACCTCAACACATATTCTATCATGGATGGCAAGTAGCTTCTCACAAGAACGCATGTATTGCCGACGAGATATTGTCAACAAGGTGTTGATGGTACAGTCTGGCTAGTCTGATCCTCTTTGACCTCTCATTGCAAAGTTTTCCGGTTTCCGAAAACAGTTTTTCATATATATTTAAGTTCGGGCAAAGTCTCGCCACTAATTTATTATGTGCCAAGTGGCGTGGGACGTTACACGTCGAGAAGAGCATGTGCCGCTTTTTGTGTCTAGCCCAAGGAAGTATCATACTAGGCAAGGCCGTAAAATATTATATGAGTTAAACTTGAGTTGGAATAGGACCTGGCAAGCTTACTCGTCAGAGACCTTTTGTTCTGGGAACTGCACATGCAATCATTCTTAGACGATATCTTATTCTGACATTGTCCTATCTCAGCCGCCTAAACCTTCCGAGAGAATTGTTTCTCCAGCTGTCCATTTCAATTCTGCATTCCACTCATTCAAATCTCCAATATCTAGGACCAAATATCAGTTTCGTTCATAGTGGTTAGAAACAAGGACGTACTTGAGAAGGTTGTCTCTATGTGCTCCATTGAGAAGCGACGCTCATTTCAGCGAACTAGATGTTCATGGAAAGTGTTGCTCCTATCCTTTTGCTTCTTTACAAGTCTGCGTGTGCTAAATCATCTCCTAAACCTTCACCCGCACTGTTATTGTGGTCCTCTTCATCTGTTAACCCAGAAGTCGCCGTCCCTTCCGATGAACTGGCGTTTTCTGTCCTCTCTTCCATCTTTTCAAGAAATCTAGCATACTCCTTCGCGCACTTGATAGTCTCTGGACGCTCTGCCCCCAGCGTGTTCCGGAAACCGCACTTGCACGTTGATACAGAGCATCCGCCCTGGTATATTCCTTCCGTCGTACTTCGAAAATTGCCAAACTCCAGACTATGCTTAAGGTGGTATAATCTTCGCGACCGAGCACTCTTTCCGACCTCTCAAGCGCTCGGAGCAACATCTCCTCCGCGGCTGCATCCTTTCCCTGGTCCCCAAGTATACGTCCGAGGTCGCTGAGTACGCCAAGAGTTTCGGGATCTTCCTTACCGAGCTTCCTTTCCATTCCAACTAATGCACGGCGCGTCATCGATTCTGTGTCATGCAGTCTGGCTTGGCGGAAAAGTATTCCTCTAAGTGTTTTTATAGCCTCAGGCCCTGGCAGCTTTTCGTAGCCTTCTAGTACCTGACGAGCAATTGGCTCTGCTTCCTCGAACTTATTTTGGCACTCGAGAATTTCAGCTAGAATTTGCAGATAAATAAGCGTATCTCGATGTGTTAGACCAAAACGCTCTTCACGCTTTACCAACGCACGGCGAAACATGTTTTCGGCGGCCTCGTAGTTTCCGGCATCACGAATCGGATTTGCTAAATTGTGAATAGTAAGAAGGGTTTCTGGGTGATCTGGACTGAGGGTTCTTTCCTGACTCTCCGCTAGTTCCAAACTACCCAGTTCAGAATAAGTGCTTGCAAGGTTGTTCATATAGAGTAACGTTTCGGAGTTCTCGGGTCCGAGGTCGCGTAACACCACGTGATGAGGGCCTGGGCTTGACGGGAAAGAGGCGTCGATCTTCCCTAAGGTGTCTTCTCGACCCACGAAATTACGGATCTGGCGATTGGGAACATGGTAGAAAGGATGCCGAGGGTCAAGTACATCGATGTCTTCTTTTTTCTCTAGCCTTGTGTCTAATCTGGACGTTACTGCCGCAAGACTTTCATAGACTATACACGATCAGGAACTCGATATTGTATTGATACGATAGCCAAGGATTACTGACCACTAGAAAGAACATCTCCAATCTTCTTCTCAGCTTCGATCTTATTCGGAGCAATCCGTTTTAGGAGATCCTTTGTATATGCCGCCGCCACCATCGCTGCATAGCCTTGCCACTCCTCATTCTTGTGTGTGTCTCCATAGTCGCATATACCCTGGATGACTAGGCATGGAAAGTGGTTCATCAACCCTGCCGCTTCCATTTCGAAACACAAAACATCCTTCTCCTTTGCCAGTATATCCCGAACCGAAGCGTCCTGCATCGACTGGCTTGCCGAAGCGATCAAGCCGTAATGAATTGTCGGATCATCTTCCTCTTCGGTCCGATCGGGTCGTAACACCAAACGCGATGGATCATCTCCGCAGGACTTAGCACAACTTTCTTCGCTGTTATGTGTTACGTCGCTTCGATATAATATATCGTTACTTCGGTCAGGTTGCTGGTATGTCTTCCGCAGTCTAGGCTTCTTCTCGAAAACCTCACTGATTGCTTCTTTCAGCTGGTGCCCGTCGCTCTTATACTGAATGTCGAGTCCATTCGTCGCCGCCCGCAGGACCGAAGGTGGCTGATTCAAAAACCCCGTATGTTGAAAGCTCCGGTCTTGTATTGTCTTCCCAAAATCGTACTGTAATACGCCACCCTTTCCATTCAGAGGAGCGCTGACCACGACATCGCCTAGACGGATATCGTTCTTTTGACTGGGTGCACCGCTGCCGACGCCGACCATCAGACCTATTCTGATATTGGGAAAGCTGCTTAACATATGGCTTGCGACGGTTGATGCAGAAGATATGCCGCATTCCCCGCCAGGCAAGACTGCCATGACAACATTGTGTCTTCCAACTCTGCCTAGTGTGTAGTCGTTGCTATCATGCATTGACAGACAGTCAGCCCCGTCGTGCTTCTCGTCGAGAAAAGCTTGTGCGGCTGCATATTCCGTACTGATTGCAGAAATCCAGCCGACAGTATAGTCATTGGGATTTGACATACTCACTGGTGGGCAGTCTCCAAGGCAGATTGAATGCGTGTGCTTCAGCGACGGAATCCAATACTTGGGTCAGTCCTTTCACTTTTGTTCGTGAGAGGATATGGTAGGGCGAAAGTATACTCGGGTGAGGTTGTCGTCTCGATCGCGTAAGAGCTGTCAGGGATGGGAGCAAGTGCAATGTAGCACGCTGATATCTCAGCTCACGTACAAATGGAAAACGGGAAATGGCGACCGAAAACAAGGTCGGGGCAGCTATAAGTCATCGAGATTCAGCCTCACGAGGCTGGGCGTCTACAGTACCTAGGTATGTTGTCTTATATGCATGAGAGGTTTCGGATGAAACCTAACACCGCTGATCAGGCAGAACTGGGTTCGTGCATTGGCTGTATCAACCTTGCGTACTGGGTTATGAACCAATTGATCCTGGTACATTTAATATGGTTGGGGATGGGTGTGAGCTTTTAGGCTCAATAGCTTTTAAGCATACCATCTTAGGCAGCACCCTCAGTGATTTTATGAGGCTGTGGTTTTATATCACTAGCATTACATACTTCTGAGGCTGGGAATGAACTTTAAACATAAAGGGTCTGGTATTTTAAGTACTGTTGGTATTTATACGACATGGTAGGATACTCTAAATGGTATCTGTGAAATTTACCTGTGCCTTATTCGTGAGTGTATAGCTCTGAGGCTGCGACGCCCTGTCACCTTGGCTGGGCTCTTTCAGTCTCAGCTGCGTTGATAAAGCTTGGGTGTGGCGGAGTGCATTTAGACCCACTCGGCCTTGCGCACCGCACCTGCCCCTGCATACGGAGGTACGGCGGTTAAGTACGGAGGTACAGCGGTTAAGTATTGTTACAATTCTAAATTAGTGCTTTCACCCCTCGATTCGTAATTGGGAACTTATGGTAATTACGGCCCCTGTAAGTATTGCCTTTAGAGGCTTAGAGCTTACACTAAGGCTCTATAAGCACTACCCTAAGAGGCTTAAAGTGCGCTCTAAAACCCCTGTTATTTTCGAATTGTAACAATACTTAAGCGCTGTACTTCCGTAGTTAAGCGCTGTACCTCCGTATGTATATTAATAGAAAATCGTTCTCTGACGACCTTCATTATGATATTTTGCTATCTGAGAGAAACAAAAATTTATGCATTAAAGTAAGATCATACAGAAAGAAGATTAAATCAGCGCGCCATCCTCTGTGAAATGTCCTTGCGTACATATGGCAAAGATGAAACTTCATTTTCAACATGCGATGATAACCGGCTAAGTGGCGCCGAGCCCCTAGCATATGAATCGACTCAATACGGTTCAGCCCTAATACTCGATATATTGAATCTTATCTGACCCGGGTAGGAAACAATAGCTGGATTCCGGGACAGCTCTCCGTAGAGGAACTTTGCAATGTAAGATAACTCCGCGATTCGTCGGACGCTGGCTGCTGCTAAACGGACAAAGCTAGTTACTATACCCAAGACACTTGTTATGTAAGTTTATATAACGATCTACTATAACATCAACTAATCTAAGTAGTTTCTTTCCCGAGGTCCCGGAACTTGCTACAGAAGACACTCAGAAGCTCTCAGGACGATTCAAGGTCCCTTTAGTCTTCTGGAAGTCCTTATCGGAAGCTGCAAGTGGTTTCTTTGGGTGTCAAGAAACAAGAGACTCTAATGGAGCGTTGGAACATTTTAGTAAGGCGAAGTCACGAGAAAGCTGTATATACTAATAAGTAGGCTGCCAATTTCGATTTCTTATCAAAGAACCTGTCAAACAAAATCCACGACTGTTTTATCCACAAGATGGTATATCCTACGGCTGGCATAAACTAGCGTTCTTCACATATTGGACACCCTCAAATACAACTCTCATTCTATGCTTTGGGCTCCCGCGGTGTATGCGGCAATCAATACTGCTATCTCACCCCCCAAGCCTTGGGAATCCTTTCTGGTTCCACGTCGTATTGATCGAAAATATCATTGATCTCTATGATAAGACAGTATGGGCATGGCGTGATCTTGTGAGAGGTCTTGAGCAGGTAAGTGTTAATCAGATTTAATATTAACGGAAAACGCTTATTATTAGAATCGCACCTGTCCTGAAGATCCGCGACCAGATTATATCAACATGCATGAGATTGCTCGACATGTGCTTCATTCCTCCGAGACTATAGCGATGGCTATAGAAACAATGACAGATATTACTCAAGAACACAAATTGTTCTACAAAGAGAACGAGTCACTTTCACCAGCAACAAGGGTAGCTTCCAGACAAACTAGCATGGCTTTCCGCTCACAGGTTTCAATACTCAAGTGTTTAAGCTTAAGATCAAAAGCCCTTGAAGAACGGCTGAAGAACGAGATCAATCTAGTTGTATTCCCATCCAAGATAACGCTTATACAGCACTAATGCTTCACTAGGCATTCAACACTGTTGCTCAGCACGACAGTCGCATAGCCGTGCGTATCGGAGAATCTACACAAGTAGACAGTGCATCCATGAAGACCATCTCAATCCTAGGACTTGTATTCCTGCCCGGGACGTTCATTTGCGTTAGTCGTACGTCCATCCTTATCACCACCTTGCTAATTCCTCTTAGGCATTATTCAGCACCAGCTTTTTCAACTTCTCGCCGGCAACCAGTACCGAGCCACAGCATTGGAGAGTTTCTGAGCAGTTCTGGGTTTATTGGGCTGTGGCGCTTCCTCTTACGCTAGTAACGGTCGCTGGTGTGCTCTTTTGGCAACGTGTATATACCAAGGAAACGCTGAATCGCCGGTGAGTGTTAGCCTGGAGTTAAGCGGGGCTTTGGTAGTAATGAGCGACAATTTGACACTGTTAGTAAGAAAGTTGAGGTATAAGATAAGTCTTGATCAAGTTTGCTTATATAAAGGACGAGAATATTAGAATATAATCTCAAGTCTTGCAGATGCTCCTATGATCCCATAGGATTTATGTGTAGTGTACCTAGGTAGTAACGGTAACCTAACCCCTTAAACTTATGCGATATGGCCCGTGCACACATATTATATTCCCTTTGGATAGGGGGGTAAGGCGGGTCAGTGAGTCACCAGGCATGTGACTACCAACTTATTGAACTGACAGGATCTCTAATTCGGACGCGACTAGTATATATAATGACGAATTCTTATAGTAGTAGCCGTATTAAACACTTTAATCAAAATGAGGACAAGTCACGAAAATTCAAGTCATCAAGTTTCGGCACTTGCGCTATTGTCTCTTGTGGTAAATGTACTGAAAGAACCGCCTTTCATCGGATTTAGCCTTGTTCATTCGAGGTAGAGTATTATGAGTTACTAGATGTAGCTTATGCGAAATTACCAGCAAGGCTTTTTTTAAACTTGCAACCGCAAACTCCAACGCTACCAAGAACCATCTAGGCCGTCTATATTCTTCATATCACATGGACCGTTAAAACGCAATCCCACTCTCCCACCAATGCTCCCCCGTATACCAACCAACTCCAATATGGCCCCAGCACCACCAGCCATCTCCTTCAACCCCGTAGCCTAAGCCTCTCAATGGACTGATGGGAACAGGCTCGAACAACCACACCCCGCCTCTTGCAAAGTCATCGCCCATCAACCAGCAGGTTGAGAAGAGGAAGAGTACTGTATACAAGAGATTTCCTACTTGTCTACACGCTTTCGGGAACCTTTCGATGAAGGGGCGTAGATATGAGCAGGCGGTGGCTTGCATCAAGATGCCGAACGGCTGGAGCAGAAATAGGGTCATCGAATTCCAAGGATAAGTCTGCGGCAGCTGAGAGACGGATCCAGCGAGATGTAGGAATCCTGATATCCCAAACGCAAAGAAGAGACCCAAAATCTTAGCGGCGGCCGATCGTGCTTCGATATATTTGTTCTTGATAAGGAAGTTCGTAGGAGCAGCGAATGCGAAGCGAAAGGTCTGGTGCCAGAAGCTGCCCCAAAAGCCATTCAGACCCTTGTTCAAGACGTTGCTTACAGATCCCCAGTTCGTCGAGTATTGCCACGCATGGCCTCTGAGACCTAATACTTTGGGCCCGAGGAGAAGACAGTGCATAATTGATCCGGTCAAGAACGCCACCTCAAGGGCCAAGATGAGCGCAAACCCGGTGGTAGTTTGACGGATGATCCACAATGCGGACGGAGAGAGGTTTTGAAAATACAGTGGTGGATCATAGGTAGTAGGGCCGAAGATAAAATACGGATCTTTCATCAAGAATGTCTTCGTAGCATCAAGGAGGAAATAGCCTGCTACAAAGCGCGGAACTACGGCCAGTTAGCTTTGCTGTTAATGTCCCAAAAGTAGTGCGGCATTCTTGCCTCGATCCCAGAAGAGCTGTTTACGTGTATCGAGACGTTTGAATCCAATTCTAGATACTCCAGTCCTAGATTCAACGCTGGGATTCTCTCCAAGTGCCTGCTTCACAGAGGGAGGATACGTAGGCAGGATTGGTATTGCCCAATTCCATCCTGGCCCACGGAAATTGAGTAAATGGTCCATGACCCAATCTATACGTTCACTGAGCTGTAGACGTTAGCTAGTGAAATGTACAAGAATGACCTGGGACCCATAAGACATCCTTGAAGTGGCGCTCCAGAGAGGTCCCGCGCCAATATCATACCTTGTCAGGGTACGACTGCCAATAGTACTCCGAGAGGTGAAGTGACCCTGTCTTTGGTGCCTCTTCTAGAAAACAGAAGTAAGCTTTACAATGTCTCGGCAGAAATGAGACAGTCTTGTACTCAGAATTTGCTAATCTTACCATGTACTCCCTCCTTCGCCTCTCCGTTTGTATATCCATTTGCCCCTTTCCGTCGCCGAAGATGCGAGTTTTTGACAAACACAGCGTCTCTATACGTATCAGCTTGTTCACCATCTCCTTCTGCCCTTCTGCCTCCATTGCCAAACCCACTCTCCATCCTGAATTCCACCCTCATTGAGTCGAATTGCGGCCTGTAGAACACCAACCACGTAACACTTAACACAAGCACCCATGCAGAGACCAGACCAGCCCCAAATGCCGTAGTAATACTAGCACTGCTGGTATCACACAATGTCTTGCACTGAAATGCTGCAATGGCCCCGAGAACCAACCATCTCGCCTTGTACAGGTATGGACGCTTCGTATGTGGTATGCAGAGGTAGGTGAGGAGTAAGAGGAGGCCGTAGAGGTGGTAGGGGAAGACTATAGGGCGGAGAGAGCCTTCTGCGACTTGCTTATAGAATTCTTGTCGATATACAGCAGCGACTTCGAGGTAAGTAGGCGCGGGGCCTGTGGCAGAGAGATGCGTGAACGCTGCCATTTTGGCTGAGAGTTATCGTTCTTGACAGGAGTAGGAGGGGAGAGACCATTTTATAGAACAATACAGACAATCCATTGTGTTGCGTTGTGTTGCGTGGCACAACTAATAGCCTTGTCGAGTCAGTCGACAGTGAAGTTTGTTCTTTACATTTCCAGGTACGAGGTGTCTTGACGTCACCCCGTGAACAGTACGATCTAATCTTATCTTATCTAATCTATAAACATATCTCAAGTGCTTGAACTCGGGCGAAGATTATATAAAATATACAATTGTATCACAGAACAGTGTTTCTGATACCAAAGTCCTATGCTTCCCCTTCTTATACTCTTACTAGACAGAGGTGGTGGACCCCTATTCTAAGCGGCAAACCGCTCTAGACAGCAAAGAAAACACAAAAAATGATGAACTATTTATATGGGGGAGAAGAAGAAGATACTATGGTAGGTATAAGTGCTGCTTATTATGTATTTTTGGCATATACTATCATGTTAAACTAATAGCTATATGTAGAAGTAGCAATGCCCATTACCAAAACAGGAAGGTGGGGCATCTTTGGGGGCCATGCACAGGCAACTTCGATCTTCGGAGTTGGCAGCTCAACTAGCCTAATCTACGTTTATAAGAATACACACGCAAAGAGATGCCTCTTCTCAACTTCTCAGTACCCTGAGCACCGTCAGTTGCTTGATAGCTCGGTGCAAAGATCCTACACCGGCAACCACACCATATTTCACCATGGACGAGCAGATTACAAGGCTGAGCCTCGGATCTATTCGATCGACAGGCTTGAATGTGCGCTCAAACAATGATATGTGGGCTCAAGCTGTCGAGCATTTAAGTGCTGAAGATAAAGCAAACATAAACTTTAGCTACGATAAGCTGGAAACTTTATCTAGCCTCCATACAGACGCCAAAGACGCCCAGAAGAAATGCGAGGACAACCGATTGCATTTCAAACGAAGAAGTGGAGAGAAAGTTATTTTGCGAGACTTGTTTGGCAAGGTCGTCAAATGGATCGATCTATTTAAACAGGTTGGAGACACAGCTGTGCAGTATGACCCTGGCCATGCTGCTCTACCTTGGGCACTGGTTCGATTTCTCCTCCAGGTGTGCCCCTCTTGTCATATAGACTTTACAACATTTTAACTTTAGTTTACAACAGGCAACAGTCAATGATATTGAGAAATACGAGTTCGTGGCTGAGAGCATTGAAGTTGTGTCAAGGTGTTTGTGCCGTTGCAGGATCCTCGAGCAGCTTTACGTCGACGGAACTGCTGCTGCCGTGGAACAACTCGAATCGGCACTCGTTCGACTGTACAGCGCCATTCTTCTTTGCTTGTCAAAGCTTAAAAGTTATCTTAATCGAAGAAAAGCAGGTTCGTGATTCGGTGCCCCTTTCTTCTCAGGTCATAAAGTTAAGGATACGTACCCTACCCATAGTTCGATTGATGTCCAGCACCTTCCGGGACAAGAGGGAATTCCAAGGACTTTTGAATGATATAATTAGGGATCAAGATGATGTTAATCAATGTGCCGTATTGATCTGTAGGGAAGGTAAATGCCACTGATCCTTTGATTTAAGACTAGAAAGAAGATAGAGACTGATTGCTACAGATGAATGCTCTCGATATCAAGAATTGAAACAGGCATTGGGAGAATTTAACAAACCATTACAGCGAATACATATACAGCTGCAGAATATCCAAGATAACCTCGAAGGTATCAATTCGCTTTTCTCAACCACAAAGGCAATGCTGATGTTAACTATGCTGCACAGATTCGAAGAGACAGAAAATTCTTAAATGGATGTCGGATATCGAGAAAATACCCTACTTGAAGCATCACAAGGAGAATAAGAGGCAAATGCTGTCTGGTACCGGTCATTGGCTACTTGAAGACAGAACATTCAAGGATTGGAAGGATGATAGCGCTTCTTCATTACTTTGGCTGCATGGTATCCCTGGGTCTGGAAAGAGCAAACTAACGTAAGTAATTAGCAATCCATATCACTGTTTTGGCTAACGTCAAAGAATAGATCACTTGTTATCGAGGACACTGTGAAATGCGCTATCCAGGATCAAATCCCTCGCCCGGCATACTTTTACTGCTCACGGAACTCAGCGGAGCCACTTCGATCAGACTCTAATGCAATACTTGGCAGCATAGCACGACAACTTGCTAGTGTCAATCCAATATCCCCACTATTACCACCAGCTGTTCAGAAGTACGCCGAGGAGGAAGTTCAAGGCGCGACATCTACCTCACTGGACGTCCAAGACAGCAGTGAGTTGATATCTGGACTTCTTGACCTCTACCCAACAGCGTTTATCATAATTGATGCCCTTGATGAATGTACTCCAGAGACTCGAATCGACCTTCTCGACTTCATTAAAGCCACACTTGACACTTCTGCGTGTAAGCCATTATTTATTCTTTTTTGATTCGTCTTTAGACTATTGAGAAGCCTTACTCGGCCTTGGACTTAAAAAACTTTTAGTGCCATCAGATTTTTAAATGATGCAACAAACCTGAAAACCAATATTGACTCGCCTTTTTTTATAGGTCTGGTAAAGTTCTTCATATCTAGTCGAGAGGACGGGGAGATCATGTATCAGTTGAACAAGTTTCCAAATGTTGAAATCTCTTCCACGAAAAACCAAGGTGACATTGAAGCGTTCGTGGAGAGCGAAACGACGAATCTTGTGAAAAGGGGGACGTTATTGAGAAACAGCCGGGGAAAGAAAGCACTCGAAGCAGAGATAACAAAAAAGTTGTCAAGAGATGCAGGAGGGATGTAAGTACACCATCTTGAATCTCAGGTCTATTGCTAATCAGACTCTCAAGGTTTCGGTGGGCTAGCATGCAGCTTCAACATTTGACAACCCTAAAAACGGACGAGGATATCCTACACCATCTAGGCAAAATTCCACCAAGCTTGGAAGTGCTATACAAAGATATATATGAGCGCATAGCGGCAAATCACGGCAGTATCTCTAAGGTATTAGCGCGGAATACATTCAGCTTACTTTTGCGTCTAAAAGAAAATCTCCTGCTTTCGGAATTTATAAAGTTAGTCCAGGACAACGAGGAAGGATTCTCTTCCGCCATGCCCTCGAATACAATTCTGGATATATGCTGTAACCTTGTGGTTTTGGACAAGACTCTCGATATATTTCGGTTTGCGCATCTTAGTGTTCGGGAGTTTTTCGAAAAATTACCTGAATTCAACCATGAGAGCACCCACTCTACTATCGCAATATGTTGCATGAAACACATCGACATGGCGGAGAGAAGCAAGCCCTATGAGTGGTGGAATCAATATGGGCCGAAACCCATAAAAATGATTGGGGACTACATTGACCTTTGGCTACTCCATCATTTACATTCGACTAGCTGTGATGAGCGAATGAAGGCTCAGTTCTTGAAACATACTACTCGCCTACTGTCCCGAGCAGACTTCTCGAGTTTGTTTCAAAATCCGTCATTAGACAAGATTTTACCAGTACCGAGGACCATCAACTCGAATCTATCATCTCTCTTTAATGCTTGCGCAGGAGGATTTTCAGAAATCCTCAAACTGACTATCTTTTATATGCAAGACTCGGGGCGCCTTCCATCGAGTATGCAGTTATCCGCAAAGTCGATACTTCCCCAGGACCTTGAAAGCTTGAAACGCACAGGGGAGCTCTTTTTGCCAGAAGGCACCCAGAACTTGGCACCGGACGTCGTTACGCTATTAGCAAAACATGCAATTTCCCACGGGAGTTTCGTTGTATTGCATTTTCTCTTACACGAGAATCTTTGTACAGTGACTGAGGAAATGCTATTACAAGCCGTTAATGCTTACTGCATTCGGAAGACTTCTGGGTCTGAATGGAGAGAACCTGCAGTTATAGTGGACCTTATGTTACAGTGCGTACCTCTTCAAGAGTCAGAATCTATTCAAGGCTAACCTTTTCGACAGCAATGCCGTCCGCCAGAAAGTTTCAGGGTAAATTCACTTAACCATCTAGTGTTTGCTTGACTAATATGGAATAGACTACTAAAACCCTACCCAATGGTGGCCTTTGATAAAGAATTCTTCCCAGGAAAGACTAGAGTTTCGAATGGAGCTGAGCGCCACATAAAGCATCTCTTGACACCCGCTGTGATAGAGAAAGCGGTGGCGACCATACGCTTAGCCTCTACCAGTGGAATACAGGTTCTTGTCACTCATGTTCTGATTAAATGGGGAGCTAAGATCCTCCTGACGAAGAGTCTCGATGATTCCATCTTGCGGTGGAGTCCTGACGAATCGGAAACGATCTTTCTGTTCTTAAAATCCCATGATGATTTGCATATTTCATGGGATTTCTTGGAACATATCGGGAGAAGACCTGGAGATTGGTTTCAAAATGATTCAGATTGTTTACGTTTAATTCGGAATTGTGCTCCAGCCGAAATAACTCAAGAAGTATTGTAAGTCCACCCTTACCCGTGTAAGGGTTCTGTTTCAGAAGTTCAAGCAGTTCTGACTTAGGGAACTTAAATCTAGACAACGTTTCATGGTGACATTAGGAGCCCTTCACCCTATAACGAAGACTTTGATGCAGCTAAATCCACAGCTGGTCATCAACGAACGGATCCTTATTTCAGCTGCAGCCTCAAGGAGCGACATTTTCTATCTGCTAGAAAGGTTCCACAGTAAGGATGACAAGAAACTACAACTCACACAGAGATTATTGCTAGCTGTTGCTAGAGCGTCTCCAGAAAGCCATATTATCATACATGTTCTGGAACATGGTGATAAACCTCTTAAAGTGACCACGAAATTTCTAATAACCGTGGTCGACAATCCTGTACTGTGGCCCTCCGAACTCATGAAAGTACTCTATCACATAAAGCAGAAACGCATGAAGCAGAAAGTGGGATTTCGTGTCACCAAAGAGTTGATCAACAGAGTCGCCTTTCAAGACAATTCATTGTATCCTTCTACATATAGCAGAGAAAATCGTCTTAACATACTTCTCTGGCTTATACAAAACAGTATAAATATCCAGATCAAGCTGGCTAAGAGAATAGTGATCAAATTGATCGAGGTGAATACTAAGGAGAGACACCTGAACACGGTAATCGAGTTGCTCCAAGCTATAAAAGAAAAATCGCGTTTTCGTTTTACCTCAAAAATGCTAGAAGCTTATCTCAGGACTCGAGAGTCGTTTGAAGGACCTTTGTTAGACTGGTTTCTGGATAATGTTAAGTGTTCACAGGACGGACAACAGATGATGGATAGAATGGTAATGACAAGGGATCCGCAGTGGGCGTTGGCAATAGCGCTACGCAAGCAGAAACAGCTGGATGGGTTGAAATATGACTCGAAATAAGCTTGATGACAGTCGCTCCGATGTATTATCCCAATAACATGATTTATCAGAAACCTCTATTTACTAATGATTCAATATATTTCCAGGAGAAACAGGAATCTGGAGAGCTAACATATAATGAATATCAAGCTGACTTCATGTTTTTTACCATCAATGACATATATTAGTCCTAATCTTTGATTCAGATGGATCTTCCCAAGCTTGCAGCACCTGTAGAACATTACGGTAATATTATCCTTCTTCATGATGGTTGGAATTATATAGCCTCCGATTAAAAACCCTGAAGGAAAGTACAGTTTCTACAAAGACAACTATTCCAGATCGCAGTATTCTGTCCTATGGTATACAATAAGAGAGAATATTTAAAAGTCAACGGAGATTTAGGGGTAGCCCTCGCTTAAGCTCGCTTACACTGGAAAGATGCATGGTAAGCACTTCTGCATTAGCGCATAAGCATAATCACCCCTTTTTGTAAGCCTCCATACGATTATTACCACAGAACCCTGTTGGATTGTTTTAATCCACGTACTATTACCCGTCAAACTTCTACTTACTCCGCCTTTAGTGTCGCAAAATATCTCATCCAACCTCCTATAATGAAACAGGCCCATAAAACCAAAAGGGGGTTCAAACCCCGTAACCAAGCCTGCCGAAACGTACGTAGGTAGAAGACATGCAAAGTAAGCATTATATGCCATGATTGTTATATATCTTCTTCGATACTTCCTTTATTTTCTTCCTCTTCGATACATATTCCTTTTCTTCATAAAGACTACAGTTACGAGATGAAAATGGCACCAACAATCGTTCTCATCACCGGCGCAAACAGAGGAATTGGCAAAGGCCTTCTCGAATTGTACTTACTCAAACCGAACCATCTAGTTATTGCTGTGAACCGCAATCCTGAAGGCCCTACATCTAAGGCACTTGCTGAGTTGCCTACAGCCAATGGCACGAGTTTGTTGGTGGTTAAGAATGATGCTACGGTACGTACTGTATAGCGACAGTGGAATTTCAAGCTTCCTTGCTACTTACACGGATATCCTTGAGTCTTTGTATATCCTCTATGTCCTGTAGCAATTCTAGAGTTCGTGCGATTTGTCACACGGCGTGAGAGATAACAAGGCTACTTACAAGATCTGCGAAAGAAAACCATGCTCAGAAGACACGTTGATAGCTTCCAGCCTATTCCTGCTAATTCGGTTATAGGTTCCAACCGATGCAGCAGCTGCAGTCAAGCTTCTCGCCTCGAAAGACATCCATCATATCGATATCGTCATTGCCAATGCTGGCGTAGCCTATGTATGGCCGAAGGTCTCGGAATTGAAGACCGAGGACATGCAGCGCCATATTGTGCCGAATGTGTATGGAAATGTCTGGCTGTATCAGGCAGTGCTTCCATTGCTGAAGAAGAGCGAGAAGAAGATGTGGGTTAGCATAGGATCTAGTGCAGGGTACCTTACGGTTGGTAGTCTCTGTCTCCTGAATTGTTAGGCTTGGCTAACTGTTTTCTAGTGAGTACCAGCAGTTTTATATCCTTTCATAAAGCCAGTTCTTTGAACTCCCTTGCAGTTTGAAATTCTCCCATTGTTATGATGGTACACTGACTAATGAGTCTTGTTTGTTTAGGAACATGCTTCCTATGCAAAATGCAGCATATGGCCCAACCAAGCTTGTTCTTCATTTCCTCACCAAGGCCATGCATATAGAAGAGCCCGAACTTGCTGCATTTCCAATTGACCCAGGATGGGTTCAGACTGACATGGGTATGTGTACTACTAGGCTGTTTATGCCCGAGCACTACTAATATTACATACAGGCAACCGCGGCGCGCATGCATTCGACATAAATGAGGCCAATATTACCACTGAGGATAGTGTTAACGGGATGATCAAAATCATCGATGTAGCGACTAGGGATACTCATGGTGGCAAGTTGTGGGAATACAATGGAAGCCAGGTGCCATGGTAGATGGCTCTAATCAGATGGTCCCAATCACGAATCATACTCCGTATTGTGCTGCCTTTTTTCTATGATGGATGCTATTGAAATACCAGGTTTGGCCACAATGCTGGATTCCGTTGACAATCATCGTCATTATTTCAGTCGCTTTTCAAAGTATGTGTTCTTTAAACGGAGTTGGTTTTATTGTGCTATAGGCTGTGAGTTTACTATATATTTGCTTTGTTCCATTTGCGCCTTCAAAAGAGTATGATCCATCCCATTAGTTGGTGTGCACTAAAACCCATGATATATTTCTAACATGTACCTGCAGTAACAAGTAATTGGCGCTAGCATTTTAACCTGTGAAATGGGTGGTTCAGAGGTCCTCGGAAGCTCGCTTAAAGCTGTAAGTGGAGCGCTCCTTGACGTACCTTTTCCTTGCAACTTATCTGATAAAAAAGAAGCTAGAATATGATAATATACGTTAAGTCTCTTCTTCTTGAACAATAGATTTAGCTCTTTTCTTAATTTTGACCCTTCTAAAGGACGCCATGTGAGAGAAGAACAATTCGTCGCTAAACTGCTAGCGCCAACCACATCTCAGCTAAGCTGAGTCAGCTGTGCGGTGAATTTCCGCTGCATTACTAATAGATGTTTTCACAATCTCATGTCATATGAATGTTCCCCAGAGCAAATAGAAATAACACAATACTGTAGCCTGTCTAAAGAGCTTCGGAATCTCGAACAAATTTCCCTCTAGGGTATCCCACCTTTCCTATTCCAGCTAGCCAGAACAAGTCAAATCGAGCATTAGCATTAGCATTGAACCAAAACTCAGAGTAATGGACCAGAGCATCCAGCTGCAGCTCCCAACTGACACCATCGAACGTCGTCGACTGCAAAATCGAATTGCCCAGCGGAAATTCCGTCGTAAGTCCTGTGCTCGCTGCCATTAGACTATCGTCACATTCTTATAGGATTTTATAGAAAAAAGACAACATAACTCCGCTGATGCTGTTGGCAGATCTGAGCTAGCTTTCCATCAGGGCATTAACACCATCGATACTCCAATTTCCATTGATTCGGGGTTATTTCCCTCTACCGAGGCCTTTACTTCCGAGAGTAATGCCCCTCATGTTGACACTGCCAATCCCGATCTAGAGAATGTTGATTTCGGAGAATGGAGCCTTGATGCCATGGACAGCATTTTCCCTAGCAATGACATCTCATTCTCAACAACTGATGCTTCGCCTTTCCACTCCTCGCCAGCTGCTAATCACACCTCCATAAACCCCCCAATCACTAGCACTATTACTCCCCGTCCTCATCCACGTGCACTCATCTCAGCGCAGCCCGCCGAGCTTGCCAACATTCCACCCGCACCCACCCAAGGCAATGGCTGGCTAAGCGCCGTACACATCGCCGCGCGCAACGGCAACAACCTCATCCTCAACATCCTCATTCAGCAAAACGCCGACCTACACGAGAAAGACAATGACGGGCGCACCCCGCTCATCTACGCCGTGATCGAGGGCCACCTCAGCACCGTCGCCTCGCTATTAGCCCATGGAGCACGCATAGACGAGGTGGACTGTGATGATCGGTCCGCGTTGCATTGGGCTGTGTTGCACCAGAGACAGGAGATACTCAAAATGCTCCTGGAACGGAAACAGGAACAGGGGCTGGATGTTGATGCGTATGATTTTAGCAGCTGGACGCCTATGCACATGGCTATTTACCTCGAGTTTGAAGAGGGTGTCAAGATGCTTCTGGAATATGGAGCGAATATCACAATCAAGGCGCGCAAGTGTCCGTATGCTGAGAAAGTGCTCCCGGGGGTACTGACGAGGAGAGTGGTCTGATTATCAGGCGAAGGCCTGGTTTGTTCACTTGATGTTTTAGCTTGCTGGCTCTCACATGACCGAATTGCAGTTGTAGGATCAAAACATTGATTTACTAAAAGTCCATGCCAGTACTAATGAAGTGTTGCTTAACTAGTTCAAACCACCTCCAGAAATTTTCGGGTATGGCCCTGGCCTCCAACTCGAGCTGAAAATCAAATAGTCATCTGGCTCAGTTGGTATGCCTAGTCGACATACCGCCCGGTAACTCTGCACGCTTATACCCATGTCTCTGCAAAAGCCTTCCATTGTAAAAGGACCATACCAGTAATCGGACGCAAAGCCACTTTCCTGATTGTCAACGTTGTAATCCATGTAGCAAACTCTCGTGTAGCATTCTGAAAGGCCTGCTGCAATCGAGTCGTCGCTGACGAAATCGCCCCTACCGGTGCATCTGTAACCTTCAATTTTACCAGTTGTCCAACAGATCGAGTCTCTTTCCCACCCGTAGCCATGGCAACAGGATCCGGCACCTTGTTTGAGTTGATTTAAAGCCCAGGTGTGCTGCTCTTGGCGATCTCTCCCAAATAAGGTATCGATGCGTGTCTGGCGACTTGCCATTTGCTGGTCATAGCTGCTGATGCATCTGGAGGCTACCCGTAGGCTTGAATCATACGTTGGTATTCTAGATGGTTCGACTGTCTGCGTGCGACTACTTTCTCCATATATTGTGCGAGAATGATTGACTTGAGACTTTTCCATGGGTCTCAACGTACTCGAAGAATCCTGTCGAGGCATCTGACTGCTTTGTCCGTGTGTCCTGCGAGAAGGATCAATTTTGGACACCAAGATGGGCTCTAACTTGCTCGAAGAATCCTGTTGAGGCGTTCGGTTTGATCGAGAGAGCTCAGTGACCTTTGGCTTACTCGCAAAATCGAGCAGAGGCATGCGACTACCATTCTCCGTTTGGGAGTCTTCATCGACTTTCGGTTTGCCAGAAGGGCGGGAAGTTGAGCCGCTTTCCTTTCGGCTAGTGGAGTGCTTTCGCGATGTTGATATCCGGCGGTCAGACATGATGAGTTGTTTGTGGTGGTATCTTAGTGATAAGCGTCTGAAAATAATATTGTGTTGATGCAGAGAAAGATGGGAAGGTTAAGTTGGAGCCACTTTTGTAGACGGTTCTATGGGTTTTGAGATGTTATTGTGAAGAGTTGATATTGTGATTATCAGCACAAATACACTTGTGAATAGCTAATAACAGGACGGATTCACCACAATCACTTAATCATCTTGCCCCCTTCTGATGATGGAAAGTTTGAAGATAGTGGCCAATAATATCATATCGTAGTACTTACCCACGGAGGGAAACTAAAACAGAAATAAATTTATATAGCTCATGTAGCAAAAGAGAGGGTCGAGTATGATTATACTAGTCATCACAAGATCTGAACTCTATTATCAACTTGGCTGTGGCGTGGAACTGGGAATGACATGTCTTACACTTTTGAAGTTGACCCCGAGAGACATGCAAGATTCTAGTGATTGATAAAATGCTCGAGGAGAGGCTTAGCTAAAGCTAGGCGCTAATCTCAAAACAGATCCCAATAGATCTTCTGGGTTAGTATATGCAAGTAATCCAACGCCACTTTATTAGATGCTTTCAAGTTAGGGTTTGAGATCTCTTCTTGGCAGGCACTAGAAGTGAAAATTTATAGATGCTATAAAGTGAAATTCACACCAAAAAAAACTTTAGAAGTAAAATAATGGACAAAGAGTTGCCAAATTCAAGCTATGTAGACTATGCTTTTATCATCTATGCACGCATGTCTTCATAACGCATTAACCACCAGGCTTTTATTGCCCTATGTATCTATGCAATTGACAACTCCAACCACCAAAATAAACGAAAATGTATCATTTAACAAGACTTTATCCCACAATCTCCTCGGTCTCCTCAACAATCTCCTCCACAATCTCCTCAATAACCTGGTCTTCGCTCTCATCAGTCTTCTTGATCAGGTGCTCAACAGGATCCGCCGGCAAGCCCAAGGCTTCACGCTCATCCTCGAGATCTTGCTCAACAGAATGTCTCCACGCCATCCACTCCTCCAGCAAGCGTCTCCTGTGCTCAACGACAGCGAGATCAGCGGAAGCGCCGCGGTCGGCATCTTCTTGCTCGAAGACTTTGCTGTATTCGCGGAGGTTCTTGCGGACTAGCTTTTGCTCTTCCTTGGTGAGCATAGTTGGTGGACGTGGGCGCCAGAGGAATTGCTTAATCTTCTCGACGGGCTCTTCGCGCAGTTGTTCACCCTTGAAGTCGTACATGTGGAAACCGTTTTCCATCTATCACACGGGTTAGCTTGATTTATTAAAGTAAGTATTGGGCAGGACTTACGGGAACTTTCCACACACTACTTGAGGTAGCGACGAATCGTCCGGTAGGGTCCCACTCAATGTCGGTAACACCGTAATGCTCAGCAGTGTTCATGAGTTGCAAGTTGGCAGTCAAGTCCTTGTCGCTTTCTGGCTTCTCGCCCTCAAAGTCCATGTCATAAAACTCCAACTCGAAGCTTTGCTGAGAAGAAACGGTGGCTACAACAACGAATCGGCCTTTGGGTGACCAGTAGATGGCATTGCTGTTCTTTTTATCGTAAGTTCTGATGTGCTTGAAGTTGCCTACACCAGCACCCTTAACTTTCTCGGGGCAGTAGAATGCAACTGATGTCTTTGGGGGAACAGCAGATGGCGCAGCAACCTCAGCCGTAGTGATGATGACGAAACGGTCACCCTTTGGCTCCCACGCAAAATTGACGACAGTGTCTTTAATACCTTCAACCACTTCGACGGGTACACCCTTCTCCTTGACACGGAAGATCTCGAGACTGGTGGCCAGCGATTTCTTCGATTTCGAGTGACGATCGACCTTGACACACAGGTACGATGCATCTGATTGCCAGTGAAGTCGAGCATCAGTGACACTGAAGAGGTTCAAGGTTCTGACGACTTCCTTTGAAGGGATGCTCATCAAGCCGACCTTTGCAGGATTGCTACCAATTTCAGGAGTCCAGTAACAGAACAGTTGCTCATAAGTCTTTACACCATCTCTCCGGGGGGTTGCTGGAGCCCATTCGAACTCCATAACACCCTCAATCTTGATGACCTTTTTGTCTACAAGTAACATGGTAGGTAGATCGTAGACAGAGATTGATTGACCTTGAGTCAACCGAGCAACATACTTGTCATCGGCTGACCACTTGAAAGCTGGCCACTGCATCTTCCTTTTGATGGGGTTACCAGCCTCGTCATTACCAGCACTTGGGACTTCAGCGTTCGGGAAAGAGCGGAGGGGTTTGCCTGTTTCAATATCCCAGATGACAAAGTGCTTACCATCGTCTTCAGCAGCCAGCTGTGGGTGGCCCTCTTCGCCAATAGAGATTGGACGATGGGACCAGGTGGTGAGGTATTTCTCCCCAGGCGAGAAATCGACTAGGTTGACGAAAGGATGCGCAAATCGCTTTTGTCGAAGCCAAGATGGCCCGCCCCAGAGTTGAACACCTTGAGCGTGAACGGAAGTAAGAAAAGTGCCTTGTGGTGACCATTGAATAAACGACTCGGTCCAATTTGGACGCTCGACGATTGTTTCAGGGGTGTCCTTCTCGTTGTTCCAGTCTATTAAGACGTTGTTGTCCTTGTACATAGCGAATTGGTCTCGACCACGGCCGCTGGGATCTGCAAGCCATGACCTCAGGTGTTCCTTTTCGGTGAACTCTTCGAGTTTTGGGGGTGTGTAATGCTCGTCGATGCGTCCTTCTCGGCCATAACGCTCGATATCTGTCAACTTGTTGACCTCCATCTTGTGCTTCTTGTCCAGGGAGACGCCATCGAGTGTCTTGCATGCGAGGGCAGCTTCAAGAGGGGTGGCGTATTCAACGAAGGCAAACCTAGCAGGAGATTAGGACAGATAAATGTGTTTAGAGGTTGCGCGACATACCTGTGTGATTTGCCATCCTCGCCCAATGGCATGTGTACTGAATCCTCCCGGACCTTGCCAACACCGTTCAACTTTCGTAGCAGAAACTTGATCAACTTCGGTCTCGTCTCCTCGGTGACTTCTGGCAAGCCGTCGATGACCACGAAAGTATCCAGTCCTTGCTCAAGCTGGACTTCGTATCGCTCGCGCAGGTCGGAGAAGTCCAGTTCCTCATCCTCATCGTAGTCATCCTCCTCTGGGTCTGGTAAATGGTCGAAACTCGGCGCCATGATTGCGGTTTGATTCTTGAGCGTGCGCTCTTATAGGTGGTCTTGATGCCTTCGGTGGGCTTTTGTAAATTTTTACCCCACTTGCCTTGCGGATGGGGGCCTGGGTGTGGGATTTGCGTGCTTTTGGAATCCTACGATGTATCGGTAAATGGCTCAGAATATTCTGCTGGTGTGGGTGTAGGGGCAGAAAAGAGAGTCCCGATAAAAGAAAAGGTGGTGGTTTGCGGTATTGTTGAGTTTCTGCGACTTTTTTTGATGTTCGATGTGGGAATCGCACGGGCCTAGCGTGGTTCGCTAGTGCCTTGAAAATCGCGTCTGCCAGTGCGCGACGATGAGGTTGCCATCCGACTTTTTTACACCACATAAATTACCCATCATGGCGTCCTTTAACCCTACCCAAATCTTCGACGATGGTACTACAGAGGAGAAAGGAGAGAATGCTCGTCTCTCGGCGTTCGTTGGAGCTATTGCTGTTGGAGATTTAGGTATTTGAGCTTGCCTTGTTGATTTATAAAATCATCAACAGCTAACAGGATCCAGTAAAATCCACCTTGGGACCCAAGGGTATGGACAAGATCTTACAGTCTGCTTCTACGGGTGAGATTATGGTCACAAACGATGGTGCTACGATCCTTAAATCTATCGCTCTCGACAACGCAGCTGCCAAAGTTCTCGTCAACATCTCGAAAGTTCAGGACGACGAGGTTGGAGATGGAACTACATCTGTTACCGTATTAGCTGCAGAGCTGCTACGGGAGGCCGAGAAGTTGGTTGATAAGAAGATTCATCCCCAGACTATCATCGAAGGCTACAGAATAGCCAGTCACGCAGCCCTTGCAGCATTAGAGAAATCTGCGGTGGATCACAGTAGTGAACCCGAAGCTTTTAAAAAGGATCTTCTGGCCATTGCACGGACGACTCTGAGCTCTAAAGTTCTGTCCCAAGATCGAAATCACTTTTCGGAGCTCGCATGCGATGCTGTACTCAGGATGAAGGGTTCTGCGGATCTCAGTCATATCCAAATAATCAAGAAGGCCGGTGGAAAGCTCAGCGACTCATATCTTGATGAAGGGTTCATTCTCGACAAGAAGATTGGTGTGAACCAGCCAAAGAGACTTGAAAAGGCCAAGATTCTGGTAGCAAACACTGCTATGGATACCGACAAGATCAAGATCTTCGGAGCCCGTGTCAAGGTTGGATCTACTGGAAAGCTTGCAGATTTGGAGAAGGCAGAGAAGGAAAAGATGAAGGCAAAGGTAGACAAGATCAAGGCACACGGCATCAACTGCTTCATCAACCGACAACTCATCTATAATTGGCCCGAACAACTTTTCTCCGATGCTGGAATCATGTCCATTGAACATGCGGACTTTGACGGTATTGAGAGACTGGCCTTAGTTACTGGCGGAGAGATCACATCGACATTTGAGCACCCAGACCAGGTCAAGCTTGGACACTGTGATTTGATTGAGGAAGTGATCATTGGCGAAGATACTTTGATCAAATTCTCTGGGGTAGCAGCTGGCCAGGCTTGCACTATCGTCCTAAGAGGAGCTACAGAGCAGCTACTTGATGAAGCCGAGCGGTCGCTCCATGATGCTCTTGCAGTGCTATCACAAACCGTCAAGGAGCCAAGAACCACTTTGGGAGGAGGCTGTGCGGAGATGTTGATGGCTAAGGCAGTTGAGGGTGCTGCGTTGAAGGTCGATGGAAAGAAACAGATTGCTGTTGGAGCTTTCGCGATTGCTCTTCGACAACTGCCGACCATCTTGGCCGACAATGCTGGTTACGACTCTAGTGAACTTGTCGCCAAGCTCCGAACTGCAATCTACGATGGCATGACTAATTATGGTTTGGATCTGCTCACCCCTGGGGGTGGTATCACAGATATGAGAGAGTTGGGCGTCATTGAGAGCTACAAGCTTAAAAAGGCGGTCGTGTCATCTGCTTCCGAGGCAGCAGAAGTAAGTCTATTGTTGAACAAGAGTGATTTTGTGCACTTACTAATATCTTCTAGCTTCTCCTGAGAGTAGACAACATTATCCGAAGCGCACCAAGGAAACGTGAGAGGTGATTGGGAAACTGAAAATGCTTGTGTATTATGAAAGCGGAAAAGACTGGGTAATCTGTACCATACCATAGATCAAGTTGCAGCGACAATAATGGATGAATGGGTATGACACGGAGATAACCAAGATGTGTCTGACTGTGATACAAAACTATTGCCGAATTGATCCACAAACGCGGGTTCGTCCAACATTTTACTTGGCGTGTACTGGAACTACAGTAGAGCAATGAAGCTGCGTGGAGCTTAGAAGGGCTCAACGAGTCATCTCGAAACAATTGTACAGGACAGGTCCTCTATGAGGGCCGCGCCGCTTAGCAGGAGTACGTGTACCCGAGTTGGACAGCCCAAGCCCCTTGCCAACATCTCATCCCCGACATCAGGATCGCCAGACTGTGTGGAACACTAATGTTCAGGCAGGTGGATTCTTTTCTGAAACGCTTTGCCGCTAAGGCAACAGTTGTTTAGGAGTTTCTTGAACATCTCATATGCATGCAATGTTGGACTTTGCAAGCCAACCATAACCTCCTTGCTTGAGTGATCAATACTTTGTACTTGGCAATCTGCAGTGCGCTGGTACTTCGTACATTGGGGGATGGTTGGACGATCCAACCAATCAGCCAGGGGACTTGGCTACTCGAGTCTCGAAGGCAGAGTAAGCTGACTGCACTCACTGCTACTAAGCCAAGTCAAGGATTGAATAACACTCCAACCCAGCCCTAGCGTATCCCATTTCTTGTTGCAATAATCCTGCCAAAGCCGTTGATTTTATAGACGTAAGATACTTGCTTGTAGAATATTGCAGATGCATCTATTGTTCCAGCCAGCCTAGTCCAGCCCTCTTCTTTTGTGGAGGAGACGGACAAACCGGGGCAGTAGGGCACCGCACCGCACCACCACACCCCTCCTAGTTTAGCTTCGGCTCGCATCCCTACAGTAGCCATTTCTAAAACGAGAACGAGTGCCTACGCAAAGCCAAGGCCAAGTCCTCACTCAGCCATAAGACAAAACTTTCTCCCCCTTCATCAATCAGTTCACCTTCCAGCTCACCCTCGAAAGAATTTCTGCAACTTCAGAACTTGCTTTGGCCACGAATTTATACAAACGACGCACTCCCTCCAAACGTCCTTCAGCGCCCAAAGACTTCGCTCAGGCGACGTCTCAACCACCCAGCAACGTTGACGCTCCAAAATGCCGCGACGGCGGCCACCTCGAGAAGGTCACGTCGTGAATAATTTCAATCTGGTCATCGTATTCGCAGTAGCCATATTAATTTTACCATGGCTCGCCGATGCTCAGCAGCAGCAACAGCGATCCGCAGTCCGGCAGCGACACGAATCACCCCACGAGAACCGAGAGCCTGAAGTGTTACACACCCTCGAAGCTACAAAGGTACCTCCGACCATCGAGACGCCCCTCAATCAAGGACGTCGCAAGTATACACAAAACGATAGCAAACATGAACGACCGAGAAACGATGCGAGCGCCATCGCAACTTTGGCTCCGGCGGATCCCGCCGTTGCAGCACCTCCTGCAAGACGGTCCAGCATTTCCAGTGCTGGGCTCTCCTCGCCGCATTCTGCGCGGAGTCTTGAGGATTGGGAAGTAGAAGACTTCGTGCTTCTGGCGACCGTCGATGGCAAGCTACATGCCCGGGATAGGAGGACGGGCGAGGAGAAGTGGGAATTATCTTATGAGAAACCAATGGTGGAGACAAAGTACCATCGACGAAATCGGTCAGAAGTAGAGGAAGACTACGAGTCCATACCAATTGATGACTTCATATGGGTGGTGGAACCTAGTCAGGATGGAAGCCTTTACATCTACAGACCGCCCGGAGGACCGCATGCCGGCCTAGTTAATACTGGTCTAACAATGAAGAAGCTCGTCGAAGAAATGGCCCCATACGGAAACGAGGACCCACCAGTCATGTATACCGGCGAGAAGAAGACAGACATGATAACTGTTGATGCCAATACGGGCAAAGTCATTAAATATTTCGGGCCCCAAGGCGCAATCGTCGACGGCGAAGGGAATTGCATCAACCGAGCGTTTCCAAGTGAAGAATGCATGAACCCGACGCTGACAATTGGACGCACAGAATACAAAGTTGGTATACAATCAAGGAAAGATGGCCACCAAATTGCGACCCTGAGTTTCTTCGAGTGGACACCAAATACTTTTGATCAAGATCTCCAACGCCAATATCGCAGCACACCAGATAATCAATACATCTACACAAGCCATGACGGGGGTATTATGGGTCTCGACCATGGGCGTAGCTCCACGGGTGAGCAAGGTCAATTCGAACCAGGACGGCTTTTCCGGAAGAAGTTTTCATCCCCAGTGGTTAGAGTTTTCGACGTAGCAAGACCCTGGAGTTCGGAAAAGAACAATCCCGAGCTCATCATTCTCCCACAACCAATGCCACCACATGATGATGACGACGTGGCAGCAACAATGCACCGTACCAGCAGTATCTTTCTCAATCATACCGAAGATGGCAGTTGGTACGCTATGTCTGGCACGTCATATCCTCTAGTTGTACAAGGAAGTAAAGAGGCAGAGTGTATGCAACGAGGTTGGAAACAACATCGACCTGCATCCGACATTTTGAGTGATTGGCATTTATCTGAGGCGCTTGTTGGCCTGCATTCCATCGACCAAAGGACCGAACAACAGTTGACTCTCTCCTCTGGGTTTTCAGACCAGAAGCATTCTGATGAGCTATATCCTAATCAAGAAATTGATCTAATCGACGACCCAACTCTCATTCAACGACTTGGAACACTACCTGAAATAGCAGCAAGAAGTCTCAAGGACTTTATTACAAATCCACTTTGGTTTCTTCTTCTGCTTGGATTCATAGTCAGCAACCAACGACAAATTCGTGCTTGGGTCGGTCGTGTTTCTGGAAACAAAAAGCTCTCCAAGGTACTTGGCAAGCCAATCAACAAGGAAGTTCCTGAAGCCGGTCAGCTTCCTAAAATTGCAGAGAATGAAGTCGTCGAGATACCAGCCGCCCAGGAAGCGGTTAATATCCCACCTGTTAAGGATCAAGATGGGGAGACACCGAATGCCGAGATTCCTGTCCAGAAAGAGACAGCAACGGCCCTCGAGACGCCTTCACCAGATGATGCAGCACCCACACCAAAGAAGAAGTCTCATAGAGGCACTCGTGGGGGCGTTAAACATAAGAAGAAAAAGGCCGCCGCGAAGGATGAGTCTTCTCAAGACGGGAATCCACCCAAGGCTCAACCCTCTATTGAAGATGCCGTTCGCGATGCCCAGAAGATGGGCGAACAGACGAAACTCGAACCTGATATTAGAACCGTACCGAATGACCCTTCGGAGGTATCTGGGCCTACAATTAGTATTGGGGCGCTCACGGTTGACACCGAAAAGCTCATTGGCACTGGTAGCAACGGTACCATGGTTTTTGAGGGCCAATTCGATGGACGTGAAGTTGCTGTAAAAAGAATGCTCATGCAGTTCTTTGACATTGCTTCGCAGGAAACGAAGCTTCTTAGAGAAAGTGACGATCATCCAAATGGTACGTTCCCCTAATTCCCGCAAATGAAATTATACTAACTGATATAGTTATCCGATACTTTGCCCAGCAACAAGCTGCTGGGTTCCTATACATCGCACTTGAGCTATGTCCAGCATCCCTTGCAGAGGTTGTGGAAAAGCCACACTTGCATCGTGACCTAGCGCAAGGTGGCGAGCAAGATCTTCCAAATGTTCTTTACCAGATCACGAATGGTCTTCAGCATCTGCACACCCTTCGAATTGTACACCGTGATCTGAAGCCCCAGAATATTTTGGTTGCGATGGGCAAGGATAAAAGACCCCGTCTTCTGGTGTCGGATTTCGGTCTATGCAAGAAGTTGGAGGGAGAGCAATCTTCATTCCGTGCAACAACGGCCCACGCCGCTGGTACATCTGGATGGCGCGCACCGGAACTGCTCTTAGATGACGATGTCCACCAAGGGACGTCAATGGTTGACGCAAGCACTGATGGCAATTCGGGCTCAATTCTTGTCAGCTCAGGCCTAATGCCCGGTAACAGAAGGGCTACACGAGCCATTGACATCTTCTCCCTTGGCTTAGTCTTCTTCTATGTGCTCACCAAAGGTTCCCATCCTTTTGACTGCGGCGACAGATACATGCGAGAAGTCAACATTCGCAAAGGCAAATTTGATCTTAGCACTCTTAGTGTGTATGGGAATTACGGATTCGAAGCAGAGGAACTAATCAGCTCTATGCTCTCCCCCGAGCCCAAAGCACGTCCCACAGCCCTTCAAGTAATGGCCCATCCGTTTTTCTGGTCCGCTAAGAAGCGTCTCAACTTTCTTTGTGACGTCTCAGATCACTTCGAGAAGGAGAAACGTGATCCTCCTTCCGAAGCCCTACTTGAGCTTGAGAAATGCGCTCCCAATACCGTTAGATATGACTTTTTAAAGCATCTCGGTAAAGATTTTGTTGAGTCGATGGGCAAGCAGAGGAAGTATACTGGAAGCCGACTTTTGGATTTGCTTCGCGCTTTGCGTAACAAGAAGAATCATTATGAGGATATGTCTGATAAGTTGAAGAAGGAGGTCGGGCCTCTGCCTGAAGGGTATTTGAACTTTTGGACCCACAGGTTTCCGAATCTTTTGATTAATTGCTGGAACTTGGTTTATGTTCTGGAGTGGGATGAGACGGACCGATTCCACGAGTATTACACGCCGGTTGGGCTTTGAACATTGGAGGGAAAAGTCGTTTGGATATATGGCGTTTGGAAATCATTTATGTATTCCTATAGGTTGGATAGGAACTGAAGCATTCAGATGACTTATGATGATTATATATGCGCTATACCTAGACATCTCATGCTTGATTGATAGTTGCTCTACTCATATCTATGACCCATGCGTCCGTCTCATCAGCTTTTCTCCAATTTGACACTCTTTCTATCAACCTAAGAAAAACATGTAAAACTATATCTCAACCAACTCTTTTCCCCGAGAGAAAGAGGATCAATTGCTGAAGAAGGGTGCGGCTGAATAATATGGTGTGCTGTGGCTTGAGCCGATTCCAGCCACCCAACACGCATCACACGCGGGCGCTTCCCGCTCCGGGCTGTATAGCTTCTCACAGGAGCGGAGCTACTGACACCATCTACCTACCTACCTACTTTACATAGCGCCGCTGTACATACATACAGTATCTTACCTTACCTTGCCTTGCCTTGCCTACCTACACATTCTCGCAATCGTTCTTTTTCTTCCAGCTTTGTTGGAAGGAAGCATACTGGTATTATTTCTTGCTTGCCATGCGAATGCGCATGCGATAGGAACGAACGAACAAACGGACGGACGGACGGACGGTTACTGGGAAAGTACCTTAGGTAGGCAGCGCAGCGCATCGCATCTCATTCAGCTCAGAGCTTTCTTTAGCTTGAGCAAGAGAGCGGGTATTCACTTGCGCGAACAAGGAAACGAAACAAGCAAAGGAAGCTTTCTATCATCAACTACCTACTTCCCTACCTGCCTCCTCGTCTCGCACTTTTCCAACCAGAGCGCTTCGATCGCATCACCGATACCATGACTACCCCACGTAACCTCCCCCCTGGCGGCTTCTGCAAGAAGAGAAGAGGGGCTAATTGATGATATAATAGTCTCACCTGCGGAGCGCGCGCAGTATACGGCGACTGTCGATAGTATACTTGCATCTGCGGATCTGCAGACGATTTCTTCGAAGCAGATACGGAAGGGGTTGGTTGCGAAGTTTGGGGTTGAGTTGGGGGATAAGAAGGTTTGTTTTTGTGGTGTTTTTTTTATCCTTTCTTTTGCTGTTTGTTGTGCGTAGAGAGGGGATGGGCGCAAGGGGAGAGGGGGTATGGTTTAGTGTTGGTGTTGGTATTGATATTTTGCTGATATTTATGGGGTTACTAGGCAGCGATTCATGAGTTGATTATGCAGAGATTTGACCTTGCGCATAAGGCTATTGATGTCCCTGTCCTTTCGACGGAAGTGGAGGAGAATAAAGATGGTGGAGATGGTGGTGGGGAGAAGGCGAATGGATATCATACACCATCGCGTAGCACTTCCGACATCTCGACACCGTTCATAAAAGAAGCATCTGATTCCGACGAGCCGCCTACCAAGAAGCGGAAAGCGACTTCTGGAGCTGGACGCAGTGGAAGTGGGACTAAGAAGGAGGTTGACGATGCGAAGTTGGCGGCTAGGTTGCAGGCACAGGAAGATAGAGGAGCGAGGCCTACGAGGAGGGGTGTAGCGACGCCGAAGAGGAAGAGGGTGGTGAAGAAGAAGCAGAAGAGTGACAAGAAGGTTAAGGATGAGGATGATAGTGACGTGGTGGGCAGTGATGGTGTGGTTAGAGAGAAGGTCAAGAAGGGTGGTTTCCATGTTGGTTTTCCCTTTCGTCATCCCCTCCTCTTCGCTGTTTTGGATTTGGGAGTCGGAGTGCTAATATAGGATTGGATGATAGAAACAATACCACCTTTCTGCGCCACTGGCAGACTTGGTTGGGGAGGTTACTGTAAGTCGCACCACTTCCCTCTTCCAAGCTTTTAGCAAAGGGCATGTACTAATGATCGTGAAAACCAGCTTTCACGCCCACAAGTCGTCAAGAAGTTATGGGAGTATATCAAAGGACACGACCTGCAAGACCCATCTGATAAACGCCAAATCCTTTGCGATGATAGGCTACAGCTGGTGTTTAAGCAGGAAAAGGTGCATATGTTTACTATGAACAAGCTTCTGGGAAAGCAGCTTTATGATGTTGAGGAGGAATGATTAAGATGCTTAGATCTGGCATTCAAGCGGGAGGCGGTGGAGGAGGGGATATGATTATGAACTTGGGATGGCGTTTATGGGACGGAAGGGCTTTTACGGCATTGTACGGCTTGGTATATGGTGGGATATCCAATGATGTGATTGAAATGAGATGATGATCCTTGAAACCATCTGATTGTCTGCCTATGTGATTTGGTGGTACAGTAAAGGGAGCGTATCTGAAACCCAGAGTCTATTGATCAATAACACGAAAATGTTTCCAGAGACTGAAGAAAGCTCGTGTTTCCTATGAATTGCAATAGCAACTTGAGCAGAATAGTCGCTGCATAAGCAACTACACAAGTGACTCCTCGCCATGCCACCAAATTGTTTTGTCAGTGAAGACTCACAATGGCTCACGCCCGAATCAGTCAGAATCAGCCTTGCCGCGGGGTTACCTCGCTTGATTTCGCCCCACTAGGTGACCTCCCCCAAAATAATTCGTCTTCTTAGATGACCTTGACAAACAAAAACAAAGGCTACACAACTGTCTGGCGATCAACAGTAACAAACAGTTCCCACCATTACAACAACGGATAGGCCATTGGGATACTCAATATCACAGGACGAAAAAGCAATGGCTTCCGAAGAACCGGCAAATGCGCCACGACGAGGGGGCGGTAGAGGTAGAGGACGGGGTAGAGGACGTGGGGATTCAATGAGCAATGAGACTAGATCGCCGGCACAAGGTGGACGTCGAGGAGGAAGGGGGGGTTTTTCGAGGCCGCCGCAATCACAACGCCAAGTGCAAGCAGAGCCAACGGCACCACCGCCACAAGTCGCGGTGGAGTCGAAGGGAAAGGAGGTTGCAGAAGGAGAGGAAGAGGTAGAAGTATGCTGGATTTGCGCCAGTCATATCGATCACTACGCTGTTCCCCCGTGCAATCACCGGACATGTCATATTTGTTCGCTCCGGTTGAGAGCGCTGTATGGTTCTAAGCATTGTCCACATTGTCGAGTAAGCCCCTTCATTCTCCCACCAGCCCCGAAATCATATATATATATATATACTAACAAGAATTCCAGACTGAAGCAGCAGATGTAATCTTTACAGACGATGCTACGAAACTATATGAAGATTTCAAGGACTCGGATATCGCAAGCACAGGGAATTTCGGCATCCGTTACGAAACTCCCGATATGATGGAAGATACCAGGCTCCTCCTGCAATACAATTGCCCGGATAATGACTGCGATGTTGCATGTCTGAGTTGGCCGGATCTTCATAAGCATGTTAGGACTCAACACCACAAGAAGATCTGCGATTTATGTTCACGGCATAAGAAAGTCTTTACGCACGAGCACGAACTTCTCACGGATGCGGAACTACAAAAACATAATCGCAAGGGAGATGATAATCCCGGTGCTATTGACCAGAGCGGTTTCAAGGGCCATCCTATGTGCGATATTTGCAAGACGAGGTATTATAGTGATGATGAGCTATTTGTTCATTGCAGGGATAGTCATGAGAAGTGCTTTATCTGTGAGAGAACATCAGGAATACCTCAGTATTATAAGGATTATAATGAGCTGCAGCTCCACTTCCGGAAAGATCACTTTATGTGTCCGCATAAGGACTGTATGGAGCAGAAGTTCATTGTTTTCCCGACTGAGCTTGATCTAAAGGCTCATCAGCTGTCAGAGCATGGGAGTGAGTTGTCGAAGGATGTTAGGAGAGATGCGAGGACGGTTGATATGTCGACTCTTGCGTATCGCGATGCGTATGTTGAGCCGAGGAGGGGAGGTGGAAGTCAGAGAGAGCAGAGGGATGGTAGGGGACGGGGAAGAGGAAGGGATCCCAATACAGAAGCTATTCCCGCTTCTACTGCGCAGCCACTGAGGCGAGATGAACAGGCATTTCAGCGGCAAATGGCTATTCAGACGGCACAATCGATACAACCCAGGACGTTTGGAGGCCAGCTGACTTCCGCACCAACACCTGCTGCCGCTCGAGCGCCCCCAGGAACTCGCTCACCACAAAGCACCAGCGTCCAGCCACCAGCAAATGTAGATGCCGCATCACATGTCCAAATCCCACCTCAAACACCACAAGAACAAGCGCGCGCCCTGCGACACGCAACAGTAATCGAACGCGCCAACACGCTCCTCCAAAACGACGACCTAAAAATGACACAATTCCGCAACAGCATCGCTTCCTACAAACGCGGCGCTATCAAAGCCCAAGCCCTAATCGACACCTTCTTCACACTCTTCTCATCCACTTCGCCCAAGTCCCTCGGTACACTAATCAACGAAGTCGCAGATCTATATGAAGATGAGAGTAAAACGACGGCCCTGCGAACGGCGTGGAATAATTGGAAGGCAATTAATGATGATTATCCTTCTCTGCCAGTAACGAGCAACAGCAGCAGTTCCATCCCCCTCAACTGGGCATCCTCATCTCGTCCCTCCAACGCCAGCAAATCCAACCGCGTGCTGAAACTGAAATCATCGACCGTGCAATCTAGTCGCAGCAGTGTGTCTCAAACGCGATCATGGGGCACTGCATCCGGACTCGCGAGTTCCAGTAATCCCTTCCCAGGCCTCCCAACTCCCACTGCATCGAGGGGCAAAGTCTCCACAACCTCCTGGGTCCCTCAAGCATCCACCTCCGCATCTTCATCTGCTCCTACGTCCCGCCCAGCTTCTACGGCTCCTCCTTCCCGCGCGGGCAGAGGTGCAAATGATGCATTCCCGTCTCTTCCTCGCGCCCCTAAACCGCAGACTTCGCTCTTTGGCTATGGCAGTGGCATGGTCAAGCGTGATGGCGGTTCTGGTGCTGGTGCTGGCAGGGGAGGCAATGCGTGGTCGCCGAGTCCGACGCCTGCGGAGAGTGAAGTGGACGGTGAGGCTGGCGAGGGCGCTGGCAGGGGCCCGGGGAAGAAGAAGGGGAATAAGGGCAAGAAACAGGTTTTGAATCTCTGGGCTTGAGCTTATCTTGGGTAGATCAGATTAGCTGGATGGTGTATTATGTGTTGATTTTGATGGGGGAGCGAAAATTAAAAGGCTTATGATTGTGATTGTATGGCGTTTTTTGTTACATCAAAAGATGAAAATAGACATCCTCAGCGTACGTACGTATATAAAATAAACCGTACCTATGCATCAGAATAAGAATTACCTAGTCGGGAACCCCCACAACCTCGTGAAGTTACCCACTAAAGGTATCATATCATATTTTAACCGGTCCTTAAGTAAGTAGCGTCGCGTTGACCGTGAGATATGTAACGGTAACAAGCATTCTTAACGGGGTAGACATTATGCAGACCGATATGACTGAGAAACTATTGAGTGATAGATGTTACTCCGGATCCGGAGTACCTAGATGCTATATATAATCTTTGATTTGGATCGATTCGAATCATACCGTAATGCGATTGAGTATTAATCATACTACCGATGCACGTATGTACGGATTACTTGTAGCTTATATAGTATGGGGATGTAAGATTATATGAGGATCGAATTCACGTGATTGATTGATTAATGGATGATTATCTGGCGGGTTACTAACTATAGAGAATGCAGTATGAGTATAAGTATGAGGATGAGGATTTGAACGTCTAGTTTTTTAATCACTAAATACGTACTAGGTGATATCTATGTACAGAGAGTACTTTATTATAGGCCTGGAAATAGCTTAGCTCTGAGGCCCTGGCCCTAACCACGAATGCTTAAGCGAGGAGAATAGGGGGGTTGGGGGCTTTTTATCCCGCAGCTTCCTATATACTCGTAGATGTAAAGAAGTATTACATATTAGTGTAAAGTTATAGACAGTTAAGAAAATAATTACCTCGAATGTCTAAGCTTTATTATCTAGAGAAGTTATATGAATTTTATTTTAATATTTGAGGTAAATACTTATAGCATCTAATTCATATATGCGAGCTCGAGTAGTTGAAATGCTTAGCTGAGAAAGTAAGAAAGAAGGTAATGAGTAGTATTTTTTTATCTTAGGTAAGCTAGTAAATGTATATTGCATGAACGTAATTAGTCAGTATGATAATGAGATTATACGGAGTAAGCATATGATATCTAAAGGACGAAATGAAAGTTTTCTTTTTGTATTTTACACATCTTAGTCGATCTTACAATTCTTTTTTCTTTCTTCTTTTTTTGCCCCCTAGGGCCTACCCTATCTATCGTATCTTCATTATCTGGTTATACGTTTCATTTCATTCTCATCTCATCTTATCACATCTCCCTTCCTCCATCCTCAGTTTCCCCAATCCCTCATCCACACTCATAACCCCTCTTTCCGCATCTGAGTCCCCCTCTACCTCTCCTTACGCAACCGCAGTAGATTCTCCTCCGCCATCTGCAGCGAGCTGCCATTATGCGTCGTCGGCCGCCCAGTATCCGCCTCTGGGAGGGCATGGGAGATAGCGAGACCGGCTGGGGTAGAGCTCGAGACAGCGATGGGGCGCTCGGCGGGTAGTTCGAAGACGTCGCGATCGGGGAGGTGCGTCGTGGGTAGTGCGGGGGATGCAGCGGTCAGGGTTGGTGTGGGTGATGTTATGGTCATTGTTGGTGTCTGTGTCTGTGACATGGCTGTTGAAGAGCGCGGGGATACTGCTGAGAGGGTTTTTGTGTGCGTAGGGCTTTGCTGCTGGTTCTGGTCCTGATGCTGAGGTGGAGAGGAGCGAGGAGAGACGGCTGGAGATGCTGTTGCGGTGGGGCTTTGGTGGAGAGGCCATACATATGTACCGTAGGACGGCACGGGTGAATTGGTATTTGTATTTTCCAATTCCTGAGGATACTGATTCTGGTTTTCCGGCGCTCCTGTGAGTGGCGTGTACATGTGCTGGTGCTGTAGCACGTTCGTCTGCCGGGAACTGTTCTGGTCCATTTCCACGGGCATGTTGTCGCTGCCCTTTAGTTCATGTGGAAGATCGGCCTGGGGATCTCCGTCTGCTGAGGTGTTAGAGGCGTATTGAACGGTTTTGCTTTGTTTGCGGTGGCGGAATAGGAGGCAGTATATGAGTAATGCAACGGCGATGATTGCTGTTACTCCTGCGACGACACCAATGGCGATCTTTTTGCCTGTCGAGAGACCATTTGAGGGATTCGGTGTTGGTTCTGGTGCTGGTACTGGTGCTGGTGCTAGATTATTGAGACTAGGGGCAGCTGAAGGAGCACTGAAGATGGGGCCTTTAGAAGAGCTTGTCCTCGACGAAGGTGTGAAGGAGCCCAAATTTGTTGGACTTGTCGTAGAGCTTGTCGTAGAGCTTGTCGTAGAACTTGCTGCAAAAGAAGTCCGAGCCACGGTACTTTCGCCGTCGCCTGTTTCAGAAGCAAAGGCTTCAGAAGTACTTTGTTCGTGATTTCTGCCTGTTGATGTAGAAGAACTTGCGGCAGCTCCAGCTCCAGAACCTTCGGTATACGTGATATAAATCGAGAACTGGGGATTGATACCCGAGAAAGACGTAACGACTGTTTGGCCCGTCGACGTACTCCCACATCCATACTGATAGAAGGAATTCGGAAACGAATTGCGATAACAGTGCTGATCGCTCGTGCTGCAAACATGTTAAAACCAACTTGACACTTCCAGGTTGGATGCATATTACCAAGTCTTGGCTCCAGGATCCGAAGAGCTCTGTCGAGCATCAGGTCCCTCTCTACAAGACGTATACACCGCATCACACGACCCCCCAATCGAACAACATCCCACAACACTGATATCCGTAAACCAAGCACACGAGGAATCAGATCCGCAGTATGCGCCTTGATAGGTAGGGCCTTGCCTACATAACATAACACAACACAAAGTTAGCATCAATGAATCAATTCAATAATTAGGAGAATCGGGACGGGTTCTAAGCATGCAACTTAACGCACCACCCACAAAGATTCGGCGGATAACTATCTCTGCCGAAGAGCTCACGTATACCTACTCCGTTCGTGGGCGCTGGAGTCCAATCCGCCGTCGCGGTCGCAGTATACGTCTGCGCCGGGCCAATCCACGGTAGAGCTGAGACTGAAACCGAGGTGTAGGTATGGGTGTAGAGGATGCACCACCCCCATAGCCAAAGGGGACGAGCCATGGGTGTAAAAACGAGACAAGACAAGACAAGGCGCAGTAGTTGAGAGGTGATTAACGACCGTGGATGATTGAAGAATCTGTATGGTATGATGAAATCAAATCAAAAAGAATATCTAGCGAGGGAACTAGGACAAGCCATCAACAATCAAACGAATGGAAAAGATGCTGTTGACGAGGCTATGCTGTGGTGGTTGAGGTAGGTAGCTTTTGCCGGCAATCGTCAGTGTGAATGTGTGAATGTGTGAATAGGTCCATGTTCTACCTGCTTAGGAACGTACTGTACCTGAATTCTACCTTGATCAAGATAAAAGGCAAGAGCCTGGATGCAGTGCAGTAGTGTACGTCCACTGCATCCAAACTCCCCATTAATCCATGCATGCATGGCTATTATTTTCCTTCCCCCCCATATCCCTCTCCCTCTCCTTATTTCGAGCCTCATCCAGCCCAATGTGCATGTACTCTCTCCACCCCTCTTCTCACCTCTGCATCTAGCCGTCTGAAACCCGTCACCACCTTATATTATCCTCCCCAAACCCCCAGAATAGCTCGCTCCGCCTTCTAGAAGTCGCCCAACGTAGTACACGACCTCCTAGAATACCAACTATACCATACCATATTATATTCAACCACTCCAATTTCCAGCAGAGAATATATGCCGTGCCTGTGTCATAGGATTTCGGTTTCCTAAAAGGGTACATCCAGGTATCCAGGTCTGTAGTTCCACAATACATGTACCCTCTCTCCAATTCCGAAATTCAAATATATACCCATCTCCTTCATTCAGGTTATTACTCCTCGCAGTGGTGTCGAGGATTTCTTGAATGCGGTTCCCCGCTCGAGTATAGTGGCACCACGCTACACCAATTATCCATGATTGGCTGAAACCTTTCTTTTTTGTTCTTTTTGATCCTTACGGAATAAGCGTGTACTCTGCAAATCTCCACATACAGTACACGACTTTTCGCAAAGGTCTAGACTCTAGCTCCTATATGGAGTAAGTGTCTGGTCTCTTGTACTGTACCGTACTGTACTACCACATGTGGAGGGACATGCATAGCACAGAATATCCCCAGGCCTGGAACAGATGCGATCTGCCTGAAACTCTTCACATATACCGTACTCATCACAAAGACTGTGGTTTCGCTCACAGAAATCCTTGACTTGGCCGTAAATTTCACTGACGCTCAATATATATGCCAGTCTACCCAGGAACACTCGAGGTGCTCATGAATTCTTGAGAGCCTGCCTCTCCTTGTCCAAATATTCCCTCCCCAGATAGATACTCACTTCCCCCTCCCCCCGCTCGCGCTGAAACACAATAAACTTCAACTCAAACTCCCTCTCCGCACTCAGATCCCATTTCCCATCCAAGTCCAAACCCAAATACAACTCCCCAATCGTGCACACCACCTTAATCTCCCTCATACTCTTCTCTCGCTGACCATCTCCATACGTGATCCACGGCCCCGCATCCAGATCACTGGTATCGTAGCGCATGCGCGCAGCGAGGTCCTGGTGGATGAGACAGCGCTCGAGGTTGGGGATCGGGAGCGCAGAGATAAAGATCACGCGGTCGAGCGTTTGGACGCGCACTTGCACTTGCATGTGCTCGGTTGTGGGGTGGGTGGTGTGGGGTAGGTGAAGACTGTAGGTACTATGGTTGCGGTTGGTATCGGTCTTGGTGTTGCTGTTGAGGGGTGCGAGTTCGAGGGCACGGCTCGGTCCAGGTGCCACGGGTGAGGGTGAGCGGGAAGTGTGTGCGGTGGGCCGTGAATCGACACCGACCGTCACGGGGT